TTGGTTCATTTACAATGATTTATTATTCATTTCACAATCTATAGGCATATGAGTTATCTTTAGATTTTAAAAGCTGTGGCATTGTATTTACAAAGTCAACATGATTTGATTTAATATCTATAATAGAATTGAAGTCAATCAACAAATAAACATGAGTTTATATTAGAGGTTTTGATTGAATATGATGTTGATGAAGTTTTGATGAAATACGCATGGCATCGGAGAAATAGCGAGAAGAAATGGAGAAGTGGTGGAGAAGAAAAAGAGAATAAGGGATTAGGGTTAATAATATTGATTATTAAAAAATTTAATAATTATAACAAACTGATTACAAAATCTGAAGGTAAAAGGTTAGATTTTGATTACTATAATTTATACATGGAAGTGATTTCAAATCCAAACAAACTCTCTCACATCAAATCCATTGAACAAAGTCTAATAAATTTGAATAACACAAGACTTAAATTGATCTACTCAAATCCTTAATTGAATAACATTAGATTTCAAATTCTTTTAATTAAAAGATTCTAAATACATGAACCAATAACACTAGATTTTAAACTCTTTTAATGAAGGGATTCTAAATATATAAACCAATAACACCAGATTTTGTTAGAAGATTTTAAAACCATGAATGAATAACAATGGATTATAGTTAGATTTAAACTCTATTAAAAACCATAAACCAATAATACCCTCATAGCTGATGTTCTATACTCCCTTTATTTTATAATAAGTGTTATTTAAGCTTTAGTTTTGTGTTTCATTATAGGTGTCGTTTAACATTTCCAATTCATAATTTAGAAAATTAACAAGATAAATTATTTATTGTATTAACAAGAAAGTTAAATGAATTATTTTACTTCCTCAGTTCCTTAAAGATAATTTTTCTAATCTTTTCACACATATTAAGAAAACGTATAGATTTTGCAATTAAATAAATTTCTATAACTTTAAACCAATAAAAATCTAACAAATACAATTAATATTTCTTGAAACTGAAAAAATCCATCAAAAATTAGAAAATTTATATATATGGAATAACAAATAATGTCAAGGGAGTAATATTTTTATTATATCAAAAAATTCTATGTTTTCTTTTTCATTTTGATTATTAAAAAAACTTAAATAACAATTAATAAAAACTAAATTTGTAACTGAAAATAATTTTTGAATTATATGAAACATCTAATAATTTCAGAAACAAAAATAGTATTTTTTTTTTAAACGAAACATCTTTCTCACTTGCAAAGGATTTGGTGTTTCACACACGTTTTTTCTTCTTCTTTGCAAATAATCTGCCTCATTAAAACCGCTATGAAAAAAAACATGGTATTCCACAAATTTGTACGTTGTTCGTATAAATTCTAACAATTTATGGTTAGAACAATCTATGGAGATGTACGGTTCTTATGAAAATGGATGCAATTGTATAATATATATCAAACAAATTCATATTTTATTATAATATTTCTCTATATATTATAAAATTTAGACAATGGTTTAGCTCTTATAACTTATTTGTGTTTAAATCCATATTCCATGGTAGTACAAGTTGTGTTTAAGTCCATATTCCATGGTAGTACAAGCCATGGAGATTTATCATATGTATTTGAAAAGTATATTCCACCAATTTTAGCAACCCATATACGTAGTTGACCACATCGAGGAATAAGTGCTTCACCTCCTTTGTATACTTCAACGTCAAAACAAAACTCCATGTTAGGACCTTGTCTCAAAAGACACTTCCATTTTGTATAATTGAAAAATTCTTCATGAAATCTGATGAGAAAGGTATTGTTGAAGTTTAAATTTTGTACATGTAGATCTTCGGTTCTGGAACGACAATGATATTGGAGAACACGACCAGGTGCAAGATTGTTTTGAATTACTAATTCATTTTTTTTGCAAGCTTCGTTAAACTCAAAATATGTAATAATAACTAGAACAAAAAATATGAAATGTTTCATCCTGTATGATTTAAGATAATTAGTGGAGTCATTAGAATATCAACATGTATTACTTATATGTTTTAGATCCAAAAATTGAGTGTTGACTAAACATTTTATGGTAAAACATAAACTAAATATTTTTATGGTTTTAACTAAATAATTTATTGGAGTAATAAGAACATTGAAACGTTAGTCAACAGTCAACACTCATTTAAATTAGTTTATGTTTATACCATAAAAATGGTATTTACTAAACTTTTGATGATTTTTTCTTATTAAAATATTTAGGTACACTCAAACTAGCGAAGCCATCTGAATACTCATGGTAAAGAAGAAAAGAAAAGAAGTATTTCTGAAGGACCGTATACCTCTTGGATTTAGGATTTCTAGTTATGTGGATCTTGCAGCTATCTCAACCGCAACAATTCCACTGATATTCCCACCCTTGAAATGGTACTTTGTCCTGGTACATAAACTAAATATTTTTATGGTATTAACTAAATAATTTATTGGAGTAACAAAAAAACTAAAATGTTTAGTCAACATAATTTTTATGGTACAATGGAAACTCTATAGATTAATATTCTATAATTTAATAATTTGATTAATTAATAAAATTTTTAGGTCTCAAACTAAGTTTTTGATCTAAATAATTTATTAATAAATTATCATGCCTCAACATTTTTAAATTATTAACTAAACCTTATTAGACTTAATAAGTACCTTTAGAAATTAAAAAGAGATTTATTGTTTTTAGGAGGATGAGGTCCAGTCCAGCTCAGAAAGCAAATAATATATTCCGTTGAAAATAACTTTTCCGTAATCAGTCCTTAATTCTTTATAAATACTAAATCAGTCCATATTTCCATTATAAAGAAAAAAAATAAAATATAATAAGCTATAGTCTTCATAATTTAAATGTGTGTTTTTATCTTTTATTTAAACTTTTTCTTTTTAAATTTTTTTCTCACTAAGAAATAAAAAATTATATCTTCAAAACTTTTAGAAATCAATAAAAAAATATTTAACTATAGATCAGTTGGATCGAAATCGAAATTATTATTGCAACATGTATATAATATTTAATTAGGTGAGGACATATGTAAACATGTGAAAACTGAAAAAGAAAATATAATAACAGAAAATGAAAACTAACAAAATAATTGTAAAACAACAAACTAATATTGAAAAGGAAAACTGATAATAATCTGAGGTAAAAACCAAATTGTAAAAGAAACAATATAAATAGAAAACTAACAAAAATAATGATAAAGTGACTAATCTATCTATATATTCCAATGCAATACATCCGTTTTTTATTTATGATTTATATTTCTATCTATTGTATTTTCTTCTCTGTTTTCTTTAGCTTCCGACCAAATCATGTGATCCTTTTACGAACTTCAGCACCGGAAAACAACACATCGTTGTTCTAAACTTGTACATGTGTGTTTTTTACCAACCATCTCGTTTTATTAGAGCTCTATGCCGTCTCATTCTTTATTTTGTGTTCGAAATTGGAGGAAATAGTAGTAGTTTTTAAAAGAAAAGAAACGTGAAGTAGAGAGACAGGTGGGTAAGTTTATTATTAAAGAAATGAATGCTCTTAAATTTGTCCCCGGGAAAATCTCAAGCTTTTTCCTTCATACATGGCAAAACAACCCAAATCCGTTTCTTTCTTTTCCATTTTTTTTTCTTTGGGTTTCAGCTCTCTCTCTCGTTGGTTCTTTAGTTAAAAACAAAAACAAGAAAAGGATGAATTTTTTTGGAACAAGATGATTCGTCATGGGATGGTGATGTTTCTTGCTGACATCAACAGACGAAGACAGTATTTTTTTTTCTATTTCCGTTAAAAGCTCAGAAGCTGCATTTTACTCGTAGTTAGTTTCATCTTCTCTCGGATTTCTTCATTTTACAGAGGAACTTTTCTGTTTTCTAATTTAGGGGTTGATTTGATCTTAGCAGGTTTATCAAATGTCTAATCTTTCAGCAAGAACAGGACGAGACCGTCAACGTTATGACAACAACTTCCGTCTCGTTTCTGGGTACGAAACCATTTAGCTTCTTGTCGTTGACCTCAATAAATGTTGTTGATATGCTGCTCTGGTGTGGTTTTCTTATATTTACTTTCAATACTGGCAATCAAAAAGCAATAATGGGAAGAGAAAAATTGGTCTGTTGATATGATGACAGATGCATACCCTATGGGTAAGCAAGCAACAAAAGTTGTTTTTGTCTGTGTCACAGACATAAAGATATGTTACTGTAACTGACAAGGGGCACACATCTGAATGTTAAAGAAGCTTTGGAACTGTGTCGGTACGAGTGGATGCAGAGTGCCCTTGAAGAGTTTCTAAGAGTAATGGCAGAAGAAGGAAGTCCAGGGACGAAAGAAGAAGACTCTCTTGCCATTTCCAGCATTTCAAATCGAGGAGAGCGACATGTTGATCCTCGGTACTGCTTTGTAGTTAATTAGTTTCATTCTCTCTTAGGCATATCAAACTTCTTCAGTTGTTGTTTATAGATAAGACACTGGATTATTGAGAAGCTTCCTCTGTAAACAAAGTGAAAACATGAGAAGCTAATGACTTAAGACCCAATTTGTTCCAAGGTTACTCAGTGAGTCTGCGACTTGAAAGTGATTCTCGCAAAAGACATATAGAGAGGCTATTATTAACTCATAGGTTCCATTGTCTTAGATGCTAATGCTATCTGAAACAACCAAACACACAAGGACAAGATTTTGTTTCTTCGAACTTTTTTCTTTACCAATCATCATAACTAAAAGAATTAGCCAATTTTAGATATACTAAATTACAGGAGACTAACAAAGTGGATTAAATCCTTCCAAGTACTCATTTCTACTGCATTCACCAGTTGCAACTATCCAAGATGTTACAGAAGCATCAAGCATCCCTAAAAAAACTTCAATGAGAAACATATTGGGGATTCAGAAACTGCAAGAAAGAGAAAACGTTTTATATTGAAACGGCTAAAGCTATAGCCTTACCAACAGGATGCAATCATCCATCAACCTAGAGTTGATTCTTAGCGTCTGAGCCATTCTCTGAAACATGACTGCATTTTCTCGCGGCTTCCAGCATTTGAGATATTTACCGTAGGAATAATCTTATCTGGCCTTAAAAACTGCGGGAAAACGAAATCAGTTAATGCTAATAGAAGTGTAAATCTTATCCAGGACAGAGACGGTTTCTGGTACGCACTTGAACAAACTCTCGAAGTTCTGTGAAGCTTGAATGCTCACTATATGGAACCCCTACAAAGATAAATACTTACAGACAGTAAGACAAATCCTCATAAAGATACTTAACGCTATATGCATAGTATATCATTTGTAGCTCACAGAGAATGTGCGTTACAAAAAAAAAACAAACTCACCATAAATGGTGATTTTTCCCTTCACAATTGGTTTTATCAGATCAAGGTGTTCACCTATCTTCTCCGAGTAAGTCCAACCTGATAACAAAGGAAGCAAAACTTTTCGTACCAAACCACCAATAGTTTAAAGTTTAAACCAAAACCTTAAACAAAGAAGGTAAAAAGTTCACCTGTAGGCCTAAATGCTAAAACTGCTCCATATTGTTCTCTATAAGCCTTTAAGTGTTCCTCGAGTCTCTTCAGATAAATTATCAGAAAAAGATAAGATCATGAGAGGTTGAAATAGAAACGATGTAAGATTACTTGAGATAAGCATATTGGTTTTTAGAGAAATACTTCAACTCTCAATGATGACATAGGCAGAACATGAAGACACGTGGCTTTCCCATCTGTACAAAGATTCTTCGAAATATCATCCCAACCAAAAGATTGCAGTATCCGTCTTCTTGAAGCATTTGCAAATATCTTAATCTGGAAACCACACGAGGTTAGAACTTATAAGTCCAGAAAAAAGGGCTAAAAGGTTAGAGAATGGCAATTCATACCCCAAGTGCTTTGGCAATAGCTAGATAAACACATTCCTTTCCAATGCTATAAGAACCAACCACAATCAGAGTCCTCGGCTGCTTCCTGAGGAACTCCTTTGTGATTCTCACAACATAACTTAATACGTCTTCTTTAGAGGGGAATCTGAACAAAAACATAAACTTTACGAGCATGCTCCTCAAATCCATCACAAGTTCTATTATTTGAAAATCCTTGCTCTCACTTGTATCTCGGATTGCAGTACGTTGTATCCAAATACAACACATGAACTCGTTGGTTAAAGAGGAGAGGATGAGTTTGCATCTGTTTACAGGCCCTGAAATCTCCGGTATGCAGATAACACGTCCCATCTAAGAGACGAAAGTGGATAAGAGCAGCACCAGGGCAATGATTAGCTTCTATTAAAGTGACTTTGATCCCATTAATTGTGTATTCAACGTCTAGCTCCAACGGATGAATAAACCTACACAGAGAAGAATCACCACACACAAACAGAAAACTAAAATACACAAATTTGAAGGTTGTCTTTAGACATAAAATGCCATTAGCGAAGGAACTTACGAGGGATTAACAGAGAGACTAAGCCTGAGAAGACGACTAGTGAGAGAGGAGCAGTAAATTGGACCATGAGACCAAGCTTTAGTGAGACCCATGTAATGATCAGCGTGAAAGTGAGTAAGGAAGTAAGCAGAACATCCTTGAACACAACCATAGCGAAAGGCATCCACAGTAAACGGTGTTCCTGCAGATAAATGGCGTCAAATTGACAAACAGAGAAGCAGATTTGGGGAAATGAGTGCGAAGAAGAAGAGTAAAAAGACCTGGAAGTTTCTTATAGAAAGGGCATTGTCGAGGCGTGTCATTAGTCAATGGAGAGTTCCTAAGTCTCTTTCGGAGAGAAGTCGTCGTCTTTCTCGCCGACGACGACGACGACGAAGCAGGTGAAGTGGAAGTGGAAGGAGAAGGCTTTTGTAAACCCCAAATCTGAAACAAGTCCGTTTGTTTCGTCTTCTTCTTCGTTACAGGAGAAATCTTCTGTAAACCCCAAATCTGAAGCAAGTCCGCTTGTTTCATCTTCTTAGTCTCAGGAGTAACCAAACAAGACCAATCAGAACCAGCCTTGTAGAAATCAGACGCAAAACCCTCTTCTTCTTCTTCTTCAACAACATCGTCGTAGAAACTAAAACCCTCTGCTTCTTCGTCTTCAACATCGTCGTTGAAACGAGAGACAAAACCTTCGTCGTCGTCTTCATCTGAAACATCCATTTTTTTTTTTTTTCCGATTTTTCTGAAATGTGAAAACGAAAGGTCAAAAGAGTCAAATTTTACCCGCCCGCCAAAGGGTGGCTTTTGGCCATTGAAGTGTCGGCTAGAGAGAGAGAGAGAGAGTAAAAATGGTAAAAAAGCCCAAACAAAACGTGAGGAGCAGCAAGAAGACAGATTTACAGAAAGGGCCCAACCACAGCGTCATTTTTATTATGATGGAAGTTGCCAAATAAGTTGATCGAATCTCATCGTCATCGTCGTCTTCTTCCTTAACCCGTCACCGTCGTTGGGAATTCAATTTCTCGGCGATTGGGTCTTCCTTACGAAAAATCAAAACTTTTTGCTTTTTAGAATTTTCAATTTGGGAAAAAAAAAATCCAATTTTTATTCTTCCTTTTACTTGACGCCATTTTGTTTTTGGTCACTAAAGCTAAATCTGACCATTTTCAATTTCTTAAAAGAAAAAAAAAATAGTTTTTATTTTTTCGTTGGAAGAGGAGGACTTGTAATCTGCTCTGCTGTTATAGAATCAATCTGGATCTGAAGCTCTATCTATCGTCTCCTCCGCAGGTTTTGCCTCCTTAAATTCTAATGCTAATTGACGAAAAACCCTTTCTTTTGCCTCATTCTTCTTTCGTTTTCCGATTCTTTATTGCCGCATTTTTGTTTATTTGATCTCTGTTTCAACAGAATCAACGATTAGAAGAAACCCATGATTCGTTTCTTAATTCCCTTATCAAAGCTGCAAGCTTGAGTTTTTCCTTTATTGCATTCACCAATCAAATAGCCCCTTATGAGGTTTTCTCTATATTGCCTTATCAGAGCTGCAAGCTTGTGCTTTCTTCTCTTGCAAGCACCAATCAAATATCCCTTCTGAGGTTTTATGCTCAAAGGTTTCTTCTTCTCTTGCAGATTCGAAGGCTAAGATCACATGAAGGCCTGAGCTAGTTTGCTGCTTTAGATGATCCCTAACTGAGCCGTCTCCGTTCTTTAAACCATGGGAGAGTGGGTCATCGGAGCTTTCATTAATATCTTTGGAAGCGTTGCTATTAATTTCGGCACAAACCTTCTCAAATTGGGACATAATGAGGTCTGCATTTTGCCTCAGGCACTACTGTTTTGGCTACATTTGGTCTCAGCGAAGCTTAGTTTACATCTTGTTGACCTTTGTGTATTATCAGAGAGAAAGGTCAGCTCTATTGGATAGTGGCGGAGGAAAGACGTTGAAACCGATTATACATTTTCAGACATGGAGAGTCGGTATTGCTCTGGTCTTAAACCTCTTCCCCTCTTTGAAGTTAATATGAAGAAGCTAGTTCTGAGTCCAATGTTGTTGGAAATGTACAGGAATCCTTGTCTTTCTTCTTGGGAATTGCCTCAATTTCATTTCATTTGGTTATGCTGCTCAGGTAGAGCCATCTGTTCAACTACTTGCGTGATTATGTCAGATTTCGATGATTGCATTATGGTTTCTCTTTGGTTCTCTTACTTTTATGCAATCTCTTTGCAGTCCCTTTTAGCAGCTCTTGGATCCATTCAATTTGTATCCAACATAGCGTTTGCTTATGTTGTATTGAACAAAATGGTGACTGTTAAGTACGTAAACATCATCTGCAAATCTTTAACAATATCGATGTATTCACTCTTCTAATTTTGTTGGTATGTCTTGGTCACAGGGTACTTGTTGCTACAGCCTTTATAGTTCTTGGAAACGTTTTCCTTGTAGCATTTGGTAATCACCAGTCACCAGGTAAACTATTCTTGGAACAGAAAGGTTTCTATTTTCTTTTCATGAAGCATGACCTAATGTAAGTCTTCTGTGCTCAGTTTTCACACCCGACCAGTTGGCAGAGAAGTACAGCAATATGACATTCTTGGTCTACTGTGGGATTTTGATACTAATCGTAGCCGTAAACCATTTCCTCTATAGGTGAATGTTGCATTTGAAATTGTTGTAGCCTTGCACTATTTTTCAATTATTTGTCCTCTTTCGTGATATGTTTAATCGGAATATTCAGGAAGGGAGAAGTTTTGTTATCTGTACCTGGACAAGAGTTTGGCTCTTATTGGAAAATGCTGCTTCCTTTCTCATACGCTGTGGTCTCCGGCGCTATAGGATCATGTTCGGTTTTATTCGCCAAGTCACTGTTAGTTTGTAAATTTGTAGGCTTGACTTAAACAACTGATAAGTTATGCACATGACTTCAAGTGCTAATTTGAGTTTCATCTTGCAGCTCAAACTTGCTGAGATTAGCCATGTCTAGTAGCTATGAATTGCACAGCTGGTTCACATACTCAATGCTTCTTTTATTTCTTAGTACAGCTGGATTCTGGGTAAAAGCCTTAAAGCCAATGAAAATTTCTGTCTGCTTTGTTGTGCCATTGAGACGATGAAGTTTACTAAAGTAAAAATGCCTTTTATGTGCTTATGTTGCAGATGACAAGATTAAATGAAGGATTGTCTCTGTATGATGCAATTCTCATAGTTCCAATGTTTCAGATTGCTTGGACTTTCTTCTCCATCTGTACAGGATTCATCTACTTCCAAGAGTTTCAGGTTCATCTATTTGCTTTTCTTTATCATGGTGACCAAAAAACAGATCCGAAATGGTATGAATTGTAGGCTTACTGTCTTCTTACTCTCTAAACAGGTTTTTGATGCGTTAAGAACGACAATGTTCATATCAGGAATGTTGTGCGTGTTCATAGGCATTTCCTTACTAGCACCTGATGATACAAGAGGCAACGAGACAAAAGATAATTCATCATCTCTAGACTCCATAGTCTCCTCAAGCGTACCAACCGAGGAGGACAGGTAAAAAACACACGTTCCCATTAGATCACTAGTTCTAATTTCTAAAGTTATTAATAATTTAGCTCTTATTGACAATTTGATATTTTATAACAGGTTGATATCTCAATCATCTATAGATGGACATAGCAAAGACTCAAGAGTAGTTGTGCAAGGAATGTATATGAAAGCGACTGATCTAGTTGCCAGGACAAAGGTACACATAAAGCAATAAGTATCTTCACTGGTAAGCTTTATCAACAGTGCTTTTACATTTCTTGTTTTGTTTTTCTGTGTTGCAGACTGCTTGTTTAGCAGCATTGGGCTTTGGGGAAGACTCTATAAACGCGTCTGCGATTCTCGTGATGCCAATGGTATCTTCAAAGATTACAGGGTTTAGAGGAAACGGACTCGAACGGGCAAAGATTTTGTCAATGAGAGGATCAGGATGGAGCAAACTAGCCATGGAAGAAGAAGGAACAAGAACGCTTGAAAAGACATCTCATCACCCTTCAAAGGCTTAAGTAGATTAGTGAAAACAGAGAGCTATGAGACATATTCTCTCAGGTACAGTCTTCTCTTATCATATATGGCTTTAGTAGCAAAGATCTGTTTTTAGGATCCCATCACTGAAAGGAAAAGAAACCATTACACGAATCGTGTATTCTTGCAAAAACTCAAATGTATTACATATAACAACATCTCTGTATATTATTCTTTTTTGTCTGAGACCTGTTGAAAAAGAGTTTCATAAAGTACAAATTGTAAACCAAGTTTGGATCAAGTTTCAATCATTATTACAAATCCACAACTCAGGGCTACAATTATACAGTCTTAACCGATATTTTGAGAATCAGAAAGAAAAAAAAGGGGAAACATGAGAAAAGTTGATTGCAAAAGTTACCAAATCACTTCCAGTTGTTGGCAACAATGTCAGCCAAATCAACAACTCTCTGTGAGTAACCCCATTCATTATCATACCAAGCAATCACCTTCACCATATCATCTCCCATAACCATAGTGAGTGAAGAATCAATGGTCGAGGACACATCTGAGCATCTGAAATCAACGGAAACCAACGGCTCATCGCAGACTTCGAGTATACCTTTAAGCTCCTTCTCTGCAGAGTCTCTGAAAGCAGCGTTAACTTCCTCAGCAAAAGTCTTCTTTGAGACCTGCACAACGAGATCAACCACTGATACATTTGGTGTTGGTACACGAAGAGCAATCCCGTTGAGTTTTCCTTTGAGGTTAGGAAGCACAAGAGCAACGGCTTTAGCCGCTCCAGTAGATGTAGGAACAATGTTTAAAGCAGCTGCTCTTGCTCTCCTCAGGTCACGGTGGCTAGCGTCTAACAACCTCTGGTCACCAGTGTAAGAGTGAGTAGTTGTCATTGTACCCTTTATGATGCCTGCAATGTTTACAAAAACCGTTTCAGAGATCAATTGTTCAGACCAAAGAAGAAGAGAAAGCCGGAAGAATTATCGTAATACCGAATTTCTGGTCAAGAACTTTGACAAAGGGAGCAAGACAGTTAGTAGTGCAAGATGCATTGCTTATGATCGGCTCATCGGGATTGTAAGCATCGGCATTGACACCAACAACGTAAGTTGGGATGTCTCCTTTGCCTGGAGCTGTGATGATAACTTTCTTGGCTCCGGCTTCAATGTGTTTACCAGCACCTTCTCTGTCCACAAACACTCCGGTTCCTTCAATGACAATGTCGATTCCTAACTCCCTGAGGAAACATTCAAATGCTTATCAAGATCTTGGATTCAGACTTAATCAAAATGTTAAAGAGACATAAATGTTTTTGGACTTACTTCCAGGGAAGATTAGACGGGTTTCGGTTAGACACAATTTGGATGATCTTTCCATCAACAGAGAGGGCAGCGTCTCCAGAAGGCTTGACATCGGCGTCAAAGATTCCGAGAGTAGAGTCGTATTTAAGGAGATGTGAAGCCTGCTTGACACCACCAGTGTCATTGATGGCAATGACATCAAGAGGAGAGTCCTTGCGGCCATGCCAACATCTCAAGAAGTTTCTTCCAATCCGACCAAATCCGTTAATGGCCACCTTGAGCTTAGCCTCGGTCACACCTTTCCTGTATCCACCACTGCTTCCCATCTGGCACACACGCACAGAACCATCAAACAGATGCAAACGGACAACGTCTGATCATAGATTGATCCGATCTATTGGCATACATGCTGATTCTTGGTGTAAACAACATGTCATATATTTGACGATCAAATACAATGGTGGATGAATGAGAAAGCTTTAGAAAAGAGAACCAATGAGTGATATAACATTGCATCAAAAGGCAGAACACGGAAGCTACAGAGAATGAGGGAAACAGAGAACTCACTGCAGAGGTCTGGAAAGAGACGAGGGAAACAAACTCATCGGGAGAAAGTTTCTTGCCGAAGGGAAGAGAAGCAGAGGAGCTTCGCAATCCTGAGAACTCAGTGAATCCCTGAAAGACAAAAAGAAAACACAGCATTTACTAAATCTGTGTTTGAGCAATGTAGGATAAACTAGAAGAAGAAGGAAGGAAGGTACCTGAAGAGAAGGTTTGGGAACAGAGAAAGTAGCCGAAGCCATGGTGACCAGCGAGAATCCAAGTTAAGGTTGTAACAGCAGAGGTGAAAAAGAAGAAGTGAAGCAGAGAATGGTAATATAGGAAAAGGAAAATGATGAGTTGGAGGCAAAGAAGATTAGATTCTGGATAGCTTTCTTACTCATTTGTATGGTTGTGGACTTGTGGTTATCATCACTCACTCACTCTCTTGCAATCTTCCGTTTCTATGATCACTAACTGACAAGTCTCTTCCTTCACCTCTTTTTGATTTTGGGCTTTTCACTTTTGGGCTTCTTCATCGTATGTGTGGTCACAGTTATATAAAGATAAGGCTAAGCCTCCATTTGGCAGTTGCTTTTGGGAACCACAAAGATCTTCTTCACTTCAGTATACAGGTGAGAACAACAGAGCGTCGATATCCATGTATTGATGTCAAGTATGGAATGTATAAACTTCAAGTTTACATCATTTGTAATTAATGTTATAGACAAAGTCTGTATAAGCATCGTTGCAAATATGTGAAACTCAACACTGACATCAGAGACAAAGCTTCACTCGAAAGTAACAACAATGGTGAGGCAGAGAAATTAATCTGTTAACAGAACCATTCCAAGTGATGCAAACGAACTTTAGGAAACTGGAAAATCAAGAGATGTGAATCAAAACTAGCTTGCTCATTCTTTCAATCAGATCCAAAGCTAAAGCTATTTTATTCACAACTTCCAAAGGTACATAGTCCTTGCAGATCAGATTGCAACATAACGCATTATGAGAGGAAAATCAACGAAGCTTAAAGTCAAGACCAAAAGGATCAACATTGCTAGAACAATCACTAACCAACAACAGCAAAGAGTCAGTACACGATAATCAAACCCTGAGAATCTGCAGCTTGTTGGCGAAGGCAATGGCGACCCAATCAGGCTGAGAAGAAGACCACTGAAGCTGCTCAATCTCAGCACCAGCTGTATAAGCAAGAATCGGATCAAGACCACCTTCAACATGCTTTCCCATGGAAGAGATATCCCAAATCAACGCCTGAGAATCATCTCCAGCAGTGCAGATGTGAGATGAGCTATGAGGAGCCCAAGCTATGGCATTGACGCTAGCCTGATGACGCTGAAGCTCCACAACGGGAAGAGCAGGGAACCGAATGTCAAGCACCACAACTTTAGCACTGTCCATGATCACAGTAGCCATGTACCTCGGATCCTGCTTGTTCCAGCTAAGCCTTACCAATGGAGAATTAGGCTCAGAGCTCTCGTAGATGATCGTCGAATGCTCCTTATCACGGAGATCGAAAACCCTAACGGATCCATCAGCGGAAACAGAGGCGAAAACTCCGACTCCACCCCAAGCAATGTCGTAGACTTCCTTATCATGAGCAATAAGCTGAGTATCAACGACTTCACGCTCTATATCCCAAATCGTACAAGTCGTATCGATGCTCGAAGTCCCAATCCGTCTCGGCTCAGCTTCGTTCCAATCGAATGAAGTTAGCGGACCACTGTACTCACTGTTCTTATCGCTGTTGAGGCACGACTTGAGCTCAACGCGGGAATGGTCATCGGAGATTCGCCATAGACGGAGGAAGTCGCTTGAGGTAGCGAGAAGATCAGGTCTCTGGCACTCTTTATCGGGGATGAAACTGGTTTTGGTTGGTGGGTATGGATGCTCGAAGGAGAGATTTGGATCGGAACGAATCTCGCCGTTGGATTCGTCGAGCTGCACGACCTCGACGCGGTTCGGGTATTGCTCGATGAGGCTGGTGATGGCGAGACGGTACTTTTTATCGCGACGGACACTCCAATTCATGGCGTAGATCGGCCACGGCGCTTCGTATGTGTAAATCTCCGATCGTTTCTGTTGCTCGTCGGAGACATCTTGGATTTGATCGCTGCTCATAACCATTTCCGCTTCAAATCCCAAAATCTGCTCAAAGCATAAACCCTAGATTTAGAAAAACCTCCTCCTCCTCTACAGTCCTCTGCTTCGTCTTCTTCTAGTGGATATTTACTAATTTTTTTTATTTTCTTTTTGAAATAACAATACATTTCACTCCAAACGACGTCGTCTAAGCGCGAGTCGTGTTCTTCATCATCATCCACAAAAGATCAATCGGATTATCGTCGTCAATCCATGGCGGCTCCGTCGCCGTCTTCCCCACAAAATCTCCTCTCTTATCCACCGTTCCGAATTGATAAAGCCTCGTTTTTTCTCAGAACTTGTTCAAATTTCTCTCAATTGAAACAGATTCACGCTAAAATCATACGGCACAATCTCGCCAACGATCAGTTACTCGTTCGTCAGCTCATCAGCGTCTCTTCTTCCTTCGGAGAGACCCAATACGCTTCTCTCGTCTTCCGTCAGCTACAGTCTCCTTCTACTTTCACTTGGAACCTTATGATAAGATCTCTCTCCGTCAATAACAAGCCTCGCGAAGCTCTCCTCCTCTTTATCCTCATGCTCTCTCACCAATCCGAACTTGACAAATTCACTTTCCCTTTCGTTATCAAAGCTTGTCTCGCCTCTTCTTCTCTTCGTTTAGCCGCTCAAGTCCACGGCTTGGCCATCAAGTCCAGTTTTTTCTCGGATGTTTTCTTCCAGAACACTCTCATGGATCTCTACTTCAAATGTGGAAAGCCAGATTGTGGCCGCAAGGTGTTTGATAAAATGCCTGGCCGATCCATTGTTTCATGGACTACTATGCTCAATGGCCTCGTCTCCAGTTCCCAATTAGACTCTGCAGAGATCATATTCAACAAAATGCCATCGAGAAACTTCGTCTCTTGGACTGCAATGATCACTGCGTACGTCAAGAACCGAAGACCCGACGAGGCGTTTCAGCTTTTCAGGAGAATGCAGGATGATAACGTCACGCCTAATGAGTTTACGATAGTGAGTTTGTTGCAAGCCTCTACGCAGCTAGGAAGCTTGACTATGGGTAAATGGATTCATGACTACGCTCACAGAAACGGATTCCCGCTTGATTGTTTCCTTGGAACTGCTTTGATCGATATGTATAGCAAATGTGGAAGCTTGCAGGACGCTAGGAAAGTCTTTGATGTGATGCAGAGTAAGAGTTTAGCGACTTGGAATGCGATGATCACTAGCTTGGGAGTACATGGGTTTGGGGAAGAAGCTTTGTCTCTGTTTGAAGAGATGGAGGAGGAAGAAGAAGGAGGCGTTGAGCCAGATGCTATCACTTTCGTCGGTGTCTTATCTGCTTGTGTTAACACTGGAAATGTAAGGGAAGGTTTGAGATACTTCACACGCATGATGCAAGTTTACAGTATAGAACCTATTCAAGAACATGATGCTTGTATGGTTCAACTGTTGGAGCAAGCCCAAGAAGTGGTAAAAGTTTCGAACTTGGTTGATTCTTCTATGGATTCTGATCCAAATCTCAATACTTCTTCTGATATCGAAACAATGGATAGAGTGAATGACAGGCACGAAACTTGGAGCCAGCAACCAGTTATGTTCTCCAAGTGGGATGCAGACTGATTTTGAAAGTTCAGTGTCTCTTGACTTATATTTTTTTCACTGTATTAAACAGATTCTTATGTAAACTTTGTAACTATACAAGAAAAGCTCTGGCAAAAGTAGTGCAGTTTCATGTACTTGTACAAGGAATGAAGTTTTGATTTTCTGAAGTTAGTGAATATAGTAAAATTTGATTCGACACCTATTGAGCATCATTCATGTCTTAGCTCAGGTTTACTTGAAAATGTTTCAGAATTATAGAGCACAATGCATGCAAGAGCATAGATGGAATTTAGAAACAGAGATTTCTTATTTGGACATTACAGAAGATGAAACTGAGATATTACAGAAATTCAGAATTATGGGTTTGAGCAATAGCAATCTCAGCTCGAGTCTTGGCCAAAAGATTCTCGGTTTCTTGAATTTGAGTCTGGAGTAAATAAACAATCCCAACACATCCATAAACAGGATCTTCTACTCTGCATTTTGCTTCAAAGCACAATGACTGCACTGCTTCTGCTCTTGTTTGAACAGGAAGTTGCTGTCAAAAAAAAGATCACCAAAGTCCAACCATGAATATTTATAGTGATTGTATAAAACTATTTACGAAAATTAACGGTATCCAGAACCATAGAGTCTGTGGATACATGCAAAAAATTTAGAACAGATACACAAGATTTTATAAACAGTACCTGAAGCATTTTGGAAACGTTTCCAGCACCATAGATTCTGTGGATACAAGCAAATTTTTCAGGATCGTTTGGAGGGAAATAAGGTGAGAAAATGCAATCTTTGGGACATCTTCTTCTCAGATATTTGCAAGCAGCACATCTTTTAGGATTCATCACAGATCTTCTCTGAGAAAGAAAGTAAAAACAAAGATACAAAAGATTGTGAAAATCTAAGACAGAAGGATTTGGCTATTTGTATTCTTTCTTGTTTCCTTTTCTTTCCCAAAATTCCCCAACGGCTATTTCCAGTCTCTAAAATTATGAGAACATTTACTTAAGGTAAGCTTCTTAATGTTGATTCTCAGTTTTGACTAATTAGAAGAATATTACCGTTGATTTTAATTTCATGTTGCTTAATTGCTCTTAAGAGAAAAATAATATAGGGAACTGTACCGTGTTGATATTAACTAGGCTAATTTATACAAATTTCGATCACAGATATTAGTCAAAACAAAGTCAGTGGTAAAGAAGAAGATCAAATTTCTCATGCATATAACTTCAAAAACAACATAAAATCATGTAGAAAGATTCAGAGAAGAAGATAATACAGAGACAGAGTAAAAGTACAAAAACAAACATAACTTCTCTTCTTTCTTTTTCCCTCAACTTAATCTGAATCTCCATAAACTTCACCATCCGATAACTCATCAAAAGTCCTCATATCAAGCTGGTACCTCAACAACCCACCAATCCCACCAAAGCCTCTGCAAAACTGTGACCCTTCTTGTGACTTGTTAGTCACAAACTCAAGCGTACAACCAAAACGTTTATACTCATTAGCAAACCATTCAAGCAGAGGCATCTTCTCCACAACTTCCAACTCCGCATTGGTCTCTCCATCATGGAAATTCCCTTGATCATTCTCCTGATCTTTCCCCAAATGCTTAATCACTATCTCCCCTGTAGCGTTGTTCTTCAACTCATACCTATTGATATCCAAATTCTCCCACACTATAAGAGTCTCAACAGCACCCATCTCAAGAGCCTTCAAAGTATCATCAACACCAAAAACATACTTCCCTGTGTCCTGACTAATCTCCTCAAAATACTTCCCAATCAGTTTCTTCTCCTGAATAAACTTCACATTAGATAAGATCTCAGCAGAGAGCTCAATGGCTTGGTTGAAACCGTTCTCTCCTCCGTAAGACACATCAACCACATTCAAAATCTTAGCTTGAAGCCGAGGGTCAAACAGCTCAGACTGGCTTAGCTCGGTCTTGAAATCAGCAGAGCCAGCAAGAATCAAACCAGAGACATTAGGCTGGCTCGTAGCTGGATTGATGTAAAACTGAGTGGAAAGCTCTGCCGTCTTCCTCACATAGTTATGCCTCTTCTCCATCCTAAGACGAGCGAAACGAAGCGCAGATTGTCCTCCTCTTCCGTGCTTCTTAGGAAGATCCACAGTGAACTTGTGAAGCACCTCTCTTGTGTTCCCACTCAAAGTGCCAAACAGAGTCCCATTCCCATCCATGACAATGAAACCAAACTTATCATCAGACTCAAGAAGCTCGTTTAAAGGCTCGGTGTGGAATTTGTTGTCACACAAGTACAGAGAAGCGTTAATGGGTTTGAAAGGCTCGAAATCAATCGTCACTTTCTTCTCTTTACCATCGTCTGTAACAATGGTGCCTGTGTACAGGACAAGGCCGTTGGGAGGGACTCTGTTGTAAAGCTTCAACCTTTGCTGAGCTGAAGTAATGGCGGATAGTACAGATTGGCGGTTTACTCGACTCTTGATGTTTGAAGCGGTTCCGTATTCGTCGGCAAGCATCTTGGTGACACGAGCTACTTGATCTCGCGGAGGCATTATGAGAGAGATCATACTCGTTCCGTTGCCTCTTGCGGTTTCAAGTCCCTTGATTAGCTTTTTGATCTTCCAAATCTCGATGTTCTTATCTGATTCTTGATCTGCCATTCTCTTTCTCCTTTAAGGTTAAGATAGAGCACGAGAATCAGAACTTAGAATCAGCTTGGAGTTTAGTAAACGGATTTCGATTAGTCTAGAGTAGACCCAGATTGAAATTGGAAGGAAAAATCGAAACTTTTGACATGAACAGATAGATTCGATACTCAGAGAGATCGAAAACGCGAAGATTCAAGTACCTGAGTGTGTATCGCTTCTCTCTTCTTTAGCAAATTCTCGCAGCTTCTCGACCCAGAAATGAGTCTCCTTTAGGGCTCTTTTTTCCCCTTTAGTCCCCTTCCTAACGAACACGTGTCATGTGATGTGAGTGAACACATGAAGTAACTGTTTTTTATCTTTTAACGCGGGACGGATTATTATCGGAGGATTAAAAATGGGTGGTCCGAAAATAAAAGAAATTATGGGCTTGACAAGGCCCATTTTAAGTGAACAAATGAGATCTTTCTTGAACAGCTATATTTGTTTTTCTTTTGGAAAATGTATATAATTCCAGTTGAATACAAATTTTGTATAATAGCCAGTCCAGTACGTCTGTTTATACAGTATATGGACTTTAGAACTTACATTTTGCAAATTCATATTGAAAAACATGTTCATTGATGTATAAAAAAAATATTTGTCGGGTATTTTGTGACCCCTTTATTGGAAATTAATTGAATATAAAAATAAGTGATTAAAAATGGAACAAAGGTAAAGATATAGGTAGAAACTAATAATCAAAAGAAATGTCACATGCGCGTGCGACATAGATTTTGATTAAAGAGAGCTGAAATGGACGGTGAAGACACTCTATCACTCTCATCTTCTTCCTCACATTACTCATGACTTTTGGTAGAGATTCTTACTTCTAATATTTAGTTCACTTTTCATTGCATCTTGTAATCTTGATGGATGGATGGATCATGGATGATGATTATTGTTATGTTAAAAGTTAGGTTCCGTGGTTAGTAGCCACGAATTTATAGATCAATGTGGTCTTTCCACCAAAGCCATCAGTTGGTTCTTCCTCCACTAACAAAATATTATAAAGTCTCTAACACTACTTTTTGTAACACTACCTTTTGTAACTTTTAAGGAGATTTAAAAGTTCTTATGTTAATATATCTTCTCAATGAATATTCTCTCAAACTCTGACTGTAAGTGTTCTTCATCATACATAAAATACCAACTTGCCAATTTAATCTTATAAAAAGAAAATATTTCATATTCACTTTACAGTGTTGTTTCTTTTAAGATATCAACTAGCATATTAATAAAACTTGGGAAACCTTAAAAAATTGGAAAACTGGACATTACAAAAAAAAAAAAAAAAAAAAAAAAAGTATATATTTATTTACTTTCCACACTCCATTGGATTTTACATAGATTGGTGAAATAGTAGCGATATGTAAAGTAATATTAAACCTCTGAAATTGGAATGCATCATAACACTATAGAAAAGTAAAACGAAAAGAGCTGATTCAAGAGCCATCACCTTCTCACATCCACAAAAAGTTGCAGAAGGGAAGCAAAAAGAAACATCATAATCCCCCAAAATAAACACATTAAAAAAAAAGAGAAGCAAATATATATAAAAAACCTGTACCTAACATCGATTATAGCCAATATTCTTAGGAGAGGTTCACTGGTCCAAATTAGAAAGAGCCTCATTCTATACTCTTCTCATCTCTAGCATGAAAAGATATATAACCCAAAATTTTGTTTTTTAAGGTTGAGGGCAATATTTTTCATGGGACGAAGCAATAAGTCTCTTGGGAGAATAACCACCAGAACTAGTACTCTTCTTCAAGCAATAACCAATGCTTGAAGGAACCAAAGGCCCTTGTGTTTTGCCGTACGAGTTCCAACACAAAGCTTGTTGCTGCTGATGAGTTTGTAACCCTCTGATTCCCCCGGAGGGTCTTAGCCTTATATCCATCAGATCCACATCCATGCATGGCACGTTGTTACTGCATGCGATATGTACCGGTTGTGCCGTGAAAGTACCGACGATGTTGTTGTATTTGACGCCGGAAATCGACACTGCGCTGGTCTGATTCTTACACTTGGACTTGTCGCAATAAAATTGGTCTATTACTATCGGTTTTTCCACGTCCTTTACTTGTATGTTTGAGAATGTTAAGTTCTTGACGACCCCAAATCCTCCCTACGTATATATATAGTAATATTTTCGAGTATAAATAATTAAAGAAAGAAATCTGAATTAAAATGTCGTCTCTATGTTTGAAATAATATATTTATATATATAATTTGAATTGAATGTAGAATATGTTCAAACCCAAAATAATATATTTCCATATGTTACCTGCCAAGTCTTGATCCGAACACCTGAAAGAGTGTTCTGTATAGAGCTATCCTCCACAATGATATCAGAAACACATGCCACACTCTTATCTTTCCCTAGACTCCCTATGCTGTGATCACAACCCCAAACAATACCACATAAATTATTTTCTTAATTAAGAAAATTAAAACAGTAAAGACTGAAAAAAGTAATGTCGAATTCGATAGTGTGTGTATGTACAAACCTGATGCCATGGCCAGGGCCACAATTGATGTGGTGAATATGTACATTGGAGGAGCCGGTTTGAATTGATATACAGTCATCTCCTATATAACAAATATAATTTAAAAATTTAAAATTTAACCCGCTCAAATTGATGAATAGTGATATGATTTGTGTTTGGTAATTCAACATTTAGAATCTCTGGTACGTATGATATATCTTAGTTTTATAGATAAACACTAACATTTAGAATCTTTGGTCCATATAAAAATATTAGCAATAAATTAAATAAAAGAGAGCTTTTTCATTCTGCATGCTTGCTTGTTTGCATAAAAAGTTAGTTTGGGTGACAGTTATACCGTTAAATGTTGCTCTTAAGCCAATGATGTCTTTTCCTGTTGTATGTCTATTTTATAAGTAATACTTTTGAAAAGCTTTACATGATTTATCTCTTTGTCCTAATATTTTTTTATTCACTTTGGCGTCAACAACGTGGCAACGACTTATGTTGAACTGTTTATTTATATAACTTTCTATTTATGTATTTCATCTGCAGAAATAGAACGACAAGTGTCGAAACATAAGTGGTTAAACCATAATCTACCAGTAAAAAAAATGTTATTTCATAAGCATACTGATTAAGTAATTTTGTAGCTAATTTTGGACAAGAATACATCAAGATCTTTACTTAGATCCGGCTAATTTTTTTAGATTTAGAGTAATAAAAAAAATAAAGGAAATGGTGTATTAAAAGAGAGTATTAATTACCGCAAGCAATGTTGGAGTGTTGAATCTCGACATTACGTGTGTTTTGGAGGTGGATGCCGTCGGTGTTAGGGCTATTCTTCGGCGAAGAGATCGTTATGTTGTTGACTTTGACGCCGTCGGAATCATCAAACTTCAAGTGACACAGTGGGCTATTCACGATGCTTATGTCACGGACCGTTACGTTACCACTTGCATAAAACCTAAGTGCCTATGCATACGTATAAATTAAGCCATCAATAGGCTAGGTATATACACATAACATTTTACGAATTCGAATATTTAATACATTATACTTACCGTTGGTTTCATTGGTGGGATATATTTTTTACTCCTCTGAAAAAAGGAAGAAGAAGAAAGAAGCAACAACAAGTTAAAAACAGCACTATAGAAGGTTTAGAAAGTATCAAAGTAGCATATAATGATTTTTTTTTTTGTAACATATAATGATATATTAAAATATTGATTTATGTATACATTCACTTATTTGGATGGTGAAATATATAAAATCCTAGCTATATTGAGTAAACAAAAGGGGAAAATTTAAGGTGTTTGTTGGTTTGTGTATTTTAATTGATTGGAAACTCTATATAGGATATGTAAATATTTGGAGGATTCAATGATTTTAAAATCTAACATAGAAATTTGATCTAATATTCTAAAACATGTTTAAAATAATTAGGTTCATCCTTAATTAAAGGTCTCTATTTCAAAGATACTTTTCAAATTTATTAAAATTCAACAAGAAACCAAATCCTTATTAAAATTCAATGTAAAATCAAATATTGAGCATCATATCCAGATTTAAGTATGATAGTATGCCGTTTTAATATCAAACAGAAAAAAGTAAAAATAAAAAACCTACTTGAGTTTGATAAGTGTCCAAGTTCCACCAGTTTGAGCCACGACCATCAAGAATCCCTGAGCCTTGGATGGTGACGTGGCGGACCCATTTGAAGTTAAGCCACTGAAATAAACTCGACTTAGACCATGACCCTATCTTAGCCGGAGCCACTAAGGTTCCTTCTATTTGAAGTACTGTTTCCCCCGTGCACGGCCCTTGCAGCGTCACCGCCTTCACCATAAACTCTTTCCCTGCCGGAATCTCCACCTTCCCTCCCGCCACTTCACAAGCCGCCTTCCACGCTCCGACAAATGCCTGCGCAGCTCTCCAAAAAAAAATATTGAATAACACGAAAAAAGTGTTTACCACCAAGTGAAAACCGGATATATAAGAAGTTTTGATTATACGGTCGGAATCCAAAAAAAAAAACTTAAGCCTTAACTGTTCTAAACGAAATTTCTGCATTTGCATTTTCATGATGAGGATTTTTTCAACTTGGATATATAACATTTACAGCTTCTATAAACTATTTTTGCAAAATGCAAACGCAAACGCTAAACGGTTCTCCTTCCGCATAGTTTCTATTTACAATTAGTTTTGCTTAATATGTTTATATATAAAAGGAAAACATGTGTAAATTAAACACAAACGCAAATGCAAACAAACAATCAAGAATTCCGACTAATATGTCGTTTTGCTTTATAGCATTTGATGTTGAAAACTTATGAATTATGTTCGAGCGTACCTTTGAGTCATCCGAGACACCATCACCTTTGGCACCAAAGGAGAGAATGTCGAAAACCCCCTCATGAGTGGACGGATAAGGTGCGGGTGCCGGAGAGCCTGTAGGGGTATTTCTGGAGTGGCGACGGTGCTTGGGTTTGATCTTCTTGACGTGATGTTTACGTCCCTCGACGGAGATGGTAGAGATAGCGGCGGCGACGATAATGAAACCGAGCAGAATAGCTAAAAGAGGCGAAATGTTCATTGTCTTCATATTTACTTATATATATTCTTGTTATGTGTTGATTCTTTTTGTTGGTGAAAGGTAGTTAGTTTAACGACGGTTTATATAGCAATAGCTTTAGCCAAATGACCCTTTCTCTTGCACTATTTTCAGAACTACCCTTTACAATTTCCAAAAGAGAAAAGTTTTAGTCATTATAACCCATAAAACCTGCGTGCAGTGGCATAGTGGTTTTAGAGTCAAGGTGAAGGGTGTAAATCATTGTGTGCAATCGAAAACATAAGTCAGCATCAATTAAGCTACGTGACGCGAATCTTACAAAAAGAAAACACACAAAACTACGGTGATCTTACGATTAGGACTCGTCACCTACTCGGTTTCTTATTTTGGCAAGGAAAATTGTTTTTGGTTAAGCTTCTTTTGTAATATGTTACCAACCATTTCATTACTTACTGAAAATTCAACTATTTAGCCAAAACAAAAAAAAAACGTCAACCTTGGTGCTTTGCACGTGTTGAACTTTTGGAGAACTCCTTACCATCCATCAAAGAAGAATAAGTTTAAGCAACAACATAATTTTGGTAGAATTTCTGAAAAGAAATTACGGAAAATGAAAATTAACGTACTAAATTATTTTAATACTCCCTCCGTTTTATAATAAGTGTCGATTTGACTCTTGAATTACCAACGTATCTAGATATATATAGATGTATTAAGACTCAAAACACATTCCTATACATCATTAAATAGTCCAGATTCATTTTATCAAAACGACATCTATTATGAATGAAACGGAGGGAGTATAATTTAGTGATATAGATGTTGGATCGGTACGGACGGATGTTCGACATTATAATGTTCACGACGTGTACGCACTCGTAATAGTAGTTGATAACAAACTCCAATATCGAAAAGTTTGGTTCCGACCGATGACTTCGAAGAACGTGCCTACACAAGAGTAACACAACCCTAAACATATAGTCTATTTACCAACAAAAAAAAAACAAACTCTAATTCTCGATTTTGATTCCTACATACTCACAACACCCAATTTTTTTTACTTGTTAAATTTCATTTAACCATTATTATAAAATATTCGAAAACTTCTGCAAGGTTTCCCGATAACATAATGTATGTGTGCAATGTAACACATTCAAATTATACTAATTTCAATTTCTCTAAATATGCATACTCTATACGCACAACTGCAACCAATCCAACAATTAATTTCTTTCTTTCCACACTTTTCTGTCTTTTTAAAATACATTATATTCTCGTCCATTACTCAATTAATAAATACATCATAACAATAATTTTCAGACATTTTATTCTTGAATAGTTTCCAAATTAATAGAAAGGTATATGAAAAAACTAAAGTGTAAAGACCCTTTTATTTAAATGTGTTGCTACACAAAATCCAAAATGGGAACACAAACGCCAACTAAAAAGCGTTGAAGCATTATAAAGAATGACCAGAAATCTACTATGCCGTATATATGTATGTCTATATATTCTTTATATTTATTAAAGATGCATGCAATCTCTTAGTTTTATTGAACTTTCTATGCGAAAAGGTGGCTGCAAAGTACTAATCAGAAAACCAAGAGGCAAGAGCTGATATATAAATAATAGAATTATGCTATGGATAATTTTTCATAAGCCTAACAGAAAAGTGGTGAATTGTTGAGTAATAATTTATGTAAGCTAATGGGGCAATGACCTGTAACATTAGAAATTGCTTGTTCCTCAATCATCAGCAACCGTTATGCACTCTTCCATTATAAAAGGTAAAAAGACCTTATCCAAAATATGCATTACCTATAAAATACTTCGTTCCAAAAGTCAGTTTAATCATATCAATGTACTACACTAATTCAACTGTGAGTTAGATAGATCCAAGTTTTAATACAACACTACATTGAGAATGTTTACGTCTTGTAGAGGTAGAAAATTATATATATCCTTGATTTCTGTTAAGTCTTAGAAAATAGGTATGTGGAGTTTTACCCCAAAAAAAAATATGTGGATTAAAACTGAAACTTGTATTCTAATTGTTTCAACTAGTATTATTTTCGTGTTAAAGTGGTTTAATTCGCTATTTATGTCATGTGAAGTTTAACTCGTTTTGAGAGGAATAGTTTACGAGTCGTGTATGATGTTACCAATTGTTTAGTTCGGGGCTCACGAGATGTGCGGGCACTCAAAAGAAAAAAACTTGTGTGGTTTGTGTGGTATCTGTTAACTGTTGACAAATACGAAGAAATATCTTACTAATCATTGATGGAGAGACAAAGAGGAACAATCGAAAGCAACAACCATTATCTATTACACAACCAAATGTTATCATCTTTTATATTATTAGTAGTTCGCCAAAAGAAGACGAAAACCAAAGTTGGATGTTAGGTGAATCCACTATTACTTCTACTAAACATTAGTGACTTAATTGTTGATTTAAATCTAATTTCTCAGGTTGAAATCACAAGACATTTCAAACTAGTGAAGTTGAACAGTAATACTGGACTGGACCACATAACACACAGCTCAATTAAAACATAAAAGGCCCACGTTTACAACAATATTCGGAAGGGTTCGGAACCAGACAGAGCAAAGCCAGTTTTTATTCCTCATGTAACATTATTTATTTTTGTTGTTTGTTTCAATTCATTTACAATGCAGAGGTTTCATCAATCAATGATCACAAAATGAGAGATTCTGCTTTCCCCTGTAAATCTAACAACGGAGAGATTCTCTTCTCTGTAACAGAATCAAAAAAAAAAACTGTAAACTCTATCTGCTTTTACTAAGGACCAACATACGAAAGCATTTGACTGTGACTTCCTGCATTATACAGACTCAGCTGATAAATCGCTTTCGACACAAGCTCTCTCAGCTCCAGATTCTGCAGACTCGCCAAACGCTCCGCACCTTCAAGCACAGTCAAAACCTTAGCCTGCTCCAACTGCTCATGATTACTAGCATTCATCGAAAGGTAACACAGCAGAACAAGACACTGCAACTGCACTTGCTGTTCGAAGTTCCTTATCAGCTTCATCAGCAACGGAACCGCACCGTACTCGATTATGTTCTTGGAATGCTCCTTGCACAAGAAATTATCAGGGCACACAAATTTCTGCAACGAGATCACAGCAGCGATCGCCACGTCTTGATTACCACTACCGAGTTTCTCCACCAACGGCTCGATCATCCTCGTCTCTCTCGCCGGGAACGTCCTAGCCAACGAACCTATCGACTGAATCGCCGGGATTTTCAGAACATTGCTATCGACTTCTTTAATAATCCACAACATCTGGTCAATCACAGCTTTAGCAGCTGGTGAATTCGTCTTGAAAGCTGCTCGTCTAAGGTCAGCGTTAGACTCAGCAGCAGAGGTTATCTCCATAAGCGTCATCAAACAATTGTACTGCAACTCTCCGGCTTCTTTCTCCACTATCTTCGCCAGAGAAAGCAACCCTTTCGTCTCCGTTATCCTCCTACTGTTCGCCACATTCCCTCTCGCAAGCATCCACAGAGCTTCACCACAATTCACCTTAAGCTCATGTTTCACTTCAGGATTCTCATTATCCCTCTCCTTCTTGAAATTCCCAATTCTACTACTTCCACTAATGTCACTATACACATTCGACTTTGAGCTCTTAAACGGCCTGTGAAGTTTCAAGGACGGATCTTTCTCGATCTCTTTGTTCATCTGAACAAGAGAGTGAATGCTATTGTGCTTACTCAAATGAATGTCATCCACAAAGACGTCGAGAGAGAGGAGCGTCACGAGAGGCTTGATCACGCTCTGTCTAGCGAACTCGTCTTGCGCGATTGGATCGTGCTCCGCCATTCTTGCCACCAATGTAGCTACCTTAATCTGAACCCTAACCGGAGAATCCGCGAGAACCTGGACTATAATCGGAACACCGAGCTCATTCACAATAGACCTAACCTTATCCTCGTCGCAAGAGAGATAAACCAACGCAGTAGCCGCCGAGATTTGCGCCTCCGACGATGAGCTTTCCTTGAGAAGCTTAAGCAGCGGAGAAACGCCTCCTTCGTCTACGATGATCTTCTTGTTCCGATCGTTGTCTCCGGCGAGCGAGCCGAGCTGATTCGCGGCGTCGATTTTGTCCGGCAATTTCCCCATCTGTATCGACGCGACGAGCGACCACACCCACGGGAGGATCGGATCGTTCGTCGCGATCGGGGGGAGAGAGATTACGATTCCTCCTCCGAAGCTTCCGTCGCCGTCGGAATCGAACACGCTAAGTATCCATTTCACGTCGCCGTTGGAGGACTCGAGAAGGTTGATCACCTTGCGAAAATCGGCGGCGTTGATGATGGTGCAGACTCGCCGGATTATGTTGTGCTTTCGACACTTGCGAACGAGAGCGAAACCCCGCTCGAGATTCTTCTTGACGTCGACGATTACTCGGCGAATCGGCCGGTCGTAAACCTGCTGAGAGCCGGCGACGAGGCGGACGAGCGTCCTGAGCATTTGAGCGAGCCGATCCACCTGCTTACCAACCTCGCCGCACTCCGTCTTGAACGATTCGGCCTCGTCCACCGCTACACGGAGGCGCTCCGCCGTGAGAACGGAACTCGAGAGCTCGTCCCCAATTCGGCTCTCTTCTTCCATTATAATGAAATCTAGAGGAAAGCTCCCACTTCCTCTCTCTCTCTTCCAATCAATTTCGTCTTCAAGCTGCTACTAGTGTTGTCATCGTCTTCTTCGTCAACTTTAGTCCTCGATGGTGTCGTCGAAGGTTTCGTCCAAAACCAGTCAGGTCCGTTTTTGTTTTCATTGCTTTTTCCACGGTTTCGATTTGACCGGCGCGTGAAATACACGGTTTACGTGTGTTCTTTTTAAAACTATTTAATGCGTGGAAAAAAAAAAGAGGAAGCGAGCGTTAAATGAAAGTAATTAACATCCGTGGGTGCTTAGTTCGAGATTTAACAGACATTCTTGACATTTGTATGTCACAATACATGAATAAATGATACTACTAGTAATATAAAACTCGTAAAACATAAGATATTACTGTTTCATGTCCCTTGAAATATTTTAATTGGTTAATTATAGCGCGTAGGTTTAACATCGGTACCCACAGTACCCACCCAGTGTGTGCGTGCGTGTGTGCTTGATCCGCTTATGAGTGTTTTTTTGTTTGCTTTTTTACCAATTTAATTCAGTTTTTTGTCGGAAAAAAAAATAAATTCTGGTTTGTGAATAGGCCTTTGGAATTTCAAATAAATTTCGTGGGTTTGAGGATAACAAAAATGGATTTTCGTGGGTTTAGTTCTGCGAGTAGCGGGCATTTGGTTTCAGCCCATAGTTTATGTACGAAACCATTTTTTTCTTAGAATAGTTTAAAAATAGGGAGATTTGTGAATATACCCCAAAAGAGAGAACTATTGTCCCCTTACACTTTTTTTGAAATTTATCAAATCTGGACTCTAATACCCTTACATATGCTAGAAATATGATATAAATATATTTAAAAGTTTTAAAAAATTAAATAAATTAAGTAAAATGATTCTAAGGTTTAGAGAATATTTTCACAATTTGTTTTTGAAATTTGAACCTCAGAAAAATAAATAAAATTTGCATCTACCAAATTCATTATTCAAAGTAGAATTTGTCTTCTACTAGAGACTCTCACATCTATCCCTCGTAGAACATAAAATCTACCAACTGTTCAGCCATCTACCATCGTAGAATTTGCTTTCTACTAAATACTCTATACTCTACGAGTTGGTAGAGTTGTAGAACATTTGTTCTACGTTGTATACGGTTTTCTACCGTTGGTAGAACCTATATTCTAACCTACACATTGTTTTCTACCATCTCTAGAATCTATATTCTATCATAAACAATTTCTTCCACTATTTGGAGAATTCGTGTTCTACACAAAATACTATCTTCTACTATTTGTAGACTTTGTGTTCTCCTGAAAACAATGTCTTCTACTGTTTGTAGAAACTATAATCTACATTAAACACATTTTTCTACGAAATGATAGAATTCAACTTCTACGAGAATCTAAAAAATATAGTAAAAATGGTAACTAAATATTAGAAAATATCTTCAAAAACTATATTTCCTTAATCTACTTTGCCAGAAGAAAAAAAAGAATTCTCATCACGTTCTTCTTCTTCTTTTTTGCTTTTTCTTATCATTTATATAATTTTCTTTTAGATTATTTGTTTTAATCTATTTTTCTCAGGTTATTCTGTTGCATATCTATATAACATATGGAGACTGAGTGCAATCAAATGGTGGAATTTCGTTGTTGGTGAGGCAAAAGGAACTAGATTACTTGCTTTGAAATATATTTTTCTTTTCTTAAATAATTAATTATTTATTTGTTTATTACACTAATCATTTAATTTCATTTATTAATTATTTATTTATTTGAAAAAATCATGAAAACGTAATTTGAGGGTTAAAATTGGATTTAAAATTTAATTAAGGGTAAGTGGACAAGATTTGGCAAAAAAAGAGTAGATGGACAACTCTTCTCTTTTTCTGGAGTATTTTGCCAAATTTCCCTTAAAAATATCATGTTGGTGGATTTATTTTCTAATTAATTTGGAAGTTCCCCCATATAGTCCTTAGTCCATACATCGAATCAAAATTAACAAAAGAAACAAAAATAAAAATAGTTGGAAATTACAATTACTAAAAATAGAAAAAAACATCATCGTTATCTCATCCTTAGTCACGAATCGTTAGATGACCAAAATGCATTTGAATTCATCCAATATTTTATAATAATTCCAAAAACACAAGAACATTTTTCCACATTGGACAATTAATTTATTGATATGCTAGCTGCTGTATTTGTTAGATAAAGAAATGCTAGCTGCTATTCTCTAATAAATATTCCTCTTTATTTCGTGAATATGTAGACATAAAAAAAAAATACATATTTTCTATATAAGTCATGAATGACTGACTAATCCCAAGATCCTCACTCTTTGGTCCTTTATTATTTAGGCTTTGACCTCCATTAATCTCTCTCTCTCTCTCTCTCTCTCGTCGAGATGGGAGAAAACAAAGATATAACCGAGACGCTTCTCTCTACGGCTGAAAAACTCGACCCGGTGACCTTTCTTCCCTTCTCACCGGCCGATGATATATCTCCGATCACTACCATCGGTGGCTTTGTCAAAGAGTTTAACGTGGAGGCCAAAAAACTATGGTACTTGGCCGGTCCCGCCATTTTCACGTCGGTGAGCCAATATTCTCTTGGCGCCGTTACTCAGGTCTTCGCCGGCCACATCAGCACTATCTCTCTCGCCGCCGTTTCTGTCGAAAATTCAGTGATCGCCGGCTTCTCCTTCGGCATCATGGTAAATTACATATTTACATCTACACCAACAACAACAAAAATTACATTCATACCCCTTATATAACATTGCCCAGTTTGCGTATCACATTTTTGTTAATAAATATTCTAACATATTTATTTGACCAAAACAAAATATTAGTCAAACATTTTTATTTTGTTTGATTCCCCATTTAGAAAAATAAAAAAATCTTATACTAACGGCTAATGCATAATGCATGTATCGAGCACAAATTAGTTTTAGGATGTTTTTTTCCTAGATACTCTATTTGTATTATTTTAGTCAAAATTACTATAAAATAACGTTTATTACTATATGGTTTAGACGTATAGTATGTACGCCTGCCGACAACAACAACAACAAAAATAACTTTTTTACCTACTTTCTTACGAAATAACTTTTTATACCCATATTCGTACGAAAATTTACGTTACGTTGTTATATTCTAAATTTTAATTTGTTTGTTTTGTGATGTATATGGGTGTCATTGTGAACGTGACTAGCTTGGAATGGGAAGTGCGTTAGAAACGCTATGTGGACAAGCGTTTGGAGCTGGGAAACTGTCAATGCTTGGCGTTTACCTACAACGATCATGGGTGATCCTAAACGTGACCGCTCTTATCCTCTCCCTTCTCTACATCTTCGCCGCTCCAATCCTCGCATCCATCGGCCAAACGGCAGCGATCTCTAGCGCCGCCGGAAAATTTTCCATCTACATGATCCCTCAAATCTTTGCTTACGCAGTTAATTTCCCGACAGCTAAGTTCCTCCAATCCCAAAGCAAGATTATGGTCATGGCCGCGATTTCCGCGGCTGCACTTGCTCTTCACGTGCCCCTCACGTGGCTTGTTATCGGGAAGCTTAAATGGGGCATGGCTGGTCTAGCCGTCGTGCTTAACGCCTCGTGGTGGTTCATTGTCGTGGCTCAGCTCGTGTACATATTCAGTGGCACGTGCGGCGAGGCTTGGTCAGGATTATCGTGGGAAGCGTTTCATAATTTGTGGAGTTTCGTTAGATTGTCTCTGGCTTCTGCTATTATGCTCTGGTGAGTCTATTACACTGACCCGTACGTCTCAATATTGATTTAACTTGTTATGATTGCGATAACGAATTTCATTTATTTTATTTTTTGAATTTTGAAGTTTGGAGGTGTGGTATTTTATGGCAGTCATATTATTTGCTGGCTATTTGAAGAATGCTGAAGTCTCAGTGGCCGCACTCTCCATCTGGTAAATTCAATTTTATTACTGTTCTTAGACACGTTAATTCAAAGTCATTTACAACTTCTCAACAAATCATTGGTCTCTCTGAAATTTATAATAAATAGATCGGTGCATAGACAATGAACCCTACTAGTTTAATTATACGTCATTGCTGTCAATTAAGTTAGTCGTTGCTTTCTTGGGCAGTGAACCGTACTATAGTTATTAAATATTTTGCTGGATTTTTTTTTCTTTTTTTTTTTCATTTGTTTTCTCTGTAAGATGTGTAACGTTTAATTTCTGATCATATAGTAATATAAATATATATACATCCAAAAGGATCAATAAATAACTAACATCGACTGTGGAATACTGTATGTCCACTGGCTCATTATCTTTTTAGAGATTGTAGAGTGAAAATAAATATTCACTTTGGATTTATGTGTCTAATTTTTTTATTTCCATCTTTAACGATAATTCAAAAATGAAGCATGAACATTTTGGGATGGACCGCAATGGTTGCAATTGGGATGAATACAGCCGTAAGGTAAAGACGTGCAATACTCCAACTCTATATTTCCTTAAACCTCTCTTTGGTATATCCGTTTATAACTATATTATTATTACACTTGAAAAATAATTTCGAAATGTTGCAGTGTGAGAGTGTCTAATGAATTAGGAGCACACCATCCAAGAACCGCAAAATTCTCACTGCTAGTTGCAGTGATAACATCTACAATGATCGGAATCGTTGTAGCGAGCGCTCTACTCATTTTTAGAAATCAATATCCTTCACTTTTTGTGGGCGATGAAGAAGTCATCACTCTTGTTAACGAACTCACACCAATACTAGCACTCTCCATTGTCATCAACAATGTCCAACCCGTCTTATCGGGTAATCTATTTTTATCTATCTCAAAACACACTCGTTCCGTTTGGCTGCAATATACAATCTCCATTTTCGTCTTAGATGATATAGTAGTCAGCAGCTTTAGATTTTTTTTAAAAAGGGTTTAGTGTTCTTTACTAGTTTGAACTGTGGATTTAGGTCTCGGTTTTAACTTTTAAGGTTTGAACAAATAGATTCATACTAAAAACAAAATCTGTTCGGTATGGTTCGGTTGACATTTTTGTTTCGGTTAGGCTTTACTTAAATTTTGCCCAAGAAAACCAATTTTTTATTTATTTCGGTTCGGTTTTAGTTTGGATTTTTTTATTTTATTCTAGTTATGTTTCAGTTTGAATAATTTGATTCTGATGTGGAGGATTAGCCCTGTTAATAATGTTTGTTTGACTCGATACGATTTATACTTTTGTTATGCGAGAATGAGAACGAATCTGATGGCATAATGATGATAAAATGGAAAATCAGGGGTGGCTGTGGGAGCTGGATGGCAAGCAGTAGTAGCGTACATCAATATCGCATGCTATTACTTGTTTGGAATACCATTTGGTCTATTGTTAGGATACAAGCTTGACTTTGGTGTAAAGGTATAAAATGAAACTCAAAATCTTAATTATAATAACCAACTTTTTAAAATGTTCATACCGATATTGACGAAATAATTGATGTGTTAGGGAATCTGGCTGGGAATGTTGGCGGGAACTGTGGTTCAGACAATAGTCTTGACGTGGATGATCTGCAAAACAGATTGGGACAAAGAGGTAAAACTCAAAAACATTTACAATTTAGTCGATTTTTGTTTTAAAATACAACTTTCGACGTTCTAATGCAACCGATATGTGTTGTGTTTTGTAGTCTGCAATGGCTGAGGATAGGATTAGAGAGTGGGGAGGAGAAGTATCCGAAGTAGATCAGCAGCTCTTGAACTAAAAGGACATTACTTCTAATATTCAAATCAAATTAAGAAACTCGTTTTTTTCAGCCTGTGTTTAGGTCAAGACTCAAGAGTACTTTCTTTCTTAGAATATAAAGTTTTGCATTGCCGTTTTTCGACTATATAATACAGATGGCTCGTATGCCACATAGTGACACACTAGAACTGAGTTACAAAAAAATTAATAATTCAAAAGTCACAAATGATATAACCTATAAGCGACTCATAAGCCAAGTCTTTAATCAAGTAGTAGGACACTGTAGAGAGGTAGAAATCGTATAGAACTAGAAACAACACTTCTAATATTCATTCAGCGGCCTAGAGGATTCATAGTCACCAATTAAATGTCAAGTTGTAGACTAACATTCATAGTATAGTTTTTAACCAAACAATAACATTCATTGTGTAGAAGAGATATTGACACAATTTATCAAATTCAAAAGAACTTTATCGTCTACAAATGGTTTATGGATACAAGTCTAAATAAGATTAAGGAACAATAAAATATCCAATAATGCGCAAAGAAAGTTCATCATGATGGCAGCGCCTTCAGTCTTAGTTCCATGTACACTGCGGAGAACAATAAAACCTCTCATTCAGCTTGTAGTACACGGCATCAGGGCAACGTTTGTCACACTTACGGCAAATCGGTCGAGTGTTACTACTATTACGAACAACTTCCAGACTCTTAGACCATCAAGGAATGTATAGCCATACTTCATATAACTAGATGAGCCCAATATGCATCCAGTGTGGATGGTAACGCAGCACTGTGTGCATGTGTAGAACCATTTCTTAGAGTCTATTCTCTTCTCACAAGTCTCGCACCAATACATGTCATCATCCACGTCTTCTCCATAGCAAAGAAAGAGAGGATGTTCATCATGTTTGTAGCACACCTCATCTGGAATGATAGCGCATTGATAACACATTATGAAGTCGCATAGAGTGCATTGTAGACGAGAGCCAGTATATTTTATAAACCCGTTGCAAGTTTTGCAGCAAAACCCAATGTCACTCACTCACTCCTAAAGCATGTGTTGATGAATAGTGGATGTTCATGACATTTATGAGTGAAACAATCGGGAACCAAAACGCATCGGATATCGACCTTGAAATTCCCATTGTGGCAATCATGTCTAGAGCATTTATACTGAAAACCGCTAAACTGTTGGGAACAAGTCGAACAACGTCTCTTGTACTCGTCTTTTAGTGGATATGGATTTAGGAAAAGAGGGTGGTGATGCGATGCATGCTCTAGTTTCCGAGGAAGATTGGCACATACTTCATGGAGAACGAAATCATCGCATTGCGTACAAGTGTAGAAATCACGAGAGTCAATAAAGAAGATGCAAGCCTGACACTGCTTATCTGAATCTCTAACCCTATCATACTTGTGGAGCTTTAGATTGTGTTCATGACAAAAATACTTAATCAAATCCACACCAACTTTTTGGAACGGCTCAATATCTTCATTCTTGATGGTCTCTTCCGGTTCCCATTCAAGCTCGCTCCTGTCCCATACATTCTTATGTGTAGCACATTTAGAATGAGCTATATAAGAACATCCCTCCTGGTTGCAAGAATATTGACCATACTTTATATCAACCGTCTTGTAGCATATCCGACATGGTGAAGTATCTTGTGGTAGGTACGGTGTGTAAGAGAGTCGATGGGGATGACGTGTAATGTTGATAACGCGTGGTAAGGAGATGCAGCTCTGATGGACCATGTAATTACATTGGTAACAAGCATAAACTGGCTCTGAAACGTCGACCAGCCCACAAGCATCGCAAGGGAGTAAGAACGGTCGAGGGAAGAAAACGAGTGGATGGTGATGACTTTTCGGATTTGTGATGGTTGGAGGTGGAGAATTTCTCACGCAAGAAAGATCCAAGCAAAAGCTACAAGCAGAACATCGATAGAACCTGTTTTCAAGATCTTCTCCACACCAGTCGCAGCATTTCTTGACTTGTTAATAAAATCAATAAGGCAAGTTTTTTAGTTTATACCGAAGGCAGGTCTCGACTCGAGGCAGTCCACATTTCAAATAAGTTTATGATATAATTCGGTACGATGAATAAATCGACAGAGTTGAGACACGTGAATAGATGCTAGTATCAAGACACGTGACTCAAGTTTTCAAACTTCTTCAAACGTGCTCTAGATTCCCCAAAACTTTTTCTTCTCCTCTTACTCAAACTTTTGTAAATTGACAATTTCAATAGTAATAATAATACAAAACAAATTGATATAGATCCAGATGTCGAATACTATATATACAATAAATTATGATTCAGTCTCCGTACAAATTTATAAGTGAAATCAAATATAATTACAAGACAAGTGAGAGAGAAGAAACTGTACCAAACCTGAATTGAGGTGTGAATGTGATCATACATTTTTTTTTTTTTTTTTTTTGTAATTTCAGCTCTTCGAAGTTTAAACACTCATTTTGAGTAAAATTGTAAGGAACTGAAACATTATAATGCTAATTTATTAGTAAGTCTTGAACTAAAAAGAAATTGGTACGTTATAGTGTTTAAACTCAAATTAAAGAAACTCTTTTCCACCCTTTACGTTAAGGTCAACAGAACTTTCTTTCTAATGAGAAAAAGTTTTGTGGTTAGTAAAAAATGAGTGTAAAAAACCGTTTTTGCATGGACAATGTGATAGAGATGGACGGTATATGCTACAATCTACATGATAGTAAAAAACTAGCTTTGCGGTTACAAGATCGAAAACAAATGCGTTAAATGGATACATTGAGATTTCATAAGTGACTCAGTAAGTGCTTTCTAAGAAAGAAGGGCTTCCAAGAAAAAATTAAGTATCAAAATGCTGAAAACGAATTTAAGAAGTACAAGATATGTTGTTGCCTTAGGAACGGTACGTACATATTCTGTATCACCAACCACTCACATTAATGTAGTAAAAAATATTTTATCTGAAACCAAAACAAAAAATGTGAAATCAAATCGTAGTATCAGAAATCATAATTCCTTGAAGTTATTCTTTATAACAAGAATGCGCAAAAATATCCAACAATGAGCCTTATGTCTGACTTTACAAATATCTTGAACACTCTCTAGAACAACAAGACTTCTTCTTCTCTTGATGTTTGTAGTATACAGAATCGGTGCAACGATTGTCACACCTACCGCAAATGGGCCGAGTGTTACTACTATTACGAACAACTTCCAGATTTTCATCACCATAGTGGAATGTATATCCATACTTCATATGTAGAGAGGATCTCGATATGCATCGACTATGGAGAGTAATGCAACATTCTGTGCATTCGTAGAACCATTCCGGAAAGCAAATTTTTGTCTCACAAATCTCGCACCAATACGTGTCATCCTCTCTTTTTTCGTAGCAAATGAAGAGAAGATGTTTATCATGTTTGTAGTACACCTCATTTGGAGTGGTAGCACATCTATAACACAACACAAAATCGCATAGTGTACACTGTAGACGACGCAAGCCATAACTATGTGAGTTGCAACCTTTGCAGTCAAACCGACTGCAATCCTTAAAGCATGTGGCAATAAATAGGGGATGCGGATGAATTTTGTGAGTGAAGCAATTAGGAACCAAAATGCATCGAATATCCAGAACAAGGCTCTCCATTTGGCAATCATGTTTAGAGCATGTGTAACGAAAACCGCAAATCTTTCGGGAACAGCTTGAACAGTTTTTGATATTGTCCTTAAGATGAAGAGATGGTTCTAGGACAAGAGGGTGCTGATGCAATGCATGATGTATTTTTCGAGGAAGACTAGCACATACCTCATGGAGGAAGAAATCGCATTGCATACAACTGTAGAAATCACGAGCGTCCATAGGTAAGATGCACGCCTCACACTGCTTATCATCTGCATCCCTAACCCTATCATACTTGAGGAGCCTCAGATGGTGTTCTTGATGAAGAAAATATCTTATCAAACCCACACCAACCTTTTCGAATGGCTCGATATCTTCTTCAGTCTCACAGGTTTCTTCTTCGGGCTCCCATTCGAGCTCATTCCCGTCCCATACATTCTCATGCGTTGCACATGTAGAATGTGCTACATAAGAACATCCCTCAAGATGGCAAGCGTACTGGCCATACTTTATATCAACAGCCTTGTAGCAGATCTGACATGATGTTGAGACTTGCGGTTGGAAAAACGGAGTATGAGAGAGGCGATGGGGATGACGTGTAATCTTGATAACGCGTGGTAAGGAGATGCAACTCTGATGGACCATGTAATTACATTGGTAACAAGCATAAACCGGATCTGAAACGTCGACCAACCCACAAGCGTCACAAGGGAGTGAGAAGGGTCGAGGGAATAAAACGAGTGGATGGTGATGGCTTTTCGGATTTGTGATTGTTGGAGGTGGAGATTTCTTTACGCAAGAATGATCCAAGCAAAAGCCACAGATAGAGCAACGGTAGTACTTCTTGTCAAGATTGCCAAGCTCTCCTCCACACCAGTTGCAGCCTTTATTGAAGACGGATTCGGACTTGTTCTCTTGCTCCGATATTGCGATCACGGTTTCATCATCACCATCAATGAGAGTGAGAGTGAGAGGATGTTGCAAGTGATAAGGGTGTCTTATCTTCCTTGGACGGTCTTGGCAAAAAGTGTGAAACCACACATCGCAGGTGGTGCAGCGGTAATGATCTTGAATCAGCCCGAGGTCGTCTTGGTATACATGTTGTTTTCCGCACTTAAAGCAGCCAGACAGAAGGTGTTCCCCATCACTACGGGGTAGTGTGTGAGGGTTAGCTGGATCAGACACTGGACATCGTAGTCCTTTAACAAACGGTATCCCCATATCTAAATCTGCTTTAGCTTTGTAACTTTCACTCTCACTCTCACTCTCTTCTGTTTTCTAGATCTAGATCTGATTGAATGTAAGAACAAAGCAATCCTCATTTTTCCATTATACACAACGACCAATGCACCATTTAATGGTTAATACTGTAAAGAATTGCAGAGTACACAAATCTATAAGCACAACTTGTTAATAAAAAATAAGCAACTTTATTATCACGCGAATCTTCAACTCTGTGGACCAGCAGTCTCAAGACACGTGACGTGAGTCCCAAGTACTTTGTTTTTCTCCTCTTGCCTCAATTTTTCATTTTCTTTTTTTGGTAAACAAACTTTTAAAATGACAACTACGATAGCAATACAGATTACAGAACAAAGCTATATATATATATATATATATTTCCAGATATCAAATACTTTATATACAAATGGATTACGATTTCGTTTAAACGTGAAAACAAATATAATTACAAGACAAGTGAGAGAGAAAAGAAACAGAACCAAACCACAATATAAAAGAGTTCTTTTGTTGTTTCCTTCACTTCCTCTTATCTTTGTAGAAAAAGTGCTGCTCCAACCAAACCGAACCACAACGTCAAAGAAAGCCAAAAGACTTGATTCTTCTCCATACCGACGGGTGGTCGCCAAACCAAGAGCTTCCCTAGAAAGTCTTCACTCGTGTTGAGCTGATTCGTAGTCGATTCATTCATTCTCCGGTCCTTGTCCCTCTCCTTGTCACTCCATGTCACTGCATAGCTATGCACATATAACACACAAAAAACCACCATTCCAAGCGATGTTGTTATGCATTAGCCACGAGGACACATATAACATAGAAGTTGATTAAACATTATACCTGTCGTAACTAGAACCGATCATTGGTATAGTAACCATTTCCTCCTGAGAAATCTTGAGCTTAGGAGCTTGCAAGATATACCTAAGCTCAGAAGCTTGACGACGAATACCAGGACTCGGGTGCCTCTTCTCTAATTGCTGATAAAGATCAATGCAATCAGCGTGGCGATTATTGGCCTCATATGCCATAGCTAACCAAATTTGTATCTGGCAAATCATTCCACCATTAGCAATTTTTTTTCAAAGCTGGAAAAAAAACATAAGTTACCTAAATTGGTGTTTTTTCAAAACCAACCTCACCACCAAAGAGTGTTGGCCTTGGGATAATCGTAAGAGCTCCTTCAAGAAACTCTATTGCTCGTCCATACATTCCTTTGCCGTACGCCTTTTGACCTAATTCAAACATCAATTCTGCTGTTGCTCTCCTCTCTGCTTGCTCCTTAGCTACCTGCTCTCACCAATCTCACTTCAATCAGCACTAATCTAAAGAGTGTTCCTTTACCTAAAAGATTCACACTCAGTGAGCAGAGAAAGCCCTAAAAAATCGTACCTTTTCGAGCTCTCTTTTAACTCGCATCCTCTTCTTCTCCTCTGAATCGTCTCCTTCTTCCTCAATCCTATACTGCAACTCCTCCGCTTTCCTCTCCAGCTCCTTCATATCCTGCAATTCCTTAACTCTCCTCTTCATCTCCTTCTCCACATCTTTAGCTTTATCCTCCTCGTCGGTCTCCTTGCCGTCGCCGCCGCCGTCGCCGCTTTCCTCGTCGCTGGATCCAGCGTCGTCGAAATCGACGGCGTTAGCCCTGGAATTCGCCTTCCCGCGAGTCGAAAACCGGCGAATCCGAGCTTCTCCGTCCGATTCCAGAGGCTTGTTGGAGGAGAGAGACGCGTAATAGGAAGAGACGTGACTGTGCGAATCTCTCTTCGGTAGATTCAGAACGACGTCAACCACCGCCTGTCGAATTCTCCGATCGGTGATCAAAGTACGGTGAGAGTTGACGTCAAGTAACAGCGCTACGTTTCCGATAACCGCCGCCATGGGAGCGAGCACCAAATGTCGAAACGATGGAAGAAGTAGAACCAGAGAAGCAAGAGATTAGCTTGAAGAAGATATTTCTTCTAACTCGTAGTGACCAATGCCGAATTGACTAAACTACCCTTGATGTTCTAATTCGAAGTCCTTCAAATGATGCGTGTAAGGGTAGTTTCGTCATAAAAGAATCAAATCAATGTCAGTTTGTCTCCGAGACGCGTGTATGAAAAGCAAGAGATGCGCGCGTCTCACGAAAGCAAGACCGCTCAATACGCTACCGTTTCTTCGGTGAGGAAATAAACAACAAGACGTTTTTAGGGAAACAAAACGTCACCCACTCTAATTCGATTTTACTCGGACGACGAGACGAACACTGATCAAGAAACATACATACTTCACCGATCGGTGAAAATTTCAGATTTTGAATCGAACATCAGAATCAGAATATTTTAGGGTTTTTGAATTCGAAATCGATAAAGCCAACATAGAAGAAAATTGTTCTTCGTATCAGAAAACCAGAGATCCAGAAAAAAAGAAACTCACAACACGAAAGATAAGATCTTGGTGAAAATCCAAGTGTAGAGGACGGCGAGTGTAGCACCGACGGGAATCGTGACGAGCCACGAAGCGACGATCTCTCTCACCGTCTCTGCTCTCACGCTATTAAGCCCTCTCGCGAATCCAACTCCCATCACTGCTCCAACGAGCGTGTGAGTCGCCGAAATCGGAAGCCCCAATTTCGAAGCAAACAGAACCACCGACGCGGCGGCGAATTCCGCCGCGAAACCTCGCGTCGGCGTAAGCTCGGTGATCTTCTTCCCAATCGTCGCGATCACTCTGTATCCCCACATGGTGAGACCCGCAACGATCCCGAATCCTCCCCAGGCGAGAACGTCCAGCGGAATCACGATCTCGCCGCCTCCTACACCTGCTCCCTTCTGGAGGATGCTCAATGCGGCGGCTAAAGGTCCGATTGCGTTTGAGACGTCGTTGCCTCCGTGAGCGAAGGACATGAAGCAAGCGGAGAGGACTTGCATATAGCCAAAGACTCCGTAGACTATCTCGAGCTGAGTACCTGTAGGTCCTGCGATATCGGAGAGGAAGCCGATGCTTTTTGCCTCGTTTTGCGATGATTCCGATTTGGTTTTAGCGAGGAGGTGACCGAGCTTATTCCGAATGATCCTGTCGAAGATAATGGCTCCTGCTGCTCCACAGGCTAAGGCTTGTGACAAAGCTATTGGAAAGATCTTGCTCAGAGGAAATGCGGCTGAGGAAATGCTCGCCACGCCTATGAACACCGCGACTGGAGCCGCCGCAGCCGCCGCTTTTCCCGGGTTTGGTGCACTGTAAACAAACTGCGCAGAAGAAAAGGAGAGTGTGAAGAGGTAACAGATATAGCATGAGCATGGTTTAAGTAACACAAAGTTTGATTCTTGGATTGATTTGTTTGTTTTACTTACTCTCCTGATGCATTTGTAGACAAGAAAGGAGACTAGAGCTCCCAATAGAGGAGAGATAACCCAAGAGGAAGCCACTTTAGCTAGAGAACTCCAGAAAACGGCACCAGCTCCGCCATAAACAAGCCCAAACCCAACCATTGATCCGACGATACAGTGAGTTGTAGATACTGGCCATCCATAGTAAGAAGCCACCTGTGAAGTTCACAAATACACAATCATACACTACACTGCAATGCTATTAGGTTCTTCTGATTGAATCGTTTGTGATTACCATTCTAACTTTACTAAACCATAGTGATGAAGAAGTGAAAAAGATAAGATGGAACCTGTAACCAAGTTCCAGCAGCAGCCAAGGAAGAGAGGAGACCAGCGAAGAGCAACATATCTTTCCCTTGGAAGACATTAGCCATGAGAATCCCTTTCTGCATCGTGCTCGTCACGTGAGTTCCCATCAGAAGAGCACCTGAGAATTCAAGAACCGCAGCGGTCATCACAGCTTGACGGATGGTCAGGGCTCCGGATCCAACGGAAGTTCCCATGGCATTGGCGACATCATTAGCTCCGATGTTCCACGCCATGTAGAAACCGAAGAGCAGTGTGGCGTAAGAGAGGAGCTTCGTCTTGAGAGCCAGTCCTTGTCCTAGAGACTTCATGAAGAGTGGGAAGCAGAGAGCACAGAAGGCGATGGCTATGGAGATTCCCCTCGCTGTGTTGGATGAAATGTGAAAGGCTTGAGCCATCCCGGAGAAGTCTCCAGTAGCTTCTGCATTACCTTTTCCATCTGATTCGTTGGGTTTCTGTATCTGTTGATCGGTATGGTGCTGCTCGTCTCCCTCAGCATCGGCATAAGAGGAGAAGCTAGCAAAAGGGCAGACGAGTTTGAGGGGAAGAGAAGTGTGTTTCTGGGGAGAAAAGAATAGGGCACTGTTCTTCTTGAAGAAAGGAGATTCCTTGGGAGAGAAACAACCGAGAGCTGATCTGGGTGTGCAGAGATGAGGAGTCTTAAGTAGAAGCGAGCGGTGCCTAACCGAAGAGAAACGATAAGGAAGAGTCATGTTTGGGACGGAGGAGAAAAGGAATTAGATATTTGGGAAATCAAGAGGATAAAATGAGAAGAAGGGAGATAGATGAGAATCTACAGAGAAGGGATATGGGCCATGGATGATGAAGAAGATGATGGTGATGTTGATGAAGATGAAGATGAAAATGGTGTTGCATAAGCATAATGGATTTTGATTTCAGGAGACGAGTGAGAAGGGTTAGTGATGGTGGCTCCGGGGAATGTGAGGTGGAGGTGAGAGGATTGAGTTTGGATGCTTTCTTGTGTTAGCGTAAAGAGTTATGAATTTGTGTGGTTCTTGTGGAATGTTGAGTAAATGGAGAGAGAGAGGCTCTTTGGTTGGGCTTCACAGCCTCACAAATGCCCACTTGTAAACTTTGGGGGGAAAGAAAAGGTGGGAATTTTTGTTCTTTGGATGTAGTAAAAGAAGAGGATTAGGTACTCACCAAAAAAAAAAAAAAAAGAGGATTAGGTGGAATACAAGAAATTTTGGATTGTAAATTCAGCTTAATTTGATTTTTACAGTTGAAGAGAAAAAATAACGTCTCACATTCAGTTTACTAGCATCGTTAATGAGTTTGATTAGTACAATTCTTTAGTTGCATCGAAAAAGATATCATTTTGATAATGTTTACCAAAATCCTCACTTATCAACAAATTAATTCCGAGAGTGTCCGTGGGGTAACTCGATTTATTCATGTGGTTTATAAGGTAGGTGAGGCTGCTCAGTTAGGTGACACCACCATCTTCTCTCTTTTTTTGTACGCTATTTCGTAAAATATAGCAAGAATTTGTTGGTTGTAGGAGTGAAAAAGTGTTATGTCTAAGCCTGGTAGGAGTTCATACATTTTTGCCATTGATGTAAAGAAACCGCAAAATCATGCAAAAGATCAAGTCGAATTGCGTACAAATCCCAAAAGCTCTCCAAACAACAAGAAAATAATCAGTCTTAAAAACGAGTATGTGGAGATGATCTAGGGTTATTTGAGTTTGGTTTTGGTAAAGTGACGATTAATATGTTTTGACCTTGCAAGATTGGAAATGGACAGATCATACATATAATATGGTATTATCTATTTAGTTGGTTAATCGCGGATTGGTCGACAAAATCAAAACCAAATTAGCTAACTTCGCTTGAATATGCATATAAATATGTTCAAGTTCAAATCAAGCCAAGTTAGCTAGTTTGGTTTTGAGTTTGTGGACTAATCTGTGATTAACCAACTAAAAGATATAAAACGGGATATGGAAGTTTACATCAAATTTATATCTATTTCGTTTATCATGTAAACTCATCAAGTGTAACATTTCTTATGTATTCACTGCTATTAAAAAATAACTATTTGCAGCTGCTTCATCTATTTTCTTTTTGACATGTGAGTTTTGAAGACTTCATATTCCTCGAGCTACGAGTAGATTATGTATCATTTTTTTATTCACACTATTAGCGATGTGATTTTGGGCCCAAAATTATCGTGGGCCTATATTGTGAAAATAGCCCATTATTTAAACGGATTTAAAAAGGCTGTCTGCTATGGCCTGTTAACGAAACGGGTCTGAAGATAATTAAACGGCTTAACCGTCTAGACCGGATTTCTGCAACCAAAGCAAATCTAGCTTCGACTGTTCTGTCTCTTCACCGACTCACCGTCTTCTCTCCTCGCCACCACCCTCTTCTCTCCTCTCCACCACCGTTCCCGTTCCCGTTCCAAATCTGTCTCTCCAGTTCGATTCTTAAACTCCTCTCCACCACCGTTCCCATAACTCTGTAAGCTCTTCTCTCTCTCTCTCTCTCTCTTTTTGACACCGAAGCTTTTCTCTCTCTCTCTCTCAGTTGTGGGTTTTGTGGATTTTCGGATTCTGATTTCTGGGTTTCATTGGATTTGCGGATTAGTGCCTTTAAGATGTTGATTTCTGTCTGTTTTTGTGGGTTTTCTGATTCTTTTCCTGCAACCTTCACACTCGATTTTGGTTTTGCGATTTAGCACTATCACTGTTCTTTCTGATACTCATTGTCGTCCACTGTCTTAGAGCTTGATTATGCGATTGTCTTGTTATACCAATACATACATGCATTGTACACTAATAAACTAAGTGATAGTTTGGAATATGAAGGTTTTTAGTGGAGGATTCACTGTTCTACATGCATTTTGTTGTGGCTGAAAGGTGATAATAAACGCAATGAAAACTCAAGACAAGATTTTGCAATTATCTTAAGAAGAATTAACACCAACTAACCAAATAGTATAACTTTTTTGATAATGTTTCGTGTTCTGTAATGGTAGACTTGTAAGACTTGTAAGAGGCTTGATTCACTGTTTGTTATTTGATGATTTATTGTCGTGTCCTGCCACTGAATCTCTGGAATTAGTCTGAGCTTGCCGTTGTTAAGCTTATGGCTTTTTTTGCTGTGTTTACGCTGTACAGGAAAATGCAAAGGGGCTCGCTCCAACACACCCTATCCGCCGTCTTGGTCTGGCATTGAACTTCTCCGTGTTGTATTACGAGATCCTCAATTCTCCTGACCGTGCCTGCAACCTTGCTAAAACGGTAAGCTAATGAGTTTTTGTAGCCTCCTAACGGCTACGAACATGCTCGTAACTTCTTCACAGCTACTTCCATTATTCAGTTCTTATTTACTTAATGTTAGTTTTTCCTTATTTTAGACAGACTTTCAGGTTTTTGGTTCTTTCCTTTTTCTTTAGTTTTCCTTTTCCTATGTCGGTTGTGACAAGGTTTAGAGTTATATTTATAGCTGCCTTTGAGAGATTTGAGGACTTTGTTTGTGTATTTCATCTAAATAGCTTCTTCTTGCGTTTTTTTGCAGCGGTGGGCCAAAGACTTTAAAGCTCTCGTAATAGAAGTCTTATCGGTTTCGGCCATGGAGAAGGACGAACTTAAGAAATTGAATCATCTCTCTCTCGTCTCCAATGTCTGTAACGAATTGGAAACGCATCTAGGGGCTACGGATAAAGTTTTGGCCGAATTCATCATCGACCTTGGCCGCAACTCCGAGACTGTCGACGAATTCGATAAGAAGCTGAAGAAGGAAGGCGCGGAGATGCCTGATTATTTCGTCCGCTCGCTGTTAACTGTAATCCACGGGATTTATCCTCCGAAGCCCAAGTCGGAGAGGAAGAAACACGACGGAGAGGATCGAGGTAATGAGAAATACAAAGGCTTGGCTATTAAGGATACTAAGGATAAAGTGAAGGAGCTTGAGAAGGAGATTGAATTGGAAGCTCGTGAGCGACAGCGAGAAGAGGATCGGAATAGAGATAGAGACCGAGGTCGGGATCGGAGAGATTCCGGTAGAGATAGGGATCGACACAGAGACAGACCTCGTGGAGATGAAGATGGTGAAGATAGAAGAAGCGGTAGGCATAGAGAAAGAGGCCGTAGAAAAGATGAAGGCGGAGATGGAATAAGTGATAGGCGTAGAGATAGGAAGGATGAGTACACGGAGGGCGGTGGTGCGAATGAGCCGGAGCTGTATGAGGTATACAAAGGTAGAGTAACGAGGGTAATGGACGCTGGATGTTTCGTTCAATTCGATAGATTTAGAGGGAAAGAAGGTCTAGTCCATGTTTCTCAGATGGCTACTAGAAGAGTTGACAAGGCAAAAGATTTTGTGAAGCGTGATATGGAGGTTTACGTCAAAGTGATATCTATTTCGAATGATAAGTATAGCCTTTCTATGAGAGATGTTGATCAGAGTAATGGCACAGATTTGATCCCTCTGAAGAAGCCTAGAGAGGATGATTCATCCAGGAGTAATCCGTCGTATAGAACAAGGGATGGACAAGTTACAAAGACTGGGATTTCGGGGATCCGTATCGTGGAGGAGAGTGATGTTCCGCCGTCACGTAGGCCATTGAAGAAGATGAGCTCCCCTGAGAGATGGGAAGCGAAGCAGTTGATTGCCTCTGGTGCCTTGAAGCAGAGTGAGTTTCCAAATTATGATGAGGACGAAGGTGGGATGCTTTATCAAGAGGAAGGTGCTGAAGAAGAAGAACTTGAGATTGAGATGAACGAAGACGAACCTGCTTTCTTGCAAGGGCAGACCAGGTACTCTGTTGACATGTCTCCGGTGAAGATCTTCAAGAATCCTGAAGGTTCCTTGAGTCGTGCCGCTGCACTTCAGTCCGCCCTCACCAAGGAGAGGAGAGAAATGAAGGAACAGCAGCAGAGAACAATGCTTGACTCGATCCCAAGGATCTGAATCGTCCTTGGGAAGATCCAATGCCTGAAAATGGTGAAAGGCATCTTGCTCAGGAGCTTAGGGGTGTCGGGTTATCAGCTTATGACATGCCGGAATGGAAGAAGGATGCTTTCGGGAAAACTCCGACTTTTGGACAGAGATCAAAGCTCTCTATGCAGGAGCAAAGGGAGAGCCTTCCTATATACAAGCTGAAGAAGGAGTTGATACAGGCTGTGCATGATAACCAAGTTCTGGTGGTGATTGGTGAGACTGGGTCTGGTAAGACGACACAGATGACTCAGTATCTTGCCGAATCAGGTTACACCACAAAAGGAAAGATTGGGTGTACTCAGCCTCGTAGGGTCGCCGCGATGTCTGTTGCCAAGAGAGTAGCTGAGGAGTTTGGTTGTCGTTTGGGAGAGGAGGTAGGGTATGCGATTCGGTTTGAGGATTGTACTGGACCAGAACGGTGATCAAGTACATGACTGATGGTATGCTTCTTAGGGAGATTCTGACTGACGAAAACCTCTCTCAATACTCTGTCATCATGCTTGATGAAGCTCACGAGCGGACGATTCACACTGATGTGCTGTTTGGTCTTCTGAAGAAGCTGTTGAAACGCAGGCTTGACCTTCGTTTGATAGTCACGTCTGCCACATTGGATGCAGAGAAGTTCTCTGGGTATTTCTTCAACTGCAACATTTTCACAATCCCTGGAAGAACCTTCCCTGTTGAGAAACTCTACACCAAACAGCCAGAAACCGATTACTTGGATGCAGCTCTCATCACAGTTCTTCAGATCCACTTGACTGAACCAGAGGGTGACATTCTTGTGTTTTTGACGGGACAGGAAGAAATCGATTCCGCTTGCCAGTCTCTGTACGAGAGAATGAAGAATCTAGGTAAAAACGTTCCTGAACTCATCATTCTTCCTGTTTACAGTGCCCTTCCTAGTGAAATGCAGTCTAGAATCTTCGATCCTCCTCCTCCTGGTACACGGAAAGTGGTTGTGGCTACAAACATTGCAGAAGCTTCTTTGACGATAGATGGGATTTATATGTTGTTGATCCCGGGTTTGCGAAGCAGAACGTGTATAACCCAAAGCAAGGGCTAGAGTCGCTAGTCATAACTCCAATCTCACAGGCGTCGGCGGAGCAGAGAGCTGGACGTGCTGGTCGTACTGGTCCTGGTAAATGTTACCGTCTCTACACTGAGAGCGCATTCCGTAACGAGATGCCTCCTACATCAATCCCTGAAATCCAGAGGATTAATCTCGGAATGACAACGCTGACCATGAAAGCAATGGGGATCAACGACCTGTTATCGTTTGACTTCATGGATCCACCGCAGCCGCAAGCTTTGATCTCTGCTATGGAACAGCTGTACAGCCTGGGAGCGTTGGATGAGGAAGGATTGTTGACAAAGCTGGTAGGAAAATGGCGGAGTTTCCTCTTGAACCGCCGCTCTCTAAAATGTTGTGGCTAGTGTGGATCTCGGGTGCAGCGATGAGATATTGACGATGATTGCGATGATCCAAACGGCAACATATTCTACAGACCGAGGGAGAAGCAAGCTCAAGCAGACCAAAAGAGGGCCAAGTTTTTCCAGCCTGAAGGTGACCACTTGACATTGCTAGCTGTATATGAAGCTTGGAAGGCTAAGAACTTCTCAGGTCCATGGTGTTTCGAGAACTTCATACAGTCACGATCTCTACGGCGTGCTCAAGACGTGAGGAAACAACTTGTCAGCATTATGGACAAGTATAAGCTAGATGTGGTGAGTGCTGGGAAGAATTTCACCAAGATAAGGAAAGCAATCACAGCAGGATTCTTCTTCCACGGAGCAAGGAAAGATCCACAGGAAGGTTACAGGACGCTGGTGGAGAATCAAGCGGTTTACATACATCCGAGCAGTGCTCTTTTCAAAGGCAGCCCGACTGGGTGATCTATCACGATCTTCTGATGACGACCAAAGAGTATATGAGGGAAGTGACTGTGATTGACCCAAAGTGGCTTGTTGAGCTAGCTCCAAGGTTCTTCAAAGTCTCTGATCCAACCAAAGATGAGTAAGCGTAAGCGCCAAGAACGCATTGAGCCTCTGTATGATCGTTATAACGAGCCTAACTCATGGCGTCTCAGCAAAAGACGTGCTTGAGTTGAGAGGTTGGCTTCAAATTTTATTCTTCCTTTCGTTTATGTATAAACCCATTAAAATGTACTCTTTGTTAACTTTCTTATGTATTCAATGCTATAAAACGAAACTAACCGAATGATGGATGAGCCAAATATTGCAGCTGCTTGCTTCATCTATTTCCTGAGAGTTTTGAAGATGATTCATATTCCTCATGCTAAAAGTAGATTATATATCTGTTTACAACATGTAATTGTATCTGTTCTCTATTCACTGTCACAGGTTATAGATCAAAGTTTAATCTCTAGTTTGCATTTCCTTGATGCATATGAAATTGTACGCACCTGCGTTGTTCCGAACCGAGATTTGGGCCAATTTGGTTTATTTAGAAAGGCCCAATATGTAATTAATTGGGCCTAGCCGAAAAGGTTTGTAGTCTTAATTATGTCTCCTAATTAATTTTAAGGTCATGAAACCCAAAATTCCGTTACACATGGCAGTGACCGGAGTTTCGTTGGCCGTTGGCCGTATTCTCCGGCGCGACAAAACCACCCGCAAGCGCGTCCGGAGTAGCCGACCCGAAACTTCAGTGACCTACCAAATTCTCGAGCAACTAGATGGCGGCAACGTCTCGAAAGCCGTCTCTATTCTCTTCCCTTCTCTAGAGCCAGTTAAATTCTGGGTTTACGAGCGTCTCTTCCGTTCCTGTACTTCGAGATCGCTTATAGTGCAAGTCCGTAAAATCGTATCCCACTTGTATACTTTCAATCCCGTGCCGCCGATTTACCTAGTGAACAGAGCAATCGAGACCTGCGGTAAATGTCAGTGTGTCAACGATGCACGAGAGGTGTTTGAGCAAATGCCTGAACGAGACGGTGGCTCTTGGAACGCCGTGATCACCGCTTGTTCGCGAAACGGAGTCCACGACGAGGTGTTTCGTATGTTCCGCAGGATGAACAGAGACGGGATACGAGCTACGGAGACTTCTTTCGCCGGTGTGTTGAAATCGTGCGGTTTAGTCTTGGATTTGAGATTACTAAGGCAGCTTCATTGCGCTGTGGTAAAGCATGGATTTTCCGGGAATGTGGATTTGGAGACTTCGATTGTTGATGTTTACGGCAAGTGTAGGGTTATGAGTGATGCGAGAAGAGTGTTTGATGAGATTGAAAACGCTAGTGATGTTTCGTGGAACGTGATTGTGCGGAGGTATCTTGAGATGGGTTTTAACGATGAGGCCGTGGTGATGTTCTTCAAGATGTTGGCGTTGAATGTTCGACCTTTGAATCACACTGTTTCTAGTGTAGGTCTGGCTTGTTCAAGATCAATGGCACTTGATGTAGGAATTGTAATCCACGCCATTGCCGTCAAGCTTAAGTTTTTGCCAGACACTATTGTCTCTACTGCAATCTTTGATATGTATGTGAAATGTGGGAGATTGGATAGTGCTCGTAGAGTGTTTGATCAAACCGAGTCGAAAGATTTAAAGTCTTGGACTTCGGCGATGTCAGGGTATGCAATGAGTGGTATCACTAAAGAGGCAAGGGAGCTCTTTGATCTGATGCCTGAACGGAATGTGATCTCTTGGAACGCAATGTTGGGAGGATATGTACGAGCTGGCGAATGGGATGAGGCGCTGGAGTTTCTCGCTTTGATGCGTGAGGAGATGGAAGAGATTGACAATGTCACTCTTGTGTGGATACTAAACGTCTGCTCTGGTGTTTCAGATGTTCAAATGGGGAAGCAAGCTCATGGCTTTATCTACAGGCATGGATACGATACGGATGTGATTGTAGCCAATGCACTTCTTGACATGTACGCAAAATGCGGCACCTTTAGGAGTGCTAATAACTTGTTCCGTCAGATGAGTGAGCTAAGGGATGAGGTTTCGTGGAATGCTTTGTTGACTGGTTTGGCTCGTGTTGGCAGGAGTGAGCAAGCTTTGTCTTTCTTTGAAGGGATGCAACTTGAAACGAAACCTAGCAAGTACACACTCGCGACGCTCTTGGCAGGTTGTGCAAACATTCCTGCTCTTAACTTAGGCAAAGCAACTCACGCGTTCCTCATCAGAAACGGTTATGATATTGACGTTGTTGTTCGTGGTGCTATGGTTGACATGTATTCTAAATGCCGGTGTTTGGACTATGCGATCGAGGTGTTCAAAGAGGCAGCTACACGGGACTTGATTCTGTGGAACTCTATCATTCGTGGATGCTGTCGTAACGGGAGAAGCAGAGAGGTGTTTGAGCTGTTCATGGTTATGGAGGATGAAGGAGTAAAGCCTGACCATGTCACCTTTCTGGGGATCTTACATGCTTGCATACGAGAAGGCCACGTCGAGCTCGGTTTTAAGTATTTCAGCTCTATGAGCACCAAGTATCTTATATTGCCGCAGGTTGAGCATTATGATTGTATGATTGAGCTCTACTGCAAGTATGGTTGCTTGCATCAGCTTGAGGAGTTTCTCCTCTTGATGCCTTTTGATCCAACTATCCAAATGTTGACGAGGATACGTGATGCTTGCAAAAGTTACCGATGGGAAAAGTTAGGAGCATGGGCTGGTAAACGGATATATGAATGATTTAATCACCTTGAGCCATTGTATATGGATCTTAAACAAAGAGATTGTGTCCTGCAGTCAGATCCGAGCGCATGCATTTTTAGAAGGATTGCAGACAAATTCAGTGTCTTTCGAAGACCAGGAAGAGAAACAGAGATAAAGGCGTTGGCGCAGGAGGTAAAGAGATTAGAGAGACATCATTAGACTCCTGCCTCTCCAAGTCAATTATTTTCTTCCCTGAGGTAATCACAAATTCTCTACTCTTCTTTCAATTGCTCTTCATGCACTTGTATATGTGTGTGTGAGAGAGAGTGTATGCATCTGCAAGTCTCTCTATTTGTGTATTCATCGATTATATTTTTGCTGTTTTCTCGTTAGTTATGTTCAGTTTGTTGGTAAGTACGTTACATGCAGTGCTTTGTGCTTGATTTGTGACTGTGAATTTTGGTTTCTTTCTTAATATCCTCGATCTGAAGTTCCCACTCAGTGATAGATCTGATAATTTAAGTTTATGTTGCTTAAACTCGTGCAGTTCCTTGATGAAACCGATACAATCCCTGGATCGATGAAGCTTCCATAAATGGAGTCATAGTGTAAGTTATTCACTTTTTTTATATAGGCTATGCATGAAGTTTGATCTCGAGTTTTGCATTTTTTTCTGACCAATTATCGATCTATCACCATTTTTTTGTGCGTGTGTGTGTAATCTCTGTTTCATAATTTTCAGAGCCTAAGGTTCAAAGATGTCAGATGCATACAATCACCTTGAGGATAGACTCTATCTAAGCCTTACATCCCCTGAGGCTGAGACAGATGATGGCTCCATCAAAAAGATCAATTTCATATGAGCCAACACAAAACCTACTTTGAGGATTGTGTTAGAGCCAGGCAATCGAGTAGCATACGCAATTTCAGCAAGCGTCACCAAAAACCGTCGGTACTAATTGTAAGTTGCTAGAGCTGGCTTAGGGAGCTCATTGATACTGAAACAGGTAATGAATAGAGATGATTCCCCAACCACAAGTGTGGAATGTGTTTTCTTATTGTATTTGATATGACCTCTTACATGGTCTCTCTTATTGTAAGCTCATTTGTTTGAGCTAATGTATAAGCCTAACGGTTGTCTCTCCCTTGTACTCTGTTTTATATGGAAGTTCTTTCAGTGTTAAAACAGAACAAAAAGTATTGATTAAAACATGCATTTATTTACGCATAGATTTCACTTAAATTACTTTAGGTTTATTATGTATGTCGACTCCAGAGTGGATAATGAACAGAGGATTATTTCAAGATCTTAGTCAACTATGCACTAAATCAAAATGCATATGTAAATGAGACATGGCTTGATGATTGGGTTTGAAACAAACAAACAGTAGGAGAGAAGATACTATTTTTAGCTAAGTACCCTATAAATATCTAGCGAACTTTTTTCTTTTACTAATTACTGGTATCCACGAACCTATCAAGAAACAAACCAGTAATTGGACGAAAATGTAACGCAAACTTTGGTCCCAACTCCCAAAGTCATTCATGAAGAGAAAACGAAATAAAAGTCGTGGTCTATGATCGGAGACGCAAGAGATGTTTACATATACCACATGTCTTTGGACGAATACTAGAATATAAAAAATGATTACTATTGTTTGATGAATAGAAAGAGGATAACACTATCGCATATAAAGGATATTAATTATGTTGACTGATTAGTCGTGGCCGGTTTCATGATTTATAATAATGCGAAGTGACATTTACATACTAACCATTTCTTTTGGACTAATGCTGTTGTTTATATAATAGTCCTGCTGGTGATCCCTATACCAAGTCATTCTTAGTATTCTAATCTCAATTCTTTGTCCACTACTTATACTTAAAGACATATAAAACGTTATCTGTTTGGTAGTATTCTTATCTCAATTATTTGCCTTGTTCCTATTTCTTACAAAATTTATTCAATGAGATTATATATAAGTTGAGATTGTTGTAGTCCATTACATAATTATGTTGATTATAATAGTTTGTTGAGATTGTTGTAGTCCATTACATAATTAGGCTCCTGATATTAATCAAGACCAACGGATTAGGCCATATGGTATGTTTATGTTATGCTCAAAATAGAAACAAAAACTGATATCCACGATCTATACGAAAGAAACCACATACATAAATTTTTCAACTCCAAACAGATGATTGTAACTAACCACGAGTCCATGAGATAAGAGCACTTCTACACCATTTCTCGTGTCTTGTTGTATGCATTAGATTATATAAATAACTTTCTAAACGCTATCTAAACTTTAAAGAATCCAAAAATACACATACACGTGGTGCACGTATAGGCGACCGGCGACCATTTTATTTGTTTGTCTTGTTTAATGCTTAAGGAAGAGTATTAAAAGATTCATGAAATGATTAGATGCTCTCTTTATCTTAATATACTCTACCTAAACTGTTTGTATGTTATCCCTGATTAATTATGAAACCGTAAGTTTGGTTAGCCTCATATCCTAAAAGCATATTCTCCTTCTCAATTGTGTGACGCTGTGGTCAGTATTATTTTGGCATTATGCGGTCTAAAATTAATCAGACTTCACTATTCTGATCATTCAATCATTTTTTGTTTATTTGTCTGTTGTATGTTTTTCCTCTCTACTCTCTAGCGATGCCTCGGCTAAAAACTTTTAAACTATGTAATAACGCTTGTATTAAAAACGTATTTTTTCAAAACAAAAATTTGACGACATTTCAGCATCTGTATAATATTTAACTGTTTAATATAATGTCTAGGGACGTAGAGGTCCAAAATTCCAACCGGCCATTGTGTCAGGCCGGCGATAATGGAGAAAAAAGCTTCGCAGGCCCGTCCATTATTGCGTTCTTCTATAATAATTAGTTTGATTTGACAATAGTGTGAATATTAATGTTTTGTTTTCTTAACAGTAGTTGTCCTCCGATGCCAAAAATAAAAAATACTCAAATTTTATTTCTTTTTTAAAAGATGTAATCTATTACTAATAAAAGTTGAGCCTATATGCATTAGAGGCTGTCTACATAAGATTTAAAATGTTGAATTTTATTGGTCCATATCATTATCTTTAATTTTGAATTTAATTGGTCCATGTCATAATCTTTAATTTTGAATTTAATTGGTCCATGTCATTATCTTTATTTTGCTCTCATTAAATAATTAATCTATATAAATTTCCTATTTTACATGTAATATATTAATTAGTTTTTAATAATGATAATTTCTCTGAATTTACAATTTACAATTTACAATAATTGTATAATAATTTTCCTATTCATTAATCATATATTTACATATATTATCTAAATTTACATATATTATTAGTAATTGCTATTTTTTTAGTGGAAAATTTACAGATGGTTTAAGTAATTATAGATATAAATTTCCTTTTCAGCCAAAAAGACACCAGGTATCGAGTTCGATTCTTTGTAGCATCAGGTTTTTTAATTTACTTTTCATTTTACCAAAATTAGAAAAACGTGATTTTGAGATATTGACCAAAAACGTGATTTTGAGATTTTGACGGGAAAACATGATTTCACGGTTTTTGCGAGAAAACGTGTTTTTGAGATTTCGATGGAAAACGTGATTTCACGGTTTTGGCGAAAAAAAAGTGATTTCATGGTTTTGGCGAAAAAACGTGATTACTAAGGTTTTGGCGAAAAACATTATTATGCGGTTTTCAGGGGGGGAACGTGATTTTAAGATTTTGACATAAAAATATGATTTTGAGATTTTGGCGGGAAAAAATGATTTCAAGATTTCGACAAAAAAACGTGATTTCACGGTTTTGGCGAAAAAACGTGATTTCATAGTTTTGGCGAAAAAACGTGATTACTAAGGTTTTGGCGAAAAACATGATTATGCGGTTTTGAGATTTTTTTTTTGGGGGGGGGAGGGGGGAACGTGATTTTACGATTTTGACGGACAAACGAGATTTCACGGTTTTGGCGAAAAAAACGTGATTTCATGGTTTTTGCAAAACATGATTACTAAGGTTTTGCCAAAAAACATGATTATGCGGTTTTGAGATTTGGGGGGGGACATGATTTTACGATTTTGACGGTAAAACATTATTTTGAGATTTTGGCGGGAAAAAATGATTTTGAGATTTTGACGGAAAAACATGATTTTGAGATTTTGACGGAAAAACATGATTTTGAGATTTTGGCGGGAAAAAATGATTTCAAGATTTCGACAGAAAAACGTGATTTCACGGTTTTGGCGAAAAAACGTGATTTCATAGTTTTGGCGAAAAAACGTGATTACTAAGGTTTTGGCGAAAAACATGATTATGCGGTTTTGAGATTTTTTTTTTGGGGGGGAGGGGGGAACGTGATTTTACAATTTTGACGGACAAACGAGATTTCACGGTTTTGGCGAAAAAAACGTGATTTCATGGTTTTTGCGAAAAAACATGATTACTAAGGTTTTGGCGAAAAATATGATTATGCGGTTTTGAGATTTTGGGGGGGGGACATGATTTTACGATTTTGACGGTAAAACATTATTTTGAGATTTTGGCAGGAAAACATGATTTTGAGATTTTGACGGAAAAATATGATTTTGAGATTTTGACGGAAAAACATGAGTTCACGGTTTTTGCGAGAATATGTGAGTTTTAAGGTTTTGGCGAAAAACGTGATTATGCGGTTCTGATATTTTGGCTGGAAAATATGGTTTTAAGATTTTGACGAAAAACGTGATTTCGAGATTTTGATGGAAAAACGTGATTTTGGGATTTTGACAGGAAAACATGATTTCACGGTTTTGGCGAGAAAACGTGATTTTGAGATTTTGGCGAAAAAACGTGATTATGCGGTTTTGGCAAAAACGTTATTTTTAAGGCCTTATTAGCTTCCAACGTATCATCAATGCTAAACACATTGATTATGAATTGTAAGTACACATCATCATCTTTTGAAAAGTATGAAACTTCGGTGAATTGAGAGATTTTAGAAAGATACATAGGTAATCTGATCTACAAAATATATAAAAAAACAAGAGCTTTAGACAACTAAAGAACTCGCAAATATAAGTCACACAAAAAAAAATAACAAAATCATAAATTAGATAATAAACTTCACTTGGGTGAGAAACAAGTACCTCGACAAGTACTCGAAAATTGATAAAAGAAAACTCGCTCATTGAAGAGGCAAAGTCTTAGCTTTATCCCAGTAACGTCCATCAAAAGGCGATTATTTTGTAAAATTAGACATCTCTGAGTCTCTGAAACTTGGCGGAGCAGTTGGCATAACCTAAAATTATAGATTTATCACAAATCGATCGAACAAATGGACTAAACGATAAACACATAATCTCAACATCAACAAAACAAACATCAACAAAACAGACTTTAAAAAAGAGAAAATTCTAACCTTCACGAAGTGATTTATTTGAGAGAATCAGTAGAAGAACAAGAGAATTAAAGTCTTGGAAGAGGGAGGGATTAAGGCAGATATATTCCCTCAATCAATTGATCAAATTAGTTTTGACAAGTCTTAATCGCTAAGATGGATTAAGGCAAATAACCAAGATGAGAGACATATAAGAGGGATTTCGCTGAGAGTAAGAATGTTCCTGTGGGTATAAGGTAGAAACATTGTTCGATCATGTTGTCGGCAAATGAAGAAAAACAATGAACTATTTCCAATAATAAGATTTAGAAGTGAATCTTCACTTGGGTGAAAACAAGTACCTCGACAACTACTCGAAAATTGATAAAAAAACTCGCTCATTGAAGAGGCAAAGTCATTAGCTTTACCCCAGTAACGTCCATCGAAAGGCGATAATTTTGAAAAATTAGACATCTCTGAGTCTCTGGAACTTGGCGGAGCAGTTGGCATCACCTAGAGTTATAGATTTATCACAAATTCGGATCGAACAAATAGATTAAACGCTAAACACATAATCTCAACATCAACAAAACTGGCTTAAAAAAGGAAAATTCAAACCTTTCACGAAGTGATTAGCTTGAGAGAATCAGTAGAAGAAACAGAGAAATAAAGTCTCGGAAGAGGGAGGGATTAAGGCAGAAATGTTCCCTCAATCAATTGATCAAATTAGTTTTGACAAGTCTCAATCGCTAAGAGGATTAAGGCAAATAACCAAGATGAGAACATATAAGAGGGATTTCGCTGAAGTAACAATGTTCCTCTGGGAATAAGGTAGAAACATTGTTCGATCATGTTGTCGCAAATGAAGAAAAACAACGAACATTTCAATAGATGAGACTAATTTCAATGTTTGCATTTCTAATTTCAATGTGATAGCAAAACCGAACCGTAACAAACCAAAACAATGGAACCGGGAATTGGAAACGCGGTTATTAATTAAACAGGATACGAAAAAAAAAGTTTGGAATATATGAGACTTTTTAACTATCAAAAAGTGATTTAAAAATAAAGAGATGAATTTATTAAATGGAATTGAATGCAAAATAATTAAACTAAAAAAAAAAAGAAAAAAATTAAGTATAAATCGTAAACTCAGAGCTGGAAAAGCTAAACTAATAAATAAAATTAAAAAGGAAATTAACAACTAAAATATGTATTAGACTAATATTGGATTGTACAAAACTTGCCGGATGATCTTTAATGGATATAAATTAAAAAGTGTCTAATAATAGTAAAATTAAGGGATTAATTTAAGAAATGTGAGGATAGGATGTTGAATGTTTTCTACAGAAAAGTATGTTTTTAAAAAGTACATTACTTATTATGACTAATTATAAAATAATTAAATTGGTTAAGTAAAAAATAATTAAAAAGTATATTACAAAGAAAATTTATTAAAAAAAAAACAAAAAGCAAAAAATAAAAAATTAGAAGCGTTGGTAAAAAAATAAAATAAAAAATATAACAGTTAAAAATTCATTAAAACGGAAAACCCGCGCATGCGCGGATAAAATACCTAGTAAACTAATAATAGTTCAGGGTAATTGAAAAAAGAAAAAGAAAGAAGTAAGGCTTTCTGATACGATGACAATAAAATAGAGTAACACTTGCTGGGTTTATCTATCAAAAGAGCTGAACCAAGATGAACCAGATACTCTATACTTTTTATTTATTAGAAACAATTACAGAAAATTAGTTATGGGAAAGGAAACAATTTTACCAGAAGATTCAAAAGATAAGAATATGGGCGCAAAATAAAAGGAAAACAACATGGGACAATTGAGGAAAGTAATGTCTAAAAAGTGGAAGGGGGTAAGGACAGGCTGGCACTTATGATTGGTCAGTGGCAGAGCCAGCTGTATCCCATTCATCAGCCTTATCTCGCCATGTACCGACCGACACGTGATCACAATGGACCCCACCATGTGACTCAGTTCTCCTTCATTATCTGTCCACTGTCCTTAATCGTCGCGGTTCCATAACAAACCGGTTTTTAATCTGGTTTGACCGTAGCACATTCTTGCAATCGATCGACTCAACTGAAAATATATTAACTTTGTATTTTTAAGCTTAATATAAACATTATAATTTTGGCCGAGAAACACGGGCATGTAAAAAGAATTAAGAAAGACACCTTTTAAAAATATTTTTTCTTTCCATCTATTACATTATTTTCATCTATGACAATATTTACATTATTTTCATCTATGACAATATTTAGAAAGCCCTATTTTCAAACAGTAAAAAATAAATATTTTACATTATTTTATTGTAAATGGAAATGTACATTATGCAAGAGAAATATCCGACTATTTTAGAATAGACAACCTAATTGGTAAGATATATACAACATGTAGTATATATGTTTGTATTTCCAACAACAAAAAATATACATATTCAAATGTCCTTAAAAATCAAGTATTCTATCAAACTTCTTTTTGGCTTCTTCAGCCTAACGTAATCAAGTAATCTTCAAAGTAAACAACATTCTAAAACGCAAAATCAAAATATATAGGTGATTTGAAAAACGAAAAAAAAAAAAAAAAAAAAAAAAAAAAAACTTGATTAATGATTCAGTGGTTTGTATTCGGATGGCGGCCGTGTCACAATCCTCGTTCAAATTTGATAATGTTTTTGAATGAGTTGTAGAAGACAAAAACAAATTGGAAAATATGTATTACTATATTTAAAAAAAAAAACTTATTTAAATGACAAGGGATTTATCTCCTAAAACACACTTGGCTATATATATACACCTAAACACACAAAAGAAAATTCAACCAATCACTACACCCACAAAAAAAAGCATCACTCTCTTTCTCAAAACGTTTTAAATCCCTCCGATCATGCCGACCAGAAACATCGCCGTCGGCGGATACCAAGAAGAAGTCACTCACCCCAGCGCACTTAGGGCGGCGCTCGCTGAGTTTATCTCCACTTTGATCTTTGTTTTCGCCGGCTCAGGCTCCGGAATAGCTTTCAACAAGCTCACAGAAAATGGAGCAACCACTCCTTCCGGCCTCGTCGCCGCTGCCTTAGCCCATGCTTTCGGGCTTTTCGTTGCTGTTTCCGTCGGCGCTAACATCTCCGGTGGTCACGTTAACCCCGCTGTTACCTTCGGTGTCCTTCTCGGTGGTAACATCACCATCCTCCGCAGTATTCTCTACTGGATCGCTCAGCTTCTTGGCTCCGTCGCCGCTTGCTTCCTCCTTAAATTTGCCACCGGTGGCATGGTAACGTCACTTCCTCCTTTACTAAAATTCGGTTTAATGTTATCGTAATGGAATTTAGTACAATTAGGTTTGGTTTGGTTTCTAAAACCGAAGTAAGTTTCGGTTTTGTTCTTCATGATTCATTTTTAGGTTTGATTCGGCTTTTTCATTTTGCTAAAATATACTATAGTACAAAGAAATTTAGTTTTTTTTTTTTTTTTTTTTCACTCACTTTTATGTAAAATGCATATTCGTGAATATGATATTGTTTTACATATAGAAAAATAAAACAATCAGACTAAATTAAATTTTATTTGGACCAAGTCTTTTTTGTTTGGTTTATCCTATTCCATGATGAATAATATTCCAACTAATTAAAATCACAGTGCTTGTTTAACTTCTGAGGCAAGTAACTAATTTTCTTTCTTTCTCAAAAAATCATTTTTCAGGCAATTCCCGCTTTTGGTCTCGGTGCCGGAGTTGGATCCTTAAACGCTTTCGTCTTCGAGATTGTGATGACCTTCGGGCTCGTCTACACCGTCTACGCAACCGCCGTCGACCCCAAAAACGGAAGTCTCGGAACAATCGCACCAATCGCCATTGGTTTCATCGTGGGAGCTAACATCCTCGCCGGTGGAGTTTTCAGTGGAGCCTCAATGAACCCCGCCGTCGCTTTCGGACCAGCCGTTGTGAGCTGGACGTGGACCAACCACTGGGTTTACTGGGCTGGTCCTCTTGTCGGCGGTGGACTCGCTGGACTCATCTACGACTTTGTCTTCATCAACGAAGACGGCCACGAGCCATTGCCCACCAATGATTTCTGAAGACTGCCAAATTCAATGTTGTGATTTGATTTGTTTTTATTTCGCATCGTAATTGGTTTTCTATGTGGAACGTTGGATCTTTCTTTTAGATGAATCTTTGTATGTTGGTTTATGTGTATTTGGGTTTCTTGTTGGAGTTTTAAATTTCCCTGTAAGGCTTTGGTGCAAATGAGAAATCCAGGGAATGTGAATAATGCTTCCAAGATCATTACAAGACCACAATGAATAAGAAGGAAATGAACATAGAGAAATAAAATATGGGAAATGTTTATTTGCGCTCATAATTGATAAGTAATATTTTACATTAAAATATTCTGATCAATCAGAAACTAGAAAGAATGAGAAAAAATAAATCCTAGATTTAAGAATATATTTTAAATAATATCTTTATGAATTATGACTGCGAATTTGCAATAGATATTTGTTTTTTTTTTAATAGATAGTCGCACAGTCTCATATAAACACTTTGAATTCACTCCATATGTACTCTTATTTTTTACAAACATATAAAAAGCTGTTTCTCGTAAGTCGTAATATCTAGCGTAATATACATATATAGCAGAAATAACTCCACAAACACAAATCAGGAGCTTCAAATGATTCAGTCTGGCGTTTTGTAACGACATGTTGATCGCTTCATCTTGTCCAATCACCATTTTTTTTCTTCTTTCTAGTTCTTATTCCAACATTTTTCGGCGGGAAAATGAAGGGACATTTTGGTCATTAGGAGTTCATTTTGTTTGCATACGGAACGTGAATAGAAATAGATGGATGGGAAATAGATTCGCCAAATCTTGTGGGGTAAATCGGATAGGAACTCGGAATGTCGTGAAACGAGTGGACACGAACCATCCACATTTACTAATTGTGTAAAATGCAAAAATCTTGTGTTTCAGTAGTTTTGTTTACAATGCGAAAGCTAAATTATCTTCAACAGAAATGTAAGGTTTAATCATCCGAAATTCATACAAATAAAATATATAAAAAACTATCTTTTGGTTCTGATATATAATCAGCTTGATTTTGATAGTTTGAACGTAAAAGTTTGCTAAATAAACAATAACTATCACAACTAGCTAGCTCTAGGCTTACCGAATCACGATCGGAGAATTAAAGACATTACATTATATACACATGCAGATGCATCTCATTTATGCGATATGCAAATTACCATGTGAAAAGTTGGACCATTCGTACACCGCACATTACTTAATTTCCTATCTTCCTTTTTGTTCTTTTCCATATAAATCTTCTTCATCTGCCTTCTCATTGATGGCTCTTCTTTGCAAAAAAAAAAATTGAAGTCGATAGTTTCTTAGAATAACCATGAATGATACCTTAGAAAACCTAACATCTAAAAGAAAACAAAATGATAAATAGAAAATCAGTTATCTCCTAGTCTTTAAGTTAGATTCTTGAAATTTTGGTTTTGAATAAGATGTACACTAATTGCCTAAGAGCCATTCTGAACAAAGATGTACATCAGTGTGAGGCACATGACCGGTTTTTACTTGGGTGCATCCCAGCCAATTTTGTTTTGTCTTACTACTTCAAATTTGTTACAGACAAAAAAACAACTATATCGTAAAAATTATTGTATGTTGGATTGGACCTACTCCTACAATGGTCAATGCTAGTAAACTCTCCAGTTATGAGTTCATTAATTTTTCATTGCCACAATTTTTAAAAGTTTTCATTGTTTAACAATCACAAATTAAAACCAGTGCCAACTTTAATCATCATACTATTTTTCATTTTGAATATTTTAAAGTTGGCACTGGCTTGGTCGGTTTGGAGCAACTAAATTGTTCAAAACTGTAATCCATAGAGATCACATATTTAAGTTTGGTCGGTACGTTCACGTTCACCCGTCATTCTCCGACCAATTACGTCCACGTCTATCTGTCTCCATTACCCAATAAAGATAATCAATTTTCAGGATTTTCCACATAAATTCTTAGGAAGGTAGGCCCTACACCCACAACGTGACAATTTAGAATATGGTCACTTTATATAGATAGCTATCTATATACATATAAATATAATATGTGTGTTTGTGAAGATATGAGGAGAACATGTAAACAGTAAACTAGTTTTGGTCTTGTGTATTCAAATTTTGATGCTTGACCAATTTGTTGTATAAGTTATGTTTGAGTTTGTTTATCAACAAAAACAAAAAAAAGTTATGTTTGAGTTTGGGTGCAATTTGTTTTTTAGAAAACTTCAAAAGACAAGATTTTTCAAAAGTTTCCATATTGCATGTCGCACGTTATGTCAAAAGTTTGTTCAAATTCTCAATTAAAGTTTAGGTTTGATTGGGTTTGGCACCATTGTTGGCCCAATGGGTTCTTGGTTAAACTTAAATGTTGCAGAGGATAATCAAAATCTTGATTTTCCGAAGTGCTGTTGTGATAGCTTTCTTAAACGAGGCCTGACCCAGCTCAAATGGGAAACGGTACGGGAAATAATTAGTGCCATGTTCTCTAACGCGCACGAGCTTGTTTAAAAAACATTACGCACCCCCAAAAATAAATAGATTCGTGTCTAAAAGGCTATTTGAAACAAAACTCATAAATCACCATACTATTATGCGTCGCGTTGATTCTCCACGCTCTCCAATCCTAAAAGATCGAATGATATGGTGAAATCATTCATGTAACTACTTCTGTGATAGTATTGGATTTGCTTTGAGGTTTTGATCCAGCTTATGCGTGTGATGGAACTAGCCACTTATATAAGTTAAACACATGTGTCACTTTCTTATTTGTCTTCCACATGCATCAGCCAAACAAACCCATTCAATAAAAGTTTATACTCTGATAGTATGATTACTACTACTAAACGATGACACACCACAAATTATAAAATTATAAACATATATTACCTGCTGAATCATTCTCTAATAAACTTATTAATCCGAACTACACAATTGTTCTTATCAGCTAATCATATTTGGAAAATATTTTTCTCCATTTCTTTTCTTCAACGGAAAAAGCAACAAGAATATGTACTTTTATCAAAACTGATCCAAAAGACTTCCAGTCCCCACACACACAACCGTAGAATAAAAAAAAGTAAGAATTAAAGTTTACCAAAATAGCAAGGACCAACAAGAACAACCTAAATTGGGGATTGCATCGGTGGATACACGTGTCAGCCGTGCCAAGCCAAATTGACACTTGCCCTGTATTTTGCAAAGTCCATCCAACTTGCTGCTCAACTCAAGGCGCTCTCTCGTTATCCTAGTCACCTTGTGGGTCTTACTGGGCCCACATTACGCATTCACAATCCACCAATACTTTGTATGACTAGGCATCGGATCACATTGGATGGAATTGAAATGCTTAAAAGAATTATACTTATTGTTTTAGTACGTATAGGTTTTATTTTACACAAATATAATAAAGTTACGCGTTTTGTGCCCAACAAAAGCAAAAGCATAGCATTTTTAGTTTGATATATAACTGACAAATGCCATTTACCTGAAAGAAGAAGTTTTCTAAGACTCGGTATTTGTTTAATTCTCTCTTATAACCAAAATACCCATAATGCCTACTAACACAAACCCTTTATATAAAAAATGCTACAAACACTTTACACTTCCACAAGGATTAGCTTTATTTTCTTCTTCTTGAATCTTGTACATGATTCTTTTATCACCATCAACGTTAGAATGTTTAGTATTACTAGCGGAGACAATTCTACACGAGTATGTATCTAAACTACCTAAGTTTTTAGTTTGCTTATTAATTTCAAGTTAAAAATTTATAATCTCATGATGATCAAATTTCAAATGTATAAAGTATATTATAGGGATCTATGGTATCTTACATGACATTTGAACAGCTCTTCTTTTGCTGATTTTCCTTTAAGTTGATTCTGTGCGGCTAAAGCTTATAAGTTATAACTATTTCTCTTGCAAAACAAGTTTGTTATTTACTGCAACTGTATAACACTAGGTTAACATTATTTTCGAACAAAATTAACTAAACAAATTAACCTCTAAAAAAAAGAGGGAATACTATGAAATAACAATTTTGTATTACAGAATTACAGCCTAGCTAATTAAACTGATATAAGTGAACTAAATAAATATAAGTTTTGTTTTTGTAATGTATTTTTAGCTTAAAATAAATAAATATGGGAACAGAAGTGTAAATACGTCCAACATTTATGATGAGATGGGCTTATCCTCTTCAATGGGAGAAGCAATGGCTCTTTGCGTGTCTGCCGCAGAATCAACAACTCGTCGATTTCTTTCTATTCATGCCATACGTGTCGCGTTGTCCTTTTGTCAAATTCTTCCAATAAATTTGCGGAAAATAGTGTTCCGATTTTCTTGTACCTCTAAAAATGAATTCCAGGGATTACAAAGCTACCTACAGCTAATATACGAAAGAAGAGTCTCTAAACTATAAATCGTGAAATTTCAAAAGCTCTATTTTATTATGAGTTTGATCTTTCAATTGTTGATAACTAAAGTCCAACTCTCGTACCAAAACAAAAAAAGTAGAGTCCAACTCATGCTCATGCCATTTTGTTGCGACTTTAGTTATGACTAATACGCACTAGGCAGTAACAATAACATCAGATCATTTTTATATGATATGTATACATTTAAACTGACAATAGAAAGAAACTCAAATGTGTTTAACCTGTTACTAGTTGATACGATTTTGAAAAGAGATTTGTTGTTTTAATTAAACGGTTTGCACTATTATCACAATACTATTTTCAAGCCGACCATCATGTGAATAAAACTTCATGTCTCTTTTGTATTTAAATTATTAAATTATCTGTATTATTTTGAAACTAACTACAATTACTATTCGTACTCGTTTTGTGAAAAAAAAATGAAGCTTTGAAGCTTAGTGTCGCTAATTCGTGTTTTAAATACTTAAATTATTATTCTTACTCGTTTCGTGAAAAAGAAGAGAAACATTATTATATTTTCAATGTTAATCATTACGTGTTCAAGATATTGGTGACATCAAACACATGATATAATGTGAAAAAGCGCAAGAAGATATTGGTATAAAAAACTGCATAATGGGTGACAGACGTTGTCTTCAAACAATAATATGATCGATGGTTTTTAGAAGGACGAATTCCATATCTATTTTCAAAATCATGTATTAAAAATCCAAGTTAACAAGTTTAATATATTTGCATACTTATTTACTCAATGCACGTAGTGTCTGATACCGTGATACGAGTAGGACTACGGCTTCCCGTAGCAATAGATTCGTTGATATAAGTTGCGAAAGTGTAAGGATATGCTTTAACAAAAAAATAGTGTTAGGATATGTAAAGCAAGAGCCATTATTTAGCATATAAACTTATATAACAAACTACTCTAAAAAATAAGGCCGGAGATTTAAAAATACATTTCACAACTGCATGATATACGTCTTTATGATCGAAGGGACCTGATCAAATTACACTTCTTAAGATTCTGATTAATATTTTGATCTTTTGGTGCTACTGCGATAATTGTTTATTTAATGGTAAACACGCGATATCGATCTTACAGTTCATTAAAAACTAGAGATATTGGTATGTTTTATAGTTTCGTTCCAAAGTGTAGGACCATTCATAATAATTGGTCATGAAGATCGGGCGATACTGATACACACGTATACACAAGATAATCATCCCCATTTCCAAAATTTTCCCCTCCATATTATATAGATATTGTAGGAAAAAGCATATTTCCAAAAGAATATTCGATTTTTCATTTTTTTCATAATTTTATGATGGGTCTTTGGACATGACATCATTGGATAATGTTGATGTAAGCTTGAATTTGTTCTTCCAATTTTATGTTTATCTCTTTTCTTTTGTTATCCACCTTTATACATCATATTTTATACATAGTTGAAGATATACATCATTTATCATCAATATTTTCTCAAAAAAAATCATTATTATCGATAAATTTTAAACACTATTTGAAAATGATGTCTCTAAATCCTAATTAAATTAAAAATAATATTTATTTGTGTATGGCACACTATTTATACAAATAGGCGATCACAAAATGCACTGAATGGGTTTTTGCATTACGGCCATGCAAGTCATATGGACCATCTCCATGTGTGCCCCACGTGATGTGGGTCCTGAAAGCATCTCTTTATATATTTTCCATCTTTGTCAAATTTGTTCACAACAGTTTGGAGCAGTGTCCACTAGTTGACGCTATGAGTGGCATTAATCGAATCAAACTAATTCGAGGTGGAACAATTAGTTGGAGTTCAGATAAGTCTACCAAAAACAAAGATGATTAAACCGGAGTCAAACCGAATCCAAAATATCGCCCACATCTGAACATGGTCTTTGAATTTGCACATTATTATATTACATTTACAAAAAAAAAAGTTAATATCTTGTTTAGCCATTTGGTTTTTATTTTCTTATAATGACATTCTAGTTTTGAATGCTTTGATCACAAAATTCACTAAAGTAATGCTTTGAATTACTAATTTCGATTATTCACCTTTGTAACTTCAGGTTATTCACTATTTTATCTAACTAAAAGCCAAAATATCTTTTAGTTGAATTTTTTTTTACAAATATTACTTACTTTTTTTCTGTCTATTTTCTTGTCGTTTTTAGTTTTCCTTGAAAACTGTCGATGTAAACTATATATGGTTTTATGTGAATGCATCGTTTTTTCCCCCACAAAGAAAAAAACATCAAGCTAAAGTGCAAGAATACAACAACAATGCAAAAAACTTCTTATTCATGAACGTAGCCGTTAAACTAATGTTAAAATGTAAACACAATTCAATCACCAAGCGCAACAAATACACGCTGCCAAAGAAGGCTTAAATAGTCATCTCATGTGTGATATTCTTAGGTTTAAATTTGAAGTTATGGTTTCATATAACTTAGTCCATTTTCATGATTTGGTTCCAACTTCCAACCTACACATATTTGGTTTCCTAGACTCACTTTTCAAGGCGGGTTAGGATGCGGTATTAGAGGATACCGAGACAAACTTTTGCACCTAACACATAAACCACTCTCGGATAATCTCAACGTTTAAGAGTATGGCCGAGAGTTATATAGAGGGCTTAAAGTGACTTTGATAATATACTAAAACACCTCATAAGATGTTCATAAAGCTAGGAAAATGAAACACAAATTCTTTTTACGTCTAAGTGAAGAAAGATGAAAATGAACCAAGAAAAAAGGTTAAATCTAAAGATCCTTGGCTAAAAAAAATCTTCGTAATGCAAGAATTTGATTTTGATCACAAGGGGTCTAAAATGAAAGAGTTATGGTTAGAAATGCAAAAAGGAGCCTTGATTCATCAGGTGATAAAAAAAACATGGTTTAGAAAAGCTTTACTGAATTATCCTCATAAATCCTGATTTTCAAAATAAAAGTATAAATTGTAGAGTCTTAAAACTAAAACTTTCAACCCAAAAACAAATATTTTTCTTAATTTTGTTTATAGTTTTTTCTAGTTTTATTTTTTAAAATAATTTGTTTCTTAGATGTTTCAAATGTTTTTTTATGTTGAGTAGATTTTTTAAAATCTATTCACCAGTGACTTTTGATAACTAAAATTTAAGATTTTATCACAAATACTTTCCATGTATCATCATAAACTGATACCCATTAATTATTTTGCTCCAAACACATAAAATGTTCTAGGTAAAAAGTAATAACATGCTTTTATGTGAATTTATGTTAAAACTAATAATTTGTTTTCCACTGAAATATGGCTGATATTGTTAATTTTTATACTACTAAAGTACTATTCATAGAATATAGCACTCAATACAAAAAAGTTAAAAACCCTATCACAAAATCTTGTTATCTTTAAACTTTTTAATATTTTTTTTGGCTCAATCTTGCCTTTTTCCTGAAACAAAAAATCATTTTCTCTTTTTCTGTTTTTCCTTTTTCATTGAAAAAAAAGACTATGGCTTATTGGCTTACGTAACTAATGGGTCCACAAAATGACGATCCTACCCTTCGTTATCTCTCTCTCTCTCTCCGTTGTTTGTTCCATTTCATAAATCGCTATAAATACGCTCTCAACGTTACTCTTCACTTGGCTTGCACAGACAAACCTACTAGAAGAATCCTTTAGTCTTCCTTTCCAAAATTCTCTCTCTCTTCTCTTTTATCTTCTTCTCTCTCTCTAGTTATGGTTACTTCTCCGACGAACTCCACAATCAAATTTCTCTGTAGCTATGGCGGGAAAATTCTACCCCGTTATCCCGACGGCAAGCTCCGTTACAACGGCGGTCACACTCGCGTCCTCGCCGTTCCCCGCTCCGTCTCATTTTCCGGTTAGTTCGCGCGCTGTTTGTTAATTTGATTTTGAATTTCGAAAATCGGTTTGTTGGAGAGAGAAATTAAAGGCTGCGCGTGTGGTGCGTGTAACAGAGCTAGTGTGGAAGATGGCGGAGATGTGCGGATCCACCGTCACTATCCGGTGTCAGCTTCCGACGGAAGATCTCGACGCGCTCGTTTCCGTTACTTCCGATGAAGATCTGGCGAATCTAATCGAAGAGTACGACCTTGTTTCCAGCTCATCGCCGTCGCCGATGAAGATCAGAGTCTTCCTAAATCCGCCGAAATCCGCCGGATCCAGAAAATCGACGATGTCGCCTCCGTCGTTAGCGTTACCTTCTTCCACGTCGTCATGTTCCACCACTTCGTCCACTTCATCCAGTCCTAGATCGCCGTCTATGTCAAAACCACCGCTCCCTCCGTCGCCGCCGAGATTAACCACGGGGAAGAATCAGTGCTACGGCTGCTATGTCCACCGTAATTCGAGAAATCTCTACCTCGTCCACAACGGAAATCACTGGCAATAACCCCCCCAAGCCCCTCCCAATCAATTTCCAAAAAAATGTGAAGAATCGAATAGAATATATACTTGAAACAAAATCATCGTTTAAAAATGTAAAAGAGAGAGAGAGATAAATGGAAGGTGTACGTGATGATCTCTCTATTACGATGACCGACGCCATTAATGAAATCCTCCTAAAGCTTTTCTTTTTTTTTGTTCGTGAATTGGGGTGAGTTCGTTTAATTCCTTTCTTTTTTGTTTCCTTTCTTCTTCACCTTTTTTTTTGTTTTGAATTGCTTTCCGTCACCATTACTCCGTTGCAATTTTGCCGTCAACGTTAACCGGTATTGGTGGAGTTTTTGAGCCTCGTAAGTCGTAACCGTTTTGTCACGTGTCACCGCTACCTTATCTAACTCTTCCGTTACTTTATTCTGTTATGTTTGCGCGCCATCACCGTTTATCGGACCTCATTACGTGTGTGCCCCGTTCGTTTCCGTTAATCACCACTTGTTTACGTTTTTTCTTTCTGGTTTTAACGAACACCTTTTCAAAAGAAACTTGGTTTCAGTTCACTTTTATTTTAACTAACACTTTCTTTTTGTGTGTGGTATATTCAGTTTTTTTGTTGTTGTTGGTAAATTCCATTTCTGTTGAACTAACATCCATAATCACAATTTGGTTTTTTTTTTACAAGGGTTTACTAATAATCACACTTTGTCATCTGCAGGTAATTTTGTACATCAAGTAAAAGTCGAGCCAAGGGGTGGTCGATTTTCTCGTTTATGGTATGTATTATTTTTATTTTTTTTTCATACACACATCCCTAATATATTAAAAGAGAAAACACTAACTAAATAACCTTTGTCCATTGTGTTATTAACAAGAGTGCCACTGCTGATGTGTCATCACCAGGTTCACTCTCAGCCCAATTTCTAATTAAGACAAGTTTTACTAGAGAAATTACAAATTGTGCCATTGCATATTATGCTTACCATCCATTTATTATTATATTATTTCCTTAATTGACAATTACGAAAATAAGTAAATAAGGAAGATATGAAATTCAATTGAATTCTATCATAATAATTTTTTTAAAATCATTATATATCCCCTATCATCTTTGTTCAACTTTATTTTATAAAATAATATGAATCACAATATAAAAAACTAATAAAGAAAATCTAAAGCTTTTTCTGTATATGCTATGATTTGAATTTTTAAAAACAAAATAATCAATTGTTTAGTATATAATCTCATTTAGTGTAACCTAGGTATTTAAAGGTAAATTATTATTTTTATTTTATTTAATATGGTTTTTAATTAAATTCTATAATAAAATTGAATAAAAAAATTCTTTTATAAATTTTTACTTTGATTAAAAATTTGAATATTATTCCATCTGTTTCAACCTTCAATATAAAGTTAATTGTATTTTTGTTGTTTTAACAATTTAGATCATACATATTGTTTTCTTATTGGTTGAATTGTTTTGAAATTATAATAAAACATGTTTTAGTTTTGAAAGAAAGAGAAAAAATAGTTCTAATCCATGTCTTAGTTTTGAAAGAAAGAAAAAAAAATTGATTTTAATCCGTGTTTTAGTTTTAAAAAAAAAAAAATAGTTCTAATCTGTGTGCACACAGCTAAGACTTCTTATTTTATAAAATACAGTATAAATTTTTGTAAAGAATAATGTTTTATTTTCACTTTTTTTTTCTTTAAACTAACTTATTATACTGTAGTCATTTGAATTTCATATATCTCGCTTAAATCTATCATATTTAATATATGACTATGTTCAAGACTTTAATCTATTTACCTTTTTAAAAAATAATTTAAAATGCTTAATTTTCATATTATAAACGAATAAACGAAGGCAATAATCTAACAAAGATTAAAAATCCGTCGCATAAAATTTTGAGATATTTAAATAAATATTTTTTAATAAATTACCAAAAAACATCTTTTAATAAAAATACAAATTCGGAAACCATCACCCCGTGCTGGGCGCGGGTCAATCCCTAGTACATGTGTATATTTATGAATATATTCTGATGTTTATATTTTACTGATTCATTTTAATGGGTCTTTTGGCAGAAGAAATTCGAAATGGGGATAAGCTTTGGAGAAATTGGGGAGAAGGACAAAATAAATAAAAAAGCTTAATAAGAATGTTGGGAATAATTGACCAAAAAAAAAAAAAAAAAGAATGTTGGGAATAAAAGAAGAAGAGGTGATAATGAATGATGATAAGATTCGATTTTAATTAAAACGGGACCCGAAAGACAGCTGGTGTGAAGAAGTACATGACATACTTGGCTTTTAAGTAACGGAAAATGATATGTTCATTGGATGTAGTTGGGTGGGGGAGAAGAAGACACCAAGTACGATTTCTATCCAATAACAAAATTGAGGTCTGGACTGTGGAAAAACGAAAACTTTGAATTTGGGGTGTGACCTAAACAGGGACGTGAGTTTTGAACTTTTAGATATTTTCAGCGAATGAGATTGAGGTTAGGTGGTGGACGGACTATTAGGGCTTAGGCAATAGGCACTATCACAAGACGAATTAGGCGGTATAACACTAAATTAGGCATTTAGGTTATCGAAGCTCTTCGTGGCGTGGGGAAAGAAAATTAGCTTGGAATCTTGAGATAAAAATCCAATTAATACAATAGTTTTTTTGTGTGTGGTAAGCTTCTACACATTCATCAAACAAGAGAAAAAAGTAGCTTATAGACTGTTAATTTTGCTCAAAAAGATGAAGGAACTCAGAACCTAGACAGAATACAAAATAAGAAAAAGTTTGCTTAATTAATCACCAAATAAGACATTTACTTTAAGTCAAAACTTACCATGAAAGAGTACATTATGGCCAGAGAATTTGCAAGAGGAAACGATCGAGAAAGGAGAAGGAAGAGAGTAAAAGAAAGAGAAACAAAAGGAAGATGAAAAGTCAACAAGAGAGGATGGCAATGAAAAGAGCGATTAAAATGTCAAAGCTAGACTTATAAGAAAACGAAGAAGAAACAAGCGTGAAACGAGTGTTGGTAGATCTATATATTGTAGTAATTCAGTAATGCATTGATGCTGTCAGAGAAAATATTTCTAATTGATGAATCATTGTAGCAAGGCTTTTTCACAAGATGATCAAAAGAAAAGTCTCTGATTGTGCTAAAAAGAAAACAAACATCACTGAGTAATGGATCAAACTTTTACAACAAAGATGATCAAATCTCATTCTACATTAAAACTATCTAAAGAGAGGAGAAGATGAATGAAGCAAAGACCTCTTTCTTCTTCTTCTTCTTCTGCTGTCATTGTTAAGTCTTCCTCTTGATTCAGAATGTCAATCTCCTCATCATCTGATATTCTGAAAAATCCAGAGGTAACAGATTAAACCCTTAGCCCAACTCAAAAGCAAGCCATTAAGTGACAACAATAGCCAACTTTAAACCTACAACTATGGAACACGACAATCACCGGTTGTTGTAATTATTACTCAAAACAAATTAACAAACTAAATGAGGATCCAACAATAATCACCAAACAAGTGGTTAAAACCCTGAAACGCTAAATCACCAAATCGATCAAAGACAAAACAAAGGAAGCTCACAAAGCAGAATCAATAAAGAGTATAAGCATCGAAAAGGACACTAGAGTAGCAGCTTAGGCTGACATTGAGATTCATCAACTGGGAGAGTTAAAAGAGAGCTTACATTGCTGATTTCAATCCAAGCATGGAAGATATCCAAACACAATTGGCCCACATGCTGTGGGAGGACGCCAACCGAAATACTTGGTACCATCTTCCATAAGAAACTGTTTCTTCGCTGCAACATCTCCAAAAACTCTCACCTTGGAAAGACATTGTCTGTGCCGTTCGTGATTATAAAAGCAAGTGGCAAGTTTCATCTCATCGTCCACAAAGAAACTCGCGTGCCTCGTGAAAAAAGGCGTCGCACTCACTGTCAAGTACTTGGACCAAGACACAGACGACGCCGTCTCACCAATCTCACCAATCTCACCAATCTCAGTACTCATCCATATCTCCGTCTTTGATTTCTCTGCACTCTCATAGAACAAACAGAGACGATCTTCTCCAACAACCGAGAGAGCCAGATTGTTCAAACCTTCTTCGAGAACGTAAGGACCCAAACACTCCGCTTCGTGGAAGGGAAGATACAGATTCTGAAACCTCTCGGTTGAGAAATCAAACTCGAGCAGCGAGTACTCTTCCGCTCCTCCTCCTCCTCTTCTCGAGATCCAATAAGCATTCCCTTTCAAAGACACGCCGAGAGAATCAAAGCTTCCACAGGGAGAGACGCCATCAAGCTTCCTCCATGAGTCGGACTTGAACTCGTAAATCTCCATCGTCTGATCCTCCATCACCCTCAAGATCTTGTAGCTATGGCACAACTCCTTGTTATCGTAGCCAAGAGCGTAGATTTTGCAGCTTCTCGTGCTCGGCATGATCCATCGTAACCAAGAGCGATGATTCGGCGGCTGGATCCATCTGGTTTTCCCCGAAAACGGGTCCCAAGCCACGAATCTCTCGTCCTTGGTGGCGGTGCATAGCAATAAGCCGTCGCAGTGGAAAGCGTGAGCTATTTCGACTTTCCGATTAGTGACGGGATCGATTAGAGATAACTCAGAAACCGGGTTTTGACGATCGACGTAGGAGTTCATGGTTTGGACCCTGAAATCATGCAGCACGATGGCTTCATGATACTTCCTTGGTGGTGCTCTATTAGAGTGCCTTCTGATGAATCTCGGATCTTTGAATAGAGGGTGATGGTACCAAAGTTTGCCTGCAGATCGTAAGAGTCTCAGAGATTTGATCGGAACCCTAGAGAGTATCTCCTCTTCTATGTCCTTTGGAAGATTCGAGAGCTTCATCGCTTGTGTCTTTCTGAGATTCGGTTATTTGGATCTCTTCTCTTCGAATTCAGAAATCGTCGGCGGCACTCTTCAGTCTTCACTGACTGAGAAATTGTAAAGTGTGATAAACCCTAAAAGGAAGAAACCAGAAAACGGTGTCGTTTGACTTTATAAAATTGAAAGAAAAAATAATAATCACATTATTTTTGAATCTTGATATTCAAGTTCTATTGTATTTGGCATATCCATTATATATCAGAAGAGAAGACATTTATAAAAATAATCATTGTTTTCAACTTATTTTCAATTGTACCATTGCTGAGATGTCCCAATTTGCCACACTCTCACAATCTTCAATAAATAAATCTATATTCCCTATTCTATTTACAGTTATGCCACAAAAATATCTCTTATTTATTGATTATTGATTTACTGATTTATGATTATTTATTTATTGATATTTATTGTATTACTCAATGTAAACTTTCGTACGTGCATGCAATTGAAAAGAGGTCATTTCTAAAGTTTATTATATATTCATATATCGTTATAATAATATAAACTGAAACATATAATAAACCAGGTTATATGGTTGGTAACTAAGCTACTTTTCAAAGATTTACCAGTGAAAAATGAAAATGAAAATGTAAATCTAATAGTGAAAACCCAAAATAATTCAATGAAAGTTCTATGATTCGATTCTACGTTGAGATAGAGATTCAGAAATCGTCATCGGAATCACCATCGGTTTTCTACTCTAGAAGAACGAGCCCGAGGAATCCAGCCCAACGAAAACAGATAAAAGCCCAATAAGAGAAGGGACCAATGCCAGGATGTAGATGGCTTGAGACACATCTCCAACATGCCAGGATGTTTTAAATTATTGTTTGATCCTAAGATTCCTGAAATACAAGCATTCAAAATTACGTAAGAAAATATGTTTTCTCATATACAGTCATGTTAATTAATAAACTACTCAAAACTAGAATCTGTTGTGTACATGATTCCACTAAACAAATACTGATAAACGACGTGAAGGAAGATGAAACATGTCAAGATTAATGTTTCAGATGTAGTTTTGTTCGGAGTCTCATTTTCTTTTTGGGTTTAGTCATTCAGTTTTTATATTTATTCCGATTAAGACATGTTTTTAAAGCCAACAATATGTACCTCCCAAAGTTTGGATTTACCATGACTAAAAAGATGTTTGAATTTTATAGATATAAAATATTTATTATTTTGTTTGCTAAGACACATAATGAAAGGTCCTACAATTAAAGGGCCCCGCAATGTAACCAATACGGAATGTATAAACCAAGGCTTAAGTAAATGTAAAAAAACATATATTAATATGAAATAAATTTAAGAAAATTTCACCCCGTGCAGGGCGCGGGTCCAACCCTAGTATGATCATTATTTTCTTCTAGTACAGAAGATCTCTCATTAAAAATAAAAACTAACAAGTAACAACCGCATTATTAGCTTAAAATATCTAAAACTCAAAAATTATGTTTGAACTCTCAAAACTATAAATTCTCTATCTCATATTTGTACGTCTTCGTATAGAATTTACTAATTTAAGATTTACAATTTCTGATGCTAGAGGTGAATTTAAGTTATCGTGATTTAAATCCTATGAAGACAAGAAATGAAACCCACCGTTTTGCCGCAAGAGCTTTTTATTTATTTATTCTGGTTTATCATTATTGATATTATAAAATTGATGAAAATTGAAATTTTTGGTATTATAATTACGAACTTTGTCCTTATCCAATAATATCCAACTTTTATTTTAAGGATAAATATTTGGATAATAGTTTTTGATACCTTTAGTTACTTGCTGCGGAAATTCTTATATAGTACTATTATTTTTTATTTAAAGATTATTGTCAAATTCAAATGAAATAAGGTGAAATGAAGTTAATCAAATATTTTAGAATACTTGGTGATGTATGTTTTTCTAATAACTTTTATTTTATTGATAAATTGTGGATAATAGTTTTTGATACCCATTCACCTTTACATCAATATAATTATTTTACTAGGGTTTGACCCGTGCCCTGCACGGGGTGATGATTTCTGAATTTGTATTTTTTAATCAGAAATGTATATATAACTATTTTGAAATTTTATACGACATATTTTTCACCTTGGTTAGGTTCTTGTCTTGGTTTATAGTGTGGAAATTAAGCATTTTAAACCATTTTCAAAAAAGTTAAACAAATTAAAATGTTGATCGTAGCCATAAATTAAATATGATAGATTTAAGTGATACATAAAACTCAAATGATTACAATATAATAAAATTGTTCAAAGAACAAAAATGAAAATAAAATACTATTCTTTTTAAAAATTATATATCATGTATTTTATAAGATAAGCAGTTATAGATATATGCACACGGATTATATCTTTTGTAACTATGCAACACGGATTATAACTAACTTTTTTCTCTTTCATTCAAAACTAAAAAATGTTTTATTATAATTTGAAAACAATTCGACCAATAAGAAAACAATCTGCAGTATCCAAATTGTCAAAACAACAAAAATATAATTACTTTTATATTGAAAGTGAAACAGATAGATCAATATTCAAATTTTGATCAAAACAAAATATTTATAAGAAGAATTGTCTTATTTGATTTAATTATACCGTTTAATTAAAAAATCATATTAAATCGAATAAAAAACCAATTTACATTTGGATACCTACTCTCCTATGTCATATGGTTGCACATCATCTATTTTTTTATATAATATATTTTTACACCTTCACACAATAACATATCATATATGGGAATTTTAAGAGTTTTAGTGAATATTTTTTTTTTTAAATTCAAATCATAGTATATACAGAAAAATTAGATTTTCTTTACTAAATTTCTTATATTGTGATTCAAATTATTTTATAAAATAGAGGTAAACAAAGATGAAATGAGATATCTAATGATTTAAAAAAAATTATTATGATAGAATTAAATTGATCATATTTCCTTATTTACTAATTTTCGTAATTGCCAATTAAGGAAAGAGAATGATAATTTTTTTTATTAATAGCTACATATTTAATTTCCTAACCAAAAATATGAATGACAATATTTGTAATTATTAATATCTTGATAATTTTCGTGGCATATTTGTAAATAGTCTAATTAAGAGAGAGTTATTTTTAGAAGATCATGAGAGTGTGGCAAATGCTGACACCTCAGCATGTCTTCTCTTTTAATATATAAGGGATATTTAATTATGGATTATGGAGTTCTCTCTATCTAAAGAGTCCACATCAGCACAAAAACAATAAATTATATTCAAAATATTTATTAAATACTTGTCTTTTAATATTTCTTTATATATATTCCTATTTTAAAAATAAATAAAACTAAGAAAAATACATTAATTAGTTAGAATAAGGTATGTGATAACTTTGTGTTAGAAACATTTGTAATATAAAATGGAGATGAAATAAAGAAATATTCAACATAAAATAGTATTTATCCTATTTAAAAGTTTTATAATGTGTTTACAAGTTCAAAAATATTGAATATATTTTTTTGATTAATATTGTAGAAAGCTAATGAAAAAATTAGAGTTAGAAATTTGTATAGAAGATTTCTCCTATTTTTTGAATGTTATAATGTGTTTACAAGTAAAAGAAAAAATAGAATACAATTTAGTTTATGTAGTAGGAAGCTAATGAGAAATTATATTTAGAGTTCTTTTTAAAAATCCAAATAAAACATGAAAATTTTAAGGATTGTGACATTTTTGTTTCAAAAATACAAAACTAACATTATAGAAATAACCAATGGGTCATTATTCTGATATGTTACCACAACAAAACATATATGTAAAAAATAATACATCGAATGCAAATGTGATTCTACGAAAAACTCGAGATGAATAAAATAACAAAAAATGATCATATGCTTAGTGTGAGTCATGAGTTGACTCAAAAATATAATAAAAAAATAGTGATTAACACAAAAATATTATTATTCAAATCAACAAAGATAAATAAAACCATACAAAAGAATTATTACAAACAACTCCGCGTGCGCGGGGCTTCAATCCCTACTTATTACAATTAAACTCTTACAGCATCATGTCATAATCTACAAAAAAAATCCATTGCCTTAAACCATAATATGGAAACTTAAATTTAACCAGTTAACCTCATAACCATACTGATAAATCCCTTTATTCAATTGTAATGTTTTTAAAGTATTAAATAAAACGTAATTACTATTTTTTTTTGGTTCAATTACTACTCTGTTTTGGTTTCGAAATAATTATGAATGGTTGTTTGATGTTTTTAACAAAACAAAAAAATAATCTAAAACTTATGAGCTTTCAGCCTTTCACGAGCGGATGGTTGAACAATGGTTGAGCTGTCCGGTCGACGTAATGGATCCAATCACCATCGGTTAATACCAAATATTGCCGAAAAAAGAAAAAAAATAACTAAAAGGGGACGAAAATGCTGAAAGTAAAATATAGAAGAACATAGCTAAATCGAAAACGAATATCGCTCGCATGTTCTGGTCCACCATACAAGAAACATGTGTTGTTTGTCTTCTTGACGCTGTAACAACTTGGGTTAGTTGCTGTTACCTGAAGGTCATAGATCGGCTGGAAATTGATGATGTTCGCTGCGACTTCTAGGTTGCACATATAGACGGCCTTCCCAAAAGCGACATCTGGAAAGTATCCAGACTCCATCTGGGTTGTCGTGTGCTGGTTAGAGATGTTTAGGTTTATGGCTTCGCCCCCATGGTTGACTATGTAATTAATTCAAATTTGCTTCTGAGGCTTTGAGCCTATTTACCATTTTCAGTTATGAAATGAGCGGTATTTCTTTCAGATGCATTTCATCAGTAGTATTGAATTATAAATAAGTTCTGGTTAGTTAAATACAGTTTTCAAATTTGGTTTTAGTTCAAAAAGTCAAATTACGTTTCGGTTGTACTCCCTACGTTTCAAATTAGTTATTGTTTTGAGAAGATGTATTTGTAATTATTTGGGTATATCTGGATGTGTTTTGAGTTTAACACATTCAGATAATTGCAGATACATTTTCTCAAAACGACAAGTAATATGAAACGGAGGGAGTAATTCGGATTGATAAATTTCGATTCAATTTTTGTTTGGTTCACAATAGTTAAATATTTTATAAAAAGGAAAACAGAACCAGACACTTACCTCATGTCCACTAAAATATAAGTAAAATATAATTAAAATATAAGTAAAATATAAGCAAAATATAAGTGAAAAATAAGAAAAATATAAGCAAAAAGTAAATAAATCAGCATTTTCATGATTGTTACTAAGATGGTATTTATTATACTTTTCATATATAATAAGATCATAATTGAGTATGATTGTATATATAATAGCATTTACTGCTGGTTGGAAATGTTGATGTTAATGACCTCACCGCCCCAATGATCAGTGAGTCAGGTGAAGATTTATGTGGGCTAATACCCTACTCACTGCCGTTGTTAAACCCAACAGGTAACCACCATAGGTCGAGTTTGGAATCCTACAATTATTATTAAAAATATTAGAAAACAAATATTTATAAATCAATGAAAAATTAAAAGTAAAAAATGTTTAACCATCCAAATATGTATTGTCATCTCGATCTAAGCGCCCCAGTGTGGATGTAGGGGAAATAGACCTCCAATGGTGATGTGGTAACTCGTCTGAATGAATCCCGGACAGTCGAGATTATAGCATTTCCTCTTTTGGTATGCGTCGCTTTGCAAAATTAACAAGTAAGTAATTATAATTTACTAAAAAAATAATATGATTTACTAATAAAATAAATCAAATGGAAAATAAAATAGTAGTGAATTTACCGTCTAGAAAATAAATAGTTCAGGTTGTCGTGATATAAATGGGGATAGACCTGTATAAAGAAAGAGAAAAATAGTCAAAAATAAATATAGTTAGTACTCATTTGTTATATATAAGTTTTTGATTAGAAACAGAACCGGACATATAAGTAAATTTTAAGAAAAATATAAGTAACATATAAGAAAAATATAAGCAAATAGAATAATTTGATGTATATACATATATAGGTAGGTGGAATCTTTGAAGAGAGAGAGACGTGAGGAGGAGTGAACTGATGAATCAACGAAGAATTATCAATCCGAAGAGATTCCGGCGAATCAAGGTCAAAGAAAGAGAAGATCGTGATCGGGAAAGATGAATGAAGATCAGTTAATATCACATTTTCTCTCAGCTTTCGTCTATTCCCGATGACATATGTAGATCGGAGATAGTGTGAGGAAATGAACTCTTATTTTTGGTGACTAATGTTTGAAAATAAATACGGTCTTGCGTTCTTCTGGTTTTGAGAATGAGAAAGTGGTGGTACTGATTGCAGAAAGTGAAAGGATGGATCATATTTTTAAAAATATTCAGAACTTATACTCTGTTTCTTTGTTATATTGTTCCTGAACGATTTGACCTAAACCTTGTAAGGTGACCAAAATAAAAGAAAAAAAAAATCCCAAACAAACATTAAATTAATTTCCATTTGGTTCACATAGTAATATTTTGTAAAAAAAGTAAAAGAAAAATGCTGGTCTATCCTATTTGTTTAACAGTTAGCAAGAAACCACCGACCGTAAGCCACTAGATCTGTTCGTCCCTCTGCCACTGCCTTGTTACCGTTTTCTCTCTTGTAACCTCCGGCCGAGATGAATGTATAGAAGGATCTAGAGGATTATGTTATTATTAGTAAATATATTGTATTAACTGTTTAGATATTTGTATATCTCTTAGTTTAGGAAATCCTTTCACTATATAAATCATTGTATCGTAAAGCTTATGATTATGAGAGTCAATAATACTTCTTCCAATTCTAAACTCTCATCTCTCTAATAGAATGTCCCCTAAAAGGCTTTCCTCAACCGGATAAGCGTGTGAGGAGACTCTGTTATCTCTCCCAATGTTTTCATTCTTGCTTCAACAGCGTGACAGTAGAGGATTCCGTATTTGTTCAGAGATTCCTCCATGTGAACATCTGATACTTGTGGGTTAGTGTCTTCAGATTCCATGTAGTCAGCGAACGGATCTCGTTAGCCACTACTTCGACTATATCAAGAGCGAATTTGCAACCCAATGATCCACCGTATTCTTCTGTTCTATCATTCACCGTGTCTTTCATGAACTAGTCTTTTAGATACCCATGAGCACCATGAATTTTTAGTGTATTGATTAAGATTTCCAGAGTTCGTGAAAAGGTGATATAATGTGACAAAAATTAAGACTTTTTTATATAGAAAACAAATAAATTGAAATGAGCTGGTAATAGGTAGTTGTTTCTTGTGTTTAATTTTTACATTCTTTTCTAATCAATATTTCTGCGGTTAATTACAATAGATACTCTGTAAATTAATAATATCGGGCATAAGATATTTTATTAATTTAACAAAATATTAATTTATCGAAAGATTATTGAATCAAAAACTTAATTTGGGACCATACAATTTTATTGATTTATTGAGTTATTAATTTATGGATTATTAATTTATAGAGTTTCTACTGTAATTTTGTTGCATTTACTCATCCTTTAAAATAGGAAGCACAAGCCATGTGTCATACTATAATTGGTAAATTATGTTTTATTACATATCTTTGTTTTCCATAATTGGGAAATTACGTTTTACTATAAATGGCATAATGGTTTTTTTTTTCTATTTTTTTTCACTTACAACATGTAACCTTTTAATTGGTAAGATGATTTGTGATTGATAATTCTTGTTTTCACATGCCACATGTCACTTGTTAATTGGTAAGGTGACTTGTGATTTTGTATATAACGGAAACTAAAGATTTAAAAGTTAAAACCTTGATATCCTTATACTCGACTCAGTGATAATTACTGTGGTTGCTTAAAACTCGTCTTCCGTCTCTTACATCGTTTTAATCTCAGAAGAAGAGAAACATCTTGTCCTATAACTCACAGCTCCATGGCCCTCAATCTACGCCTTAAACAGCTTGGTAATAGTCTCGACTGATTGTTTTTTCTCTTGATAATAGTTTTGGTACATCTACTAATTTTCCCGTAATCTAAAAACGAATCCTTTTCTCCGATTTTTCAGAATGTGTAATCCGAATGCTGAACCTGAACCAACCTTTGGATCCAAGCGAGGAAGAAGACTTTTTCAAGGTGTTGATCTGCGACGATTTCTGCAACAACATTATCGCTCCCTTAATGCAAGCTAAGGATCTTCTTAGACATGGAGTTACACTTACAATGCCAATCTTTAACCCTAACCCTAAAAACCAGAGAGGGCGTGTTCCTGCTCCAGCTGTCTACTTTGTTCAACCAACTGAAACCAACATCCAGAGAATCATATCAGATGTTTCTACATCTCTCTACGACACCTTTCATCTCAACTTCTCGTCTTCTATCCCTCGTCCTCTCCTCGAAGCCCTTGCTTCAGGGACACTCAACTCCATTGAAAGGGTTGCAAAGGTGTATGATCAGTATCTTGAGTTTGCCACTTTGGAAGATAACTTGTTTTCCTTGGAGCAACACTCTGTCTATGATCAGTTGAATGATCCATCAGCAACGGATAGAGAGATCGAGGAAGTTATCGAAAAGGTCGCTGATGGGCTCTTCTGTGTCTTGGCAACGCTTTGTGTGGTTCCTGTTATACAATGTCCTCGTGGAGGACCAGCAGAGATGGTGGCTTCTTCTTTGGATCATAAACTTAGAGATCATCTTTTGTCCTCCAAGAACAATCTCTTTACACAAGGTGGTGGTGTGAGTTCGTTTCAGCGGCCTTTGTTGTGCATTCTCGATAGGAGCTTTGATCTTTCTGTTGGGATTCAACACGACTTTAGATACAACTCTCTTGTTCACGACGTTCTTGGTCTGAAGCTCAACGGTTTGAAACTTCCAGGTGGAGACAAGAAAACAATTGTAGACATTTCAGACCAGTTTTGGTCGGCCAATGGTTCTTTAGGGTTTCCAGAAGTAGCTGTGGAGATCGCAAATCAGTTGAACAAGTACAAGAAAGAGGTGGAGGAGATTAACATGAGAACAGGAGGTGGTAGGAGGAGCAGCAACAGTGAAGAATTAGATGGGAATGTGAACACTAAGCATCTGATGAATGCTGTGAAGTCACTTCCAGTGTTGCAAGAGAGGAAGAAGGTAATCGACAAGCACACAAACATAGCGACCTTGCTCCTAGGAGAGATCAAGGAGCGGTCTCTTGATGTGTACACGGAGAAAGAGAATGACATGATAAAGATGAGAGGAAGCGTAGACATGAGCGATCTTCTATCTGTTTTGAAAGGGAAAGGTACGAAGATGGACAAGATACGTTTTGCCCTCATGTACTTAATATCGTTGGAAACCATAAACCAGGTTGATGTGGAAGCCGTGGAAGCGGCGTTGCGTGAAGCTGAGGCTGATACAAGCGCGTTCCGGTACGTGAAAAAGATCAAGTCGCTGAATGTTTCTTTGGCAGCCTCCTCAGATAACTCAGCAGCTAGCAGAAGAAACATTGTTGATTGGGCTGAGAAGCTTTATGGTCAGTCTATAAGTGCGGTTACTGCTGGAGTCAAGAATCTCTTAACCGGAGATCAAGAACCGGCCGTGGTCCGGACTGTTGAAGCTTTAATGGAGGGGAAACAGAACGCGGAAACGGATTCGTACCTGGTGATGGATCCGAGAGCTTCAAAATCAGTCTCTAGTGGTAGCCTTGTGAAAGGGCCTTTTAGAGAAGCGATAGTTTTCATGGTCGGAGGTGGTAACTACATTGAGTATAACAGTTTGCAGGAGCTATCGCAGCGTCAGGAGACGGTCAAGAACGTTATATATGGAGCCACGGAGATGCTTACTGGAGCTGAGCTCGTTGAGCAGCTCGCGTTCTTGGGACAGAATATGGGATTGAGATAGACAAAATATAATGGAGAGGAGTCCATGTATGCGTCTGAGAAAGTGGTTGAGAAGCAGTTTCTTTCTCTTCTTGATATCTAAATTTCTCCTTGTGCCATTGGATTTAACATAGGATTGGTTGGTGTGACATTTTTTTGCTTACCTTCTTTTGCTAAAGCTCCCACTAATCAAAGAGTTAAATGAGAGTCCCCTCTGTTTCATTTTCTTTTTTTTGCTTACAGTTCCGAATTCGATCTGCCATTTCTCACCTGATTGTCTTGTCGAACAAGCTACCATAACACTAGTAGATTATATAGGATTAAATGTTGTTCTTTATGAAGCAAAATAGTAAGGAAGAAGACGCATCTGCGGAAGAAACTAAAGCAAGCAAGAAAAGCCAGAGAAAGACATGAGAGAGTAAGAAATATGCTGATGTTGAGTATTGGAAGTTGACCGGATTGATCTTGATTCGTAAAAGATGGCTTTGGTGGACTTAGAATTATGTAGTTTGGTCTTTGGTCAACTAACTAACATTTAGACATGGCAACATCAACTCAACATTCGTGACTTGTTCAACCCCATGAATTTAATTACTAGTGTTACAAAAGATAATCATAAAATTCCCATTAGGTTCTTTGGTCAACTTGGGACACTTTTCAACTAACTTGACTTCTGATCACACAGAGACATGGCAGCATCAACTCAAGTATTCAAGACTTCTTCAACAAATAATTTTAAAAAGAAATATTTTTACTAAAACCTCATCAACATGAGAGCATCAACCTCTTTCAAGATCTTGCTCTTAACTCTTATTCTTTTTGAGCTTTTTAAAAGAGGTTACTAAAACCTCTTTTCAACTAGTTCCAATGGATTACGATCTCGAGAGATTCCCGTTACTCTCTTACGTCCTTCACCAACTTGATTCCGATCACTACGCGCCGCCGTCTATGGCTGTACAACAAACTCTAGCTCCTTCTTTTCCTTTTCTCTCCGATCCTCAAATCATGTCTTCGTTGACTCAGTCAATCCCGACCACCACCATCACGCAGGCGCTTTCCGTCTTGACCTCTCTCGGATCACGACCTGACCCGTCGGCTGTTTCCTCTGCTCGGTCTAAGATCGCTCAGATTCTTGAGAAGGATTCTCTCTCGCCGGAGGAAGCTGCGAAGGAGTCGGAGATGTACGCAGGGGTTGTGCGGTTAGAGGAAGTGCACGATAACTACGAGAAGCCGTTGAAGGATTTGGAGGAGGAGCTCTCAAGGGTTTACGCCATGTCCGTTGAGTCGTTGTTGAGAAGCAGAGAAGAAGTTAACGAGAAGGTTGTTGCGGTGCTCAAGGCGGCGGAATCCGGCGAAGTTCTTGAGAAGATTGATCTCTCCGGCCAAGAACTTAAACTTCTCCCGCAAGATTTTTGGAAAATCGTTGGCTTAGTTTCTTTGAATCTCTCTTGCAACAACTTAACGGTAAATACTAATCTTCCCAAATTTTTGCTCCATCATATTCATATGGATTCAATCTTGATTTATTACTTCGAAGATCTCATCGATTATCTTAAAAAGGCATTGATAGATTTGAGCAAGAATAAGAACAGTTAAGAGCAAGATCTTGTTACAGTAATTTTACTAAAAGGAAAAAAAAAAACTTTGTTACAATATTTCTTGTTTTTTGATTCTTCCTGAAACTCTGTTTTTTTTTTTACATTTTACAGTTTATACCTGATGCAATCTCGAAACTCAAGAAGCTAGAAGAGCTTGATGTATCTTCAAACTCTCTTGAATCTCTTCCTGACTCTATTGGATTGTTGCTTAACCTAAGGATCCTTAATGTGACTGCAAACAATCTAACCACACTCCCTGAAAGCATCGCGCATTGCAGGTTTTGTCTCTTGTCTTTTCTTGTAAGACTCTGCATTGTGTCTTCTTTTGTCCTGAGAGGTTAATTTTTGTGTTTGCTTTCCTTAAATTAGGTTACTGGTTGAGTTAGATGCAAGTTACAACAACTTGACTTCATTACCTGTAAACATCGGATACGGATTACAAAACCTAGAGAGGCTATCGATCCATCTGAACAAGCTCCGTTACTTTCCACCTTCGATAAGCGAAATGCGTTCTCTAAAGTATCTCGACGTACACATGAACGAGATCCACGGGATACCTAATTCCATCGGGAGGTTAACGAAGCTCGAGTTTTTAAACCTAAGCAGCAATTTCAACAACTTGATGAGTGTCCCGGACGCAATCACTGATCTAACCAACTTGAGAGAGCTTGACCTAAGCAACAACCAAATCCAAGCGATACCTGATTCCTTCTACAGGCTGAGGAAGCTTGAGAAGCTGAACTTGGACCAGAACCCGCTCGAGATCCCGTCTCAAGAAGTGGCTAAACAAGGAGCTGAAGCGGTTAGAGAGTTCATGAGGAAGAGATGGGTTGAGATTATGGCAATGGAGGAACAGAGGATGGGTGTTGAGGCTGAGAGGCATGGAGATGGAACCGGGTGGGTCTTGTGGGGAACCTCCATGGTTACTAATCTTGTTTCTGGTGTGACTCAAACCATTGGGTTTGGAGGAGGATCTGGTGGTGATGGTGGAGATAAGAAACCTAAAGAGTCTTATTTTTATCACCAAATCTGACTTTTGCTCTGCTTTTGGGGTGACTTCTTGTGAACACATAAGAATATCTTTCTTTCTTTATAAAATATGTTTACTCAAAATGTAACTTTGCTACAAACAAAATAATCAAAGAGATTATATTATATGCATAAATTTCTTTTATTGTTCGGTTGTACAAAATGTCATGTGACAAATGAATATTTCAGAGCCAAATACAGCTTTACTTGAGCAACAAGAAACCAGTAGAAAAATAAAAAAACTGTACCAACAATTCTTCTTAAATCCGTTGGCTTAAGCTTCTACTGTATGACAATAGCTTACAAAACATCTTCTTGGGTTGTCTAGGTATCGAACAAAGCGCCATAAACCTTGAAGGAGTGCTCTGTAACCATCCGTTTGGTTTGATTTCCACTCTTTCTTCTTCTTGTTGGTCTTCTTCTTCTCTTCTTGTTGTAAAGCTTCTTCTCAAAATCTCTGTTTCGACGATCGTGGTGATATTGTTTGTTGTTGTTGTAGCTTTCGCTACAGCTCGTGCTTGCTCGATGAAGAGGATTTGGACGATCACTCTCAATGGAAGCAGCTGGTTCTGTGCAGCGTTCTTGCTTGCCTCTACTGATAGTTTCTTGCAGTCCAAGATTCTGCATAACCTCTTTCTCTCACACTTTTCAATCTTCTGATGAACCTAAAATACAGAGCAATTGTGAGATACACATTAATAGATATTACTCTCTTGTTTGATTTTATTACCTGGAGATAGATGTCAATGGCTTTGTATAAATCATCATGACTAGTCCTTGAATAATCCGGTACAGATTCAGCCACTTCAACAAACTTCGACACCGTTAGTATCACATCTCTAGCAATCTCTTGAAGATACGAATCAACAAGCTTTGCTACTTTAACCAACAATGGATGAGGAGGAGAAGAAGAAGAAGACAGAGAGCTTCCAATCTCTTGTATCTCTTCAAGATTGATGTTTTCTTCTGAACGAGACCTTCTATGTTGAGTTCTTGTTCTTGTTTGCCTGATGATCTGAGAGACAAACTGCTTCACCATCATCACCACAACATCCACATCGTATAACATACCTGACTCATCAGATAAAGGTATCAAAAGCTCGCTCACGGTTGCTTTATCAAGCTGGTTCGCAGATTTTACCGCGAGCTCCTTTTTCGAAGAAGGCGAAACGTTCGTAACATTCGTCATCTTCAGTAGCTGAAGCAAGAAACTGCAAGAAACAGAGGATTTCTCCACCGGTAAAAGTGAGATAACCGATTCCAAAACCAGATGTGAATCCGGTTCGATGCTCTGTAGCCATTTGGATGCATAGATTCTGAGAGCATTTCCGATCAATCTCGGAGATACATTCCGGTTTGATGATTTTATCTCCACCATTGTTCTCTTGTAAAGATCTAAACCCAAATCAGCTAAATCTTCACCCCACCACCGCACATTCTCTGCCTTGCTTCCCAAGCTTTCGTCTCTTCTTCTCCTTGACCGGTTTCTCAACAAACCGGTCTCCAATTGGGTCGGCAAATCCTCGCCAGGGGAGAGAGATACGCCGTTGGCAATGGCCTCGATGCAACGGTTTGTGATACCAAGATCTTGAGACCATAAAGGTAAAGCCTTTGTGGTGTGAAGAGTAACGAGAGAGTCTCTCCAGCTCTTGAAGACGCAAGAAGTCAAGAAAAGCTCGAGCCTTTGGACAAGATTCTCGGTCTCGACTTCTTCTGTCATCTCGAGATACTCTGCTGCGCACCGTACAGCGACTACGTTGTGAGCGCAGAGAGTGATTGTGATGCCGTAACAGAACTTAGCACAGAGCTCGAATGCTTCTGTTTCGCCGGGGAAATCAACGAGTTGAATCACTTTCTGTTCTTGTGATGTTTCGGTTTCGGTTTCGGTTTCTAAGGATTGTGACGAGACTAAGTTCTTTAAACGCATGCATTTTGATAACATCGGAAACTGTAAATTGCATTTCGCCAAAAGAACAGGAAAAAATCAGAAATGTTATGAGAAAAAAAGAAACAGAAATTTTTGAAAAGATGCTTTTTTTAACCTTGTGAAGAAGGTATTTGGTGGATTTGACTTGGATTATAAGATCATTCAATAAATCAGAAGACACAGACCTGGAATTTTCAAAACAGAACAAAACAGTAAGAGATCAGAGATTTATTGGAAAAATTAAAAATTAACAAAGAATTCGAAAATTTGAGAGAGACGATTGAATTCTTCCTTTACCTTACTGCTTCCACAGTGTGAAATGTGTCAGGTCGAAACCCCAATTCCATGAACTTCATTCCCGGCAGCCGGAGAATTCGGGTCCGGTTCGCCGGAAGAATTAGATTGTGGATGAATTGGTGTTTGTCTGAACAGAATCGGCTCCCGGAGATCGTCAATCTTGGTTTGAAATTCTGGTTAACAGAGGGATTCTTGATGGTCTCCGGCGGAATTACAGCCGGAGAATGGTACAGATCGCCGGGAAATATTCAGGAGAGACCGGTGAAATAACAAGTTTTTCTGTTTCTGTTATCGGAAATCGACTGTGTACGAACAAGAATCTGTTATAGACGAATATATAAATGAGTGGTGTGTTTCTGTTTGTAATAAAATATTTTATTTCTTTTGTCAGATGTAATTTTTTTAAGGTTAGCTTATTAGCTTGAGAAGTCATTAGCTTTTTTGTCACACCACCTGAGAACTTTCGTATAATCAATTTTAGCAGAAAGCACAAAAGTATGGTTCACCAGATAATAGTATTATTTATTTATTGAAAAATTTACAGCACAAAGAAAAAGCTACAATAATACTGTAGTTGATGATAACCTTTTCTCAGAAATAAAAGTAATTAAGAGTTGATGATGAGATAATAATGTTTTTTGCCTAATACTTTTTTTTTCTAAGTTGCATGATTTGTATTTTGTAATAGCGACTGGCTAAAACTGGCTACCATAAAAAAATTCAAATTCTGTAAATATTACAAACTTTGATATACGAAAATTTCTTTCTGAAAGTTTACAAAACATTAAAATATATTAAAACGAACTATTCATAAATCATAACCCAAATTTTATATAATTATGGTGTTTTTAGAAGAAGAAAAAAGTGACAACTTCTTTCATTATCTCATCATTTTACTATCTATTCTTTTTGCCAACCACTCCTTTATTGTCTAAAACTCAGCATTTAGCATGATTGCCTTTAACCTTTTCCTTTCGATATCATGACATATTTTCGACTAATATCTAGGATCTAGTAGGTTTTGTATTTCTTCTTTAACGATGGTACGATCTAATTAATGAGTTTTGTATGAGACCCTGGCCATTAATAAAACCATACATATTTCTTTTCTTTTTAATATTACTCTCTTTTTCGCACTCATAGGCATTTATTCGTACGAACTCGGAGTATTAATAATTCTAAAGATGATGATTGTTCTTCATATGATGAAAACATTGAAAAGTATCTATGATATGTTATTTAATCGAAATAAAAAGCGTTTTATCCTTTGCGTTGGATATGTCAATGCATGACATGTGGTGTGTTAGATAATTTTTAGATATTCATGGAACAACTTCCCTTTTGTAACAAAAAAAATAAAAATCTAAACTGTAAATTATTTTCACTGATATTTTACCGTATGATTATTCTAAATTTCTAATTGATGATGCTAGAAACAAAATTATGGTGCAAGTTGAAAAGAAATAATAAGACAATCAAACTTAAGTGCGTTTGTTTCAACGAACTAGACAGGATGTTGGGTTATCAAGAACAAATTTTGGAGTATTTGAAAAACTCGATCTATATCTGTGTGTCAAATACTATCGGAAAACAGTGCGCCAAGCCGCCAATAATAATAATTGAAGGAATAATCTCAATAGATTGTATTTTCGTGACTCCGGAAGGATTAACACCATGTGATTTTACACCGTATTCTGATCATTGCAAATTCGACGCCGCTTGTTTTAATTCATTTCTTACTTTATCTTATTTTCTTACTAAAAAAAGATTCAAACACTTTTTCAAGTATTTTTGTACTTCACTAATCATTACTGTGTCAAGTATAAGACTGGAATGATAAATATCATATACAAAAGTGGTATGAGCGGAAAATGGTATACACACACATAACTACATAAGTGTACTGTATAAAGATTAAAAACGCTCTAAATGTTACGTTGGCGGGTATTTGGTTTGAAATGTAGAAAATATGATTCTTCTAATTAATATTTTATAACTAAATAAATGGAAACATAAATTTTAAACATGTATGTCAGGTAATTAAATAGTTCAACCATGACTCGAAGTCGGTTTGATTATTATTATTATTTTTTTTTTTGAAAACGAGCTATTTAATTGGTTTCCCTTTCATGCTCCCCACAAGCGTAATCGCCTTAAGATTTTATTTTTGTCATTTCGTTCAAATTTATTGTCTTATTTTGGAGTGCCAATTAGGCTATAGTGGTAACCCATTTATCCAAGAGTTTTGCAACATAGCATGTTGGTCAAGAAATCGTGTAGTTTAATCATATACTAGATTTTGACCCGTGCTCCGGGATTTTTCGATTTTTATAAAATGTTTTTAACTATTGATATACAGTAATTATGTAAATAATAGTATATATATATTTGTGATATATGATGATGAATTAATGTTATTTTGATTATATAAGTATGAGACGAAATAAATATATATACAAATTGTTATAATTTCATGCTAGATACTGACCTTGAACAAATATAATCAAACCGACTTCAATGTGTTGACAGTATAACATACATATGTGTCGTTTTACGGGGTTTGATCGGTTTCATTTGGTGAGTTATATTTTGATTATATAAGTATGAGATTAAATAAATATGTATAAAAATTGTTTTAATTTCATGTTAGATCCTAACCCGAGCACAGATAATCAAACCGGCTACAATGTCTAAACAGTATAACATAAATATGCGTCGTCTTACGGGTTTGCTCGGTTTCGTTTGGTGAGTTATAATTTTGTATAATATTTCACATTTGACATTCCGTTTAAAGTTATTTCCATTTCTTTGAAAAGTAATTTTACATTGATTTGGGTAAATGTACATATCATAGTTAATATTTTCTTATTGCAATCAGGTTGATATATAGTTTTATAAGCTTGCCTTGATAAAAGTTGAGTTTCGCAAATCTGATCAAACAAATTAATGTTTTCCCATTAGCTTTACTGCATGCCTCGTACAGTTGGTCAGCGTATCCGCCCAAAGACAGCAGTTGATTCTCTGATCACTGCAAAATTTATTAGGAAAATACTTAGATATGGGAATAAACCATAGTTGAACTGATGATAAGTGTAATATACTTACTTAATGTCCCTAAGCACGCACTCTAGCTTCCGCTTTTCTTCCCAAGTACAGGACAGTTTTGATCTCACTCACATCAAGAACCTGTCCAATGACATCTGGAAAACATGTACACAAGTTTCCAATAATATGTAAGTTCTCATTTCATCAGCAATAGTATACATCAGATGTAGATTGTAAGCACTCATAGATTACTTACCAATCAAGAAATTGTGATTCAAATCACCATCTAGGATCGTCTGGATAGGTACCAACGAAAGGAACATGTCTTCCACTTTGATGTGCATTGGTAACGATTGTGTTCATGGACAACCCAATCTTCCAGTTGCTTGGAGTTGGTCGAAATAGCCCGGTTGCAGGAGATACCTGAAAGTTCTCCAACACTTTCCATTCACCAACGACCAGAAGCTTTGATAAGCGGCCTATATCCTTCTTCTTGATTCCAGCATGCATTTTAGTACCCTGGAAATATAAGTATAGATGCTTATCATTATAACGCAAACTGAAACATACGATTAGGATTGGAAAACATATAGGTTTTAAACTTACATGTTCATCCGCGAGAACCAGATCCATTGTTTCACCGGACATGCCGCTATACTGCCTCCAGGAGTGAATCACCTTAACGCGGACCTTCCAAGTTGTCTTGAAAGGTCTCACATCAGAAAGCTTGGCGAAGGCGGAACCAATAGTCATTTTGCGAGGAGGAGGTAAAATAGATGTGTTTGATGTTTGATGACTTTTAATGTGACAAAGGCTACCTATTTATAATGTTTGGAGTTGTATCTTATGCCTAGGGCTTCGGAGTTTCAGAATTGCTCCCACGGCATATTCTCTTGGATTACAAATCTGTTGAGGTTGGAAAGATTCCCTAATCTATTGTTTAGAAATGTAATAATATCTGCAGTAATATCTCGTTTTAATTTCGTATAGATTTTATTAACCGCAGGAGCTGGATATGGGATCTCTCTTTGATATGTCCCGAGGATCAATGCTTCGATAGTTATTAGCAGCCTGTTCTTAGGAATGTTTTCCTTCAATGTGAGATTAAGGACTTTGGTTGTGTCAAAAATCAAAATCGTTGAGTTCCGGTTAATGAAAATCTGGATCCGGTCTGATTTTAGTTTCGAAGATCCGCGTGTTTTTAAAACGGGTCTCGGGTCGGGTCAATCACAAAACCTGTATCCAAATAGCGAAAATCCGAAATATGTCCTGGACAAAAATGACCACTCTCAATAAAAAAATTCTTTAGTATGCGTCGGAGTAAATGGTCTTTTTGCAGGATCCGGCCTAGTTTTCTTCCGGGTTATTTTAAAAAATTCGGATATTTTCATGTTTGGTTACAAGGATAACTGTATAAATTTTTAGAAAAAGAGATAATTTTCTGTTTGACATTCTGGATTGCTTCCACTTTAATTATATAGATTAATATAGTAACGAAAAGTAATTTGGTTGGATTCTATGTCAACAAATGTGAGGGGGGGTTTTAACGGAATCAAATAGTTTTAACAAATCATATATCTTTGAATACAAAGATGATGTACGCATGCAACTGAATACAACGTATCTTTGAAAAATGGAGTTTATTGTCTCCAAAATTAGGGTTTTGATTACACTTAGGCATTAGGTAAACCCATGAAAAGAAAATGTGGGACAAGGAAAAAAACAAGATTCGTATAATTGATCATTGAAGAAAAGTTTACCATATGGATTTTGTCTAAGGTTTGTCTACAAGAGAGGAATCATCATCCCAATGGGACCGGCCCTATCATCACAACCACAAAACACACTTTGTCTTTGCTTCAATTAATTTTGGACCCAATTTTCTCTAATGTTTACATATTCTCTCATCTCAATTTCCATCATTTGATTTTCTAGTCATTTTGATATATATATATATATATTTCTTTTATAGATTGAAATTTTTCTGTTTGATAAAATTAAGGAGATAAGAGCCTCTTTTCAAATCAATATAAGGTGATTTAAAAAAAATATATTTTAAGTTGAAATCCGGTAAAACCTTTTCTATAACTAAAACTTGGCCCGTAAATCTTAACATAAATAATCGATAATAAATAGTTGACAAAATCTGTGATTATAAGAAGAAGAAAAAATTAAAACAACAAAATGGATGAGTTGTTTAGGGAACACTGAAAGCAACAATTCATATTTATAAAATCTGATTGTTATTTTTCCACATTCTAATTCATTTAACGTACTATTGCGAAACCAAAGTCCCACTTTGTCTCCCAGTTTTATTATTGCTTATGATGGTTGTATACATACATAATGAGCGAACAATTAAATAGTACATTTATTTTATTTTCTTTTGAGCCATATGGCATGCTTATTACCCTTCAAACATTTTGTTTGAAGTTTTTTAGTTGAGTTATTATTTTTCGATACATATCCTGCAAAAACGGGCATTTATATGCAAATTTTAGAAAAAGACTAAAATATATTGCAAATTTTATGCAAGCATTGGGAAAATATGCAAATTTCATTCCTCAACAACGGTGCTGACTACCGACAATGCATTACCTTAAACTATTTATACATGAAGAGTAATATAAAAAATTTGCTTTACAAAAATAAATATAATATAAGCAAATTATAAGCAAATTTTGTGCGAATTATAAACAAAAACATAGTAAATAGCTACCGGTATTCATGACAGTAAGCTTACAATAAATTGTAAAATAGATTTCGTGGTAAATTTCTATAACTGAAATCTAAGATAGATTTAGCACCATTGTTAGAACAAAAGCCCCACAAAAGAATCAAGAAAATAAATAAAGAAAAAATGTTGAGCCAACAAATGTACGAAACCTACTCATCAAATTCTATCTTAGATTTCAGTTGGCTCAATATATAATGGTTAAACTTAAATGTTGCAGAGGATATTGTTTATGAGACATCAAAATCTTGCATGTTACTGGTTGGTTTAGCAAAATTAATCTTGAATGCTACGAGTGTATATATGTTGATCATTAATTAATCATTGAACAAGAAAAAAAGAGCAAAACCATGAAACAGATACGATCGATAATCATAGTCAGATGGATATGATAATAAAAAAAAAATACGACAACATAAACAATCTTGTAGGATATCATCATTACACATAAATAAGAATGGGAGTTTTAAAATTAAGCAACAGTAACTTCACACATCTGCGGTAACTTCCTCAAGACAATCTAAGAAATGAGTGTCATTGAAGTCAAGTGTAGGATCCAAAGAACAGGCAGCCTTCATCTTCGATAGAGCTTTCTCTAGCACACGAAGACAGTTCTGTTGACTCAACGGAGCGTCCATGTTTTTTGTTTTTGGTTGTGATGTTGCAGAGAGAAAAAGGAGAGATAATATAGTGTGATCGAGAAATAAGAGATGGAACAGGTCCCTATTAATAAAGAGAGCGTTTTGTTGGCTCAATATTTAATGCAAATTTGAAATTTAGAAAAAAACTAAAATATATTGCAAATTTTATGCAAGCATTCGGTAAATATGCAATACGCAAATTTATATTTTATTTAAGATATTGTCTATATCATTCCTCAACAATACTACCCATAAATGCACCACCTTAAACTATTTATAGATAAAAAGAAGAGATATATCAAAACTTTGTTACACAAAAAATAAATATAAGATAAGCAAATTTTAAGCAAATTAAGTGCAAATCATGCATATATTTTAAGCTTTTTCTACCCAATGAATGATTTGTTATATACCCAAAATCAATCGAGTACAACGTATTTTGGGCCGTATAGTTTGGGTTTTCGGATATATGTTAAAAGTCACATGCATATGATTTTTTACTTTTACTTTTATGGGTTAGTTTAATTTTTTATAAATTGTAGTCATTAAAATGTTTTGTATAGTTCCACAGGACCTAATATTCCCAAAAGTAAACGAGCAAACCCATGAAACAAATACGATAATAGTAGTCAGATGGATTGTAATAAAAAACAAACACGACAACATAAACAATCTTGTCGGATATCATCGTCACTACACATTAATAAGTATGGGAGTTTTAAAATTAAGCAACAGTAACTTCACACATATGCGGTAACTTCCTCAAGACAATCTAAGAAATGAGTGATGTTGAGCTTCTCCGTCACCGAGTCTTTAAACCTGCCACCTCTTTCTGCTGCCATCCCGATAACAGTGTATAGCTGCTTGATTGGAATCTGGAGAAAAGAAATGCAACCATGAGCTTTTTGTTTACCAGTTCATAGTTCTAATTAAGGTTAACAATCAAAAGATGGATCGAGAGCACTTACATCATTAAGGGCTTGGGCAGCTTCATCAATATCATCGTCTGAGAACACGCTTAGTTGCTCCAGCACCTGAATCATGATGGTTCATGTTAGAAACTACATAGCTTTTGTCAACGGATAAACAATAAATGAGTTGCAAATTACCTTCTTCGCATCCTCTGTCCTCAGCAATGGAACAGAGTATGCAACAGAGAACGCCTTGCGCAAACCAACAGATTTTAGGAATGTTAACTCACTTGTTGTACCAAGTACAAGAAGTTTGCTTCTCTGTCAAGGAAAGAAAAAAAAAACACAAAATCTTAGATGTTTAATTACACTTCATTTTTGCAACCACGCGAAAAAAATGCACACCTCCGGAGGAGTCTTTCCGAGAAATTTCAGCAACGTATGAGTAGTTTCATTTGAAAACCGCGGTCCAATTTCCGTGTAGTGCAACAGCCTACATTGACATTATAGATATTCAACCGAACTCTCAAAAACAAATAAAATTTGTCACAAAAAAAAAATAAAAACTTTGAAACCAATTTAGTCGGAAACAAATAGTATGATTGACCTTTCAATGTTGTCAAGGATAACTATGCTAAGTGGTGATTTGTATGCATCCTCAAAGACCTGTTCTCATTTCACACACACAAGAGTGTTATAAGAGCACAAAACTAAAGAAATCAGAAAGCTTTTGAAAAGCTAGGGACCTTGGTAATGTGTGCGCATCTTTGGCTCTCGTGAGGACCATTCAAAGTCTCTGCAGAGACCTTTACCAAAGTAGTGGAACAAGTTAGTATCAGACAAGTTCAAAAGAGGAGGATTGAGTTAAGGTTCCAAAGTTACTAACTTGACACTTACTATTTTGACATATGGAAACTCACTGTCGATGCCAATAGTCGCAGCTAATGCAGTTTTCCCACTGCATATATATGAAGCTTAAAAGAATCAGAAAACGCCGGAAAACAAAACGCAAAAGCTTTGGATTCTCAGCTGTTTCTTTGCAAAACGTCAAACGCATTCAAAAATCCGTTTTCTTCACATATAACCATAATGGCCTTTGAATTAAACAATGAAATATGAAAATATACCTTCCACTAGGTCCATGAAGAAGACAAGTGACTGGAGGACCTCCTCTTCCCTTGGCTTTAACTCGCTCAACAAGAAACATGACACTTTCGTATATGAGCCTTTGCCTATCACCACAGTCCACAAATCCGTTAGGTCTATACAAATGTTGTAAATATAAGACATAATCAGAATTATAAGGAGATCAAAATCCAGAGATAATGCAGATTTAAGATTACTAGAGGCACTTAAATTCAAAACAAATTTACCTGGACACTTCAAGGTCTTTTGTAGAGGCTCCAAATGCAGTTTTAACTTCACTCAATGCATGAAGAAAATCCTCCATTGTAACTTTGATATTCTCTTCATCCACTGGCTTCGAAAGATCTTCCCTGTTCAGATTTCTGTTCAAAGCATATGACATTGCACTTTTCACTACACCTTCAAGCTCAGCACCACTGTAGTTCTTCGTCCGAGCAGCTTTGAACAAATCAATACCAAGAGTCAGATTGCATGAACCACCAATGATTTGAAAACAGGTATAATCTATCAAGGCATATACCAAGCTCTTGGCGATTGACGTCAGGAGCAAGGAAAGAATTTTCCTTCATCATTTTCGTATGAATCTGAAGAATCTCTAAACGTCCTGCTTCATCCGGGAGGCCAATCTCAATATGAACCTCTAACCTTCCAGGCCTGTAGGCACAAGTACTCAAAAAACATTATTATCTGCTAAAATCAACGCCAAACTTCATACATAACACGTAAGCTTTGAAGAGACCTTAGAAGAGCTTCATCAAGCATATCCATGCGATTTGTCATTCCAATGAGTAAAATATTGTCCAAGGCCTCCACACCATCAATCTGGATGATATAAAAAAAATGCTTATCAGCCATATCAGAGGAAGAAAGAAAAGAAGCAAAAAACATTTTGGCAAATAGCTTGATCGTTGGGCTAACTAACCTTTGTGAGGAGCTGGTTAACAATACTGTCATGGACACCTGTGCCATCTCTGCTTGATCCTCTTGCCTTGCAAATAGCATCGATCTCATCAAAAATAATGACATGCAGGTCACTAGCCTCACCTAGCAACAAGAATGCAAGAAAATTAGCACACTCCCAAGAAAATGAAGATAAGCACACAAGTCTTGCTTACCAAGGCTTCTCTGGTCATTCTCAGCATCAGCAAACAGGTCTCTCACATTCTTCTCTGTCTCACCAACAAACTTGCTTAGCACCTCAGGACCATTCACGATCTTTGGCTCCTTTCGATTGAGCATTTTGCCAATTTGGCGAGCAAGCAAGGTCTTGCCAGTACCAGGAGGTCCATAGAGAAGCACCCCTTTAACGTGCTTACCTCCAAGTCTGTTTGATCAAAAGAAGAAAAGTTGAGGGAATATACGCAGCAATAACTGTGATCTCAGCATCTGCTTGAAGAATGATTTTTCACAAGAACCTGTTCCAGGTATGAGGAGGGAATACACGAGAAGCAAAAGCTCTTCGGAATATATTAACAAACTCTTGTTTTAAGCCACCAATACCCAATGACTCAAGATTGAACTCTTTTTCTTTAAATATTTTGCTTGTTGCAGCGTCTCTTTGGTTCATAATCTGTAACACGGAGAAAGAAAATACAGGATGAGCAAGCAACACGAGTTGCCTTGAAAAAATCAAACATACTGTTGTCAAAGAAAAATGTCAGATTTAAACAACACAGTGGTAGGATTAGCAAGAGAGTTTTGATAAGACCTTAATGCCAGTTGCATTTGATGCTTCAAACACAATATATGTATCTTCACAGATCATCCCTCTTTCGATACCATTAGACAGGTTATCAGCCTCCGTAACCGCTCGACTGACCGTGAAAACGTAATTAGTTCCATGATACTCAAATGTAGCTCTCTGTCCTACCGTCAAGACCTGCATGTATAAGTATGCATAGTAGCCACCAATAACATTAGTGAAAATGTTTTTATTGAAAATGGCATGACCTCAAGTATACAAATCTTCTACAAAGAGCCAAAAGCAAGCACAGCATAATCACCAAAAAACCGTACCTGAGCAATAAATTTTCTCTTAAGTTGGGTTGAAAGTTGAACAGCATCAACCTGAAAAGCAATACTTTTTTTCATACAGATGTAGATGTTCACAGATAACAAGGAAACACACCAAAACATATTCATACCTCTTCGTTTTTAGTTTTAGTACCCTTCTTGACAAATTCCAACTCAAGTGACAACAAAGTTAGGTCAAAATTCTCAGGAGGAACGAATCTGCAAGAACAAGGCAAGTCTTTAGGGTTTAGAGGCACACACAAGATTACTTTAACGGACCACCCTGTGAGAAATGAGAATTACCTGGTGACGGTAACAGTGTCATCAGTAGAAACCCTAGCATGCCTTCGTTGAACAGCATTGAGTGCAATGGTTCCATCTTGGATCCTCTCGTGCTCAGTATGTAGCAGTTAAGTTAACCAACCGGAAAAAAATGAACAATCAACAAGACCAGATTCTAATTCTACTCCATAACAAATTAAAATGCCCTCATTGGTGTAATTAAGAAAAGGATATGAGAGCGAGAGAATGAAGACGTCGGCGACGTTGGCGAGGAAGAGGTCGGCAGTGCCGGGAACAGCGAACTGACGGAGATTAGCGGAGGAGCAATAAGCGAAGTTGGTGAAAGCTAGGTGTGTTTCCGGCGTGGAAGTCACCGTCATAGTTCTGACTGTGGTCGATTCCATGACTGAGGAGAAATGATTTTTCCTTAGCTGAGAAGAGTCTCTATATAGTCTTTAATTCCATTACACAAATTAAAGTAACTCGACCAATGAGTAAGTGACATGTGTTATGTCTAAAAACATTAATCTTTAATTCCATTACACAAAGTCACTCGACCAATGATTAAGTGACATGTGTTATGTCAAAACATTAATCTTTAATTCTTCTTCTAATATTTCCATGTCACATTTGTTAAGCTTAAAAAGACAAATCCCCAAATCAAAATTAGCCATCTAGTTTTGTTGGAGAATACTTTTGACCGATTGCTTATGAGAATTGTAAAATCACGTAAAATTCTTTTTAAGAAAATCTTGGATAATCAAACTTTAGTTTCAGGAATTTCGACTCAGTTTCTAACCGTAATCAACAGAGTTATTGATGTATTTTTTACTTTGACTGAAAACCGAGTTATTATATTGGGTTTGACTAATAAAAGAAAAATGTGGGATTGAAGTAATAAACATTTTCTTCTTATTAAATTTAAAAATCACAGAATCCCTCGTATACACCATCAAAGTTCAAAGACATAACTCTTCCACATGTGAAATAGATATAAAAATCCCGAGTCTCCATAATCTTAGCATGTCACCTTGGAATTATTTAATAGAATAAGGTTAATGTGATTATGTGATCGGTATTATATACTTGAGATCTACAATATCTCACGTTCCTATATTAATGGACATAAGAAGTCCTCTGTCTCATCACATCACTCTCTTGCTGGCTTTTGAGCAACAACTATAGCAGAAATGGCCAACGTTGAGTATCAAAATAGCTTCATCTTGATCCTCATATGCCTCTTCTCAACCTTCTATTTTTTCTTTGTCTACTTCTTCAAGAAACCAAAGAATGTCTTTGATCTACCTCCGAGCCCTCCTTCTCTTCCCATCATCGGCCACCTTCACCTTTTCTTCTCTACTTCAATCCACAAGTCTTTTCAAAAAATCTCATCCAAGTACGGATCTTTCCTCCATCTCCGTATCTTCAGTCTCCCCTTCGTTCTCGTCTCCTCTCCCTCGGTGGTCTACGAGATCTTCAAGGACCACGACAAGAACGTCAGCTCTCGTGGTGCTGTTGGTTTCGATGAGTGCATCGTGTTTGGATCTTCTGGCTTCACTATTTCTCCCTATGGAGATTACTGGAAGTACATCAAGAAGCTCATCTTCACTACTACGCTCGGACCTCAAGCGCTGGAGCGGTCGCGAGGCGTTCGTGGTGTGGAGGCAGAGCGGTTTTACAGAAACCTTGTTGATAAGGCGATGAAGAAAGAGAGTGTCGAGATGGGTGAGGAAGCGCTGAGATTCGTTAACAATAGCCTCGGGGGGATGAGCATGGGAAGGTGTTTTACGGAGGAGAACAATGAGTCAAAACTCTCCAAATTTACAGTCGAGTTCGCTTCCTTGATACTGAAGATTTTCTTGGCACAAATGTTGCGATCGCCGCTTGAGAAGATCGGGATCTCACCATTCAAGAAGGAGGTAATGGATGCTTCAAACAGATTTGAGGAGCTCTTGGAAGGTATTATTGTGAAATACGAAGAGAAGGTGGACGAGCATGAAGGTGCTGAAATTATGGACAAACTCTTGGCAGCTTCTCGAGGCGAAAATGCGGAGTACAAGATTACGAGGAAAAATGTCAAGGCCATATTTGCGGTAATAGTATTAAATGTCTATCATCTTCTCTTCTTATGATGTAATAATGTTTGAGTAATTTAATATGGAGATATTTATATTGTTCGAGTTAAGTATATAAATTCGGTGTGCGTCTGTATAATAATGATTTGGCTATGCTTGCAACTGTAGGAGCTTTTCTTTGGAGCCGGTGACACTTCTTCAACAACAACGCAGTGGGCAATGGCGGAGCTCATCAACAACCCTAAGATCTTTGAGAGACTGAGAGAAGAAATTGATTCCGTGGTGGGGAAGAAAAGGTTGATCCAAGAAACTGATCTACCAAAACTCCCTTACTTGCGAGCGGTCATCAAAGAATCTCTGAGATTGCACCCGCCAGGGGTTCTCTTGCCAAGGCAATTTGAACAAGGGTGTAAGGTGGGAGGGTTCTACATACGTAAAGGCACAACACTTATTATTAATGCTTATGCTATGATGAGAGATCCTGCTTATTGGAGAGATCCTGATGAGTTTAAGCCAGAGAGGTTTCTAGGCCAAGAGGAAGAGAAAAGAGAGAATATACTCAAGTTCCTCCCTTTTGGCGTCGGGAGGAGAGCCTGTCCTGGATCAAATCTTGCTAATATCTTAATAGGAACCGCAGTTGGAGTGATGGTGCAGTTCTTTGACTAGGAAATCGAAGGAGAAAAGGTCAACATGGAAGACGCTTATGGAAGAGCTTTATTGGCTATGGCACATCCTCTTAATTGCACTCCTCTTCCTCGTATCCCAAATCCTTTACCCACTTTGTAATTTGCAGATTCCCTGTTTATGAATTTGTGTTTTCACCATATTTCTAGATTGTTAACTTGTGATATTTTTATTTCTCAACAACATGCATTTTGCGAGTTTGAACATGAATGGTGGTGGGTGATACATCAACGGTGTTAACACAAACCAGTATTCTGATTTGCATATGTTACTTATATGCCCTAATGTTTGCATTCTTTCATGTTACCAAATATTATAATCAAACAGTACAATATATTATCGAATTCTTAAAATTATGTTGTGAAAGCTAAAAATGAAAAGTTAGTAAAGAGCTCCATTTCACTGTTTTATTACTACAATTGTTTCAAGAACAACAAAGCTGTATAGTTCTTTTCAATGAATGTGTATTGTGTGTGTGTGTGTATATTTGGATATGTGCTCATTATATATTAACATTCTATTTTTATTTTTATCCTGGAAATGCTAATTATGAACAGTAAATTTGTACTCAGTTCCTCCTCTGTTTTTTGGTTCAAGTAGAGTTTGAAGACGCAGATGCAATTTCTTTCAGATACTTCTGCTCTGATCGACTCATTCTTTTCTGAAACATTGTCCATTCCAGTTTACATCTCTCCCTTACCTGACCATAACACATATATAATTTTATATCAGTAATTAACAACAAAACCCGGTTTAAAACCCGAAAAATCAAGAACCTTTTAAAGTATATAACGCAAGAAAATAGTCGAGAGATAGTGTCAGTTATTACCCCTTGGAACGCGGATTTCCCCGCTTGAACGGTTCCCTGATCAATGCATTAAGAGTTCATCTCATGGTTAAAACTATGAACACAAAGAAGCTAGTAGTTAATGTAGTTATTTTACCTGGTCTGTTAAAGAAGGAATCTTTTGATGAATGATCCATTGAGAATCCACAACACCAATCTTCTCATATGCTGGCTGTTTTATTGTATCATCAAAATGCTTTCTTAGTTTCCAAATTGTTTTGTGAAAATATGTATATATATATGCGCGTTTGTGAAAATGTTACCTCAACACATTTCCTTAGAGCGAAGTCAAGACCCCAACCATGAACCAAGTCGTTCTGAAGCATATGCCACACGCAACGCCACGAGTCTCTTGAGAAAACTGGAGCCATAATCTCTATAAACCTATGCATAAGAAACCATATAAAGTTCAAATATTTTTATGTATGAATTGTTAGGTTTGTTGACAAATTTGAGATCCATACCCTGCACAAGGAGGCTTGTGAGGATCATTGCATCGGCCTGGTTTCTCTTCAACTTCTCTGGTGAAATAATGTTGGCAAGAAACACAACTTTCGTTTTAGTTACTCTGTTTACTTTAAACAATTCTTACTTAAAGAGTTGATTTGTTTTACTTGTGAACTTCGATTCCGGGTATTCTTTTTGTTATCTTCCATGTGATGGATTTTCTTGATTCCACAGCGGGTTGTGATATTTCTAGACCATGCTTCTTTACAAGCTTGATGTACCTTCAATGATGAGAAAAATTTCTTAAAAAATTTATTGGAGATTAGTAAATCAAAAGAAACAGAAAGAGACTCACTCTTCTGCATCGAAGTTTTCAACGCCAAGATCTTCATCCCAAATGAATATATACTCATAAGGTGCTATAATATCAGGATGCAGGAACCTTTTAGCATACCACCTTTAATGTAAACCATGAGCCAGAGAGATTTTTTTTTCACAAAAATGTTTTGAGGATTGGGATCGAAGAAAAATGTAAGAGGAAATGTATGTTACCACTTAGTTTGTTTAGGTACACTCACGTGTATCGCACGTTTCGACCATTCAAATTCATCATATTCCGAGGTTCTTCCATCGTAATGAAACAGAACAATAGTGAAGTTATCTGAGAACTATTGAGAGTGTAAAAGATCTCAGCTTCTTGTTTTTGTTTTGTTGCTGAAAGAATTAGAAGAAAAATGGAAAAAAGAGAAACATACTTTCTTGATGCAAGCATCGATGTTTTTCCTCTGTCCATAAGCAACGGTAAAGGCAACAAGATACTTAGGCTTCACCGCCGGCAAATCCTAAAGGAACCAAAAACCATGATTCAGAAAAACCAAACTTTTGAGCACATCATTGTAAACCATAATGTGTAATACAATGTATACATCTTTAGGCAATCCCCACAGTCTTCGTAAGTAGAAATCTGATTCAGCTGCAACAATCCTTGGAGGCAACATCTCTGCTCCTCGAGGATTCGATGGAACCCAAATCTGCAGATTCCAACAGATCTTGTAACTATTAAAGAAAGCACTAGTTAAGATTGATCTTTCAGGTTCAAGGAAGTAACAAAACATGCCTTATGAAATGCTGCACCACTTGAATTATTAAGCTCTTGAGGTGGAAGAACTTTCTTTGATGATCTCTCTGGTTTCTCTTCTTCTATATAAACAGTATTAACAGAAGGAACTATGCTTGATGGAAAATTCATCTGAAAACAAAAAATAAATAACATATTTGCAAATCATAACAAAACATTTAACTTACTGAAAGAAAGTAAAATTAAAAAAAGCTTACTTTAGTTAGTGACAAAGTAGGGAAAGATACTCCTAATAAAAATCCGATAGCTATTCCTGTGAAAGTCGCTAGTATAAGCATCAAGCCGTCATTAGGTTTTTTACTAGTCGAACTGCAAGGAAAAATAAGAAGACAATATGAATTATCAACCATCAAGCATCATTCAAAGATTCAACTAGGTTAAAGTTACAAACCAGCGTGTTGAGTTGTCTGTTCGGTTTGCCATGTTCTGAAATTGGTTAAGTTGATGAGAAAAAAGTTCATTCAACCGAGGCTTCAGTCTTCGGGACTTTACTATCTGCAATGTATAATGTCAAAATATGAGATTCAAGTAAAAACAAAAAGTAAATAAAATGAAGCTTAATTTTAGTAAATTCTCGTATGATTTAAAGTTCATGAGTAAAACAATTTGAAAATTGAGAGAAAAAAAACTACTGACTTTTGCAAAAACAGAATCACCAGGAACCATGATAATTTTGGACATATAGCAAGAACGGAAATCAAGAAAAACTTAAAAGACTCAAAACTGAATTATGATGAAGAACGATTAACTCAAAAGATGAATTATATCATAGAAATAATAAATCTGTAACAAATTACGTACCCGTAATCAACAATTTAAGACAAGGATATTTTTTGATAAAGACAAGGATATGAAACTTAGAACTTGGAAGAAACACTAATTTCTATATTCAGACAATAAGAAAGAGATTTTAACAAGACAAAACAGAAAGACACGTTACTCTTTGAAACGAAACTAAATTTTGATCAACAAGTAAATAAGACATGTTTTATTTTAGTTGGATCATCTTTCCAAATTCCAAGCAACAGAGAAAAAGATCGACGAGGAAAATAAACATTTATCATACTTAAGCAATAAATTTACCAGGAATTAATTCTTAAAGAAAAATCTTCTAATAAGTCTTCGTCTTCTTCGAAAAAAATATGATGAACTTGTCTGAGCTATTTATGTTAGTTCTTCGCGGGTTACGATAGTAATAAAATGGCAAATGGAAACATAGTTTTTGTGCACAGAGAAGATGTAATCAGGTGAGACGCGATGCACGGGATTATTGTGAGTTGACTTTTAAGTGGCTCGGAGGGTGATGACTCTCACGAAGCAGCCAGACTGGAACGAGCTTAACAGTCCACGTGGTGGATTTTGAGTGGAGAAGTTGCGATTCATGGGTCATGTGCCTAAGTGGAATAAAAAAAGATTATCTTTATTGAATGACAATACTGCCCTTCCCGAATACAGGAGGGGTCTTAGGTGAAGTGTAGACGACGAAAGCAAAAGCATATGCGGTTGAAACAATAACAATACGAAAGATTGTCCGATTAACCATCCTTTTAATATTAAGCGGTGACTAGTTTTATGGTTCTTATCAGAAAAAACGCTCTGAAAAATGCTGTTGAAGATTATAAAAGATCAAATAAAAATTCGATTTGGTTGAAATGGTGTTGTTGGATTGATGTTGATAACACGCATAAATTAGAAGTTACATGTCACTTTTTCCCTTATCAATGAGACTAGTTTTATAAACCGCTGTCATTTACAGTTTTTAATCGCAGTCTTCTCTGTAATCGTCCAAAATCTTGTTAACTATACTAATTTAAATTGGTCACTCATCATCATACCCCATGATCTGGTGATATAATTTATGATCTCATGCTTCAACTATTCTTACACTAACACATTTTACCAAAAACTTCCACTTCATTCATTGCTATAAATTATACTATTACAAAAATGACAGGTTGTTGCGACTTCATTTTCATGAGCTAATTTCTAGAAACTGACAAAAAAGGAAGAAGAGAAATGAAGAAAACCAATGTTATAAAATTCAACCTTATAAAGTCTCCACTTTAAAAGGGTGCTTTGGTCATATTGTTAATATGATAATATCTATCTATCTGGTACAAGCAAGTTTAAGAGGAGGATCAGAAAACGTCCCGCCGTTTACCTGCTGAAAGATCCAACGGTTTGCCGTTTCAGTGAAATGGATGCCGTCCCAGCTAACTCTAGACGACACGTCGTTACAAGACTTGGCAAGCACAATCTTTTTCCCTTTCACCATTACTTCAGCTCCACATTTGATAAGCTTGTTGAAATTATACTTCCCACCATGTCCACAACAAGCAACCAGCGGATACTTAAAACCTAATTCAACAAATAAACAAACCATTAAAACCGGTCTAAACCAAGCCCGAATCAAACTATTGTTTGGTATAAACGGTTTTGAAAGTACATTACCGAGGTTTTTGGCTTGAGTGATGAGAGTAAGCTTGATAGAGTAGATATCAACATAAGTAATTGCAGCTTCAGAGAGCTCTTTTCTTAACCCGATCACTCTCCTTTTGAGCTCAGAGTTGAAATACCGAGCAATCTCGTTACGAGGAATCGCACAACCGTGATTGTCGATTTGAGAAGCCGGTACTGGAAACCGGTCTAGAACATATGGTAAGCAACCGATCGGAGCTGTGTTGTGTATCCAAAATCTTCTTCCTCCTTTCTTATACACCGTCTACATAATGAAATAAAAGGACGGTTAATTAAGTTAGTTTATCACAGTTGTTATGTAGTTGGTGAATAAAGACAATTCTTTGCTTACACGAATGGCATTGGAGAATTGATCGAGGACATCTGGAATGTAAGCTTTGATTTGATCTGTTGTCAGGTTGAGTTTCAATCCAGTGGTGAGATCGTTTTGACCGATGTCGAATGTGTACAATGCTTGAGAGAAATACTCTTTTCTCGGAAGTAATTGCTCAAACACTCCACCTATACATACAAAATCGGATTACAATGTGTATGTGTATTGATAATCTCGCATTTGTTATATGATTTTGGATAGAAAAAGGTTGAAGCTTTGAGTAACCTTGATTGCGAATGAGTTGTGATCGTGTGAGGAAATCGGAGAACTGAACCAATTGAACGTCGAGTGAGATTGGGCTCGCACCGCTCTGGGAAATGGTGGTGTTTGGTGGCCTGATGGTGGAACCAGCGGTGGCGAAATTCGCACCATGGCTGAAGTTTGAACCGATTGAATCTAAGAAGGCATTTAGGTATGGTAACCCTAATTCCTCCGCTGAGTTCAACAATAGAAATGAATCAAACGGTCGATTGAAAAATCAGTAACGATTTGAAATTTATCATCGAATTTTGAGGAAGTGTATGAATGTTTGTAAGCGAATAAGCACCTATGAAGTCGACGATGAGGCGACCGTCTGAGAAACGACCGGAAGGGGAGTGGAAGAAGGTTTGGCCATTAGGGTAAGGGGCTTGCCCGAAAGCGGCGGAGAGGCCACCGGTGTCGGAATTAGAGTCGCCGAAGTTGAAGATTGCCGGGAAATTGCAAGAGGAAGGAGAGCAAAGTCGAGGATGAATAAGACACGATGCTAACAAGACGAACTTTATCAACCAGAGTTGAGTTTGCATTTTTCTAAATTAGTGTGGCTAAGATAAGAGGGAGAAGATGTAGTAGTACTACTCTTATTTTTCGAAGTAAAAAGTCAATGTTTTTCAGTGTTTTAATTATGTTAAAATGATTGATCCAGAAAAGAATCTAAAAAATGATATACGCATACAAATCATGAAAGTGGAATTAGAGAATCTATTGACTATGTGCAAGAGCAAGAGCAAGAGACGTTGTAGACGCAGAGGCACGAAGAGAACCCACAAAGAATAGACGAACCCCATCAACGAAGAAAATATTAGATTTTGGCTTGAACCCATGACACTAATTTGCACAGAAACCATGACACATTCGTTGCTCATGGAGGGATGTATTTGTGTTTGTGTTCCGGTAGCCAAGTACCAGCAATCTATAATTCCCATTCCCAATTCCATCACAAAGTTAAATATCTCGGCTAAACCCAAGTATCAGAGAGATGATCCTGCATCATTGTTTTAGCAGAATCAATAAACGGCATATCCCCAATATAGCAACATTTGAACTTTTTTACCAAATGTTGACCCTGGATATGGATATTCCGTAGAGATCAATCACGTACCTGAAGCCTTTTCGCAAATTTGGTGTTGATCATTCATTACGATAAGCATAAAGAAGTAGTAGCACATCTCAAATTTGTGTCTCAAACCAACCAAGAACAAGGTTTCCATACGGATCAACATATCAAAAGGAGAGCACTTTAGCAACATAGTCGACTCTTGAGTTTTAGGGCCATAACAGAGAGACACACATCTTCTTTCTTGAGCTATCCAAATACATTGACGCAAACAGAACCATCTTCCACCTTAACTTTGACTTCCCACTTGACAAGAGAGCTAGAAGCATAAACCTTCCCCACTTCTTTCTTCAACTACAAAAAGATATGTGAAAAAAACTTCAAACTTAAGTCTGTAGCACTAACAGCACACTTAACATTGCAGAGATACGTTATAAAAAGTTAAATAACCTAAAAGCATACATACCCTTTAGAGTAGAACTCTAGTAACCAGCCCTGGGGCGGTCATATGGAGCACGGCTGTGCCTCTCACCTCCTGGACCTCCACGGCTGCCACCATCCCTGCTGCTACGTCCTCCAGCACGTTCTCCACTGCGATCAGGTCCATAGCGATCCCTGCCTCCACCATCCCTACCATACCTATCATCCTTCCCACCATACCTATCGTCCCTTGAACTGTACCTATCCTCCTTACCACTGTACCTATCATCCTTACCACCACCGTACCTATCGTCCTTGGCATCGTACCTATCATCCTTTGAGCTGTACCTTCCACCACCACTGCCACCTCTACTAGACTCAGAAGGACACTCCCTTGCAAAATGCCCAGGCTTGCCACATTTAAAGCAGTCTCCACCACCTCCACCTCGCCCACCACCAGAAGGACGGCTTCGGTCACGGTCATACCCACGATCACCACCACGACTGCGGTCACCATCATGGTCTCTGCCTGCCCCACCCTGATGCGGCTGAGCTTTGTCAACAGTGATAGTTCGCCCATCCAAATCCATCCCATTCATTGCCGCAATGGCTTCATCCATAGCTTTCTTCTCATCAAAAGTGATGAAACCGAACCCACGGGAACGGCCAGAGAACTTGTCAAGAACCACCTGTACCATTAATAAAGTATCAAAGATAAGCTCATCTCTAATAAGAGAGATATGATATGATAAAGAATGACACCAAAACCATCATAGTTTCGTTATCTCAGCAAACAAGTATAGATAAAAGTACCTTGGCCTCAAGGAGGTGGCCGTACTTCTCAAAGGCATCTCTGAGGCCACGATCAGACGTTGCCCAGGCAAGTCCACCAATGAAGCAGCGGTACTCGGGATCCCGATCTTCTGACATCTTCTTAAGCACAAACTGCCAAATTTAGTTCCAAGCAAATCAATACGACTCCAGGAAAATCCAGTAAGCGGCATCGTAAGTTTCTTCATCAAGGAGCTAAAGAAAGAAGCTCAGGAAAGCAGATCCTCAAGTATTCACAACGAGAAGAACAGCGATTCGCTATACCAAATCTGAACTTGTTCTCTACCATCATAAACAAAACATCAGGATCCAGGACAATACGAACTTATGGACATGTATCCATGAAGCAAATTTCAATTGGAATCTACTAGCAAACAGCATATTTAGAAAGCGTAATTGCGTGAAGACTGAGTAAAGCTTACAAAACTCGAATCACAATCGGTAGACTAAAAACAGAAGACACAGAAGCGAATCAAATAGTTCAGTATAGTAGAGAACAGTAGAGAAAACGAAAATAACGTACCAGAGAGAGCGGAGAAGATGAGATCTGATCGCGATTTGCTACGGAACCCTAATTTCTGAGTAGAGAAGAAGCAGCTGCAAGCAAAATTTGGCAAAACACACAATAAGAAGGAAACGAAGCAAAAAGTCCTATCGTATTCGCTACCTCACGGGGTACTTCCGTCATTTCGTCATCACTACATATATTGGGCTGTTTGAAAAATCTAGGCCTTAAACAAATGGGCTTTATTGGGCCTTTGAAGAGGGTTTAAAGAGAGGTTTTACCCGCCGCCACCGTCGTCGTGTTTCTCCTACTCCGTCTTCGTCTTCTTCTCAGGTCTCTTGACGAATTAGGGTTTTTGATTTGGGGGAAAAGGAAGAGATGTGGTTTCTATGTGTTTTCTATCACAGACTGTTAGACTTCAGAAAGCCAGAGGTGGAAGCTTTGGCAGAGCTCTTCGGAGAGGAGATTGCAGAGAATGAGACTCTCCAATGGCGTCTTCCTGAGCATCACCATAACGATACTCCATTCCACTTCGTGCAACTTTCATCTGAGGAAATCGCCCAGAACATCGCCAAGCGAAGTAGGATTTCTTCTCTTATCTTTCTCCCAGTTCTTTTCTTTTTTTCTGCTGTTTCTCTAAACCTTGAAAAAAATTGGTGTTAGTATAGGCATTTTGGTGAAAGGAATGTACGAGCTTTGGGGTGAAGGAACTTGCTATGAAGAGCTTAGAGACTCCATTAAAAGCTACCCTGATTCTCGGAAGCTCCCATTTCTCACTCCTGGTTCAACCTTTAGGATCTCTGTCGAAACTTTCGGAAAGGCTATGACTTTCGATGAGCAGAAGGATAGAATTTATTCACTCACTTATATCCCATTCGAGGTAATATTTCCACTTCCATGTGTTTCTTCAGTCTTTATTGGTTTCTGTTCCTTTATGTGAACATTTGGTGTTTGGGGATTTGGTTGTTGCAGGGAAAGGTTAACCTGAAAAACCCAGATCACAACTTTTTTCTAATGGAAATGGATGAATCTGAAGAGAACAATGGACTTCCACCTATTGTTCAACGAAGAATCTTTTTTGGGAGGGAGGTTGGTTTTGCTGATAGGAAGCTTCTACCGACTTTCCAGCTGAAATCTCGCAATTACCTTGGCCCAACTGCTATGGATGCTGAAATGGCTTTCTTAATGGCCAATCAAGCGAAAGCCACGTCTGGAAAACTTGTGTATGATCCTTTCGTCGGTACAGGGAGCATTCTTGTTTCTGCTGCACGTTTTGGCGCAATGACAATGGTTTGCAATACCCTCCTCAGTTTCTTGATACCCTTTTCTTTCTTCTTCTTTGTTGTAAACTGACAAAATAGTTATTGAATTTAGGGTGCGGATATTGATATCAGAGTAGTGCGTGATGGACGTGGTCCAGACTGTAATGTTTGGAGCAATTTCAAGCAGGTTAGTGCTGTAATTGTAACTTCTCTTGTTATGTTATCGTTCTTTCGTTTCCATATCTGAACATATATCATTGCTTATGCAGTATGGACTACCTATGCCAGTTGCTTTACTTAGAATGGATAATAATCTTCCTCCTTGGCGTTCCGGGCTTAAGGAGGTAACACACTCTCTCAGTTCTTTCATCGTCATCTCTAGTGTTACTAGTTGAGATCACATGTTTATGTCTTCTGTATTCGTCTGTGCAGATCTTTGATGCGATCATCTGTGATCCACCTTACGGTGTTCGAGCTGGTGGGCGTAAATCCGGTGGGAGGAAAATCCTTAGAGGGACGGTGGATCCTTACACTGTCCCTGAGGACAAAAGAACAGACCACATTCCATCCACTGGTGCATATAGTCTAGTGGAGTGTGTTCACGATCTGCTTAACCTAGCTGCAAGAATGCTGGTGATGAAAGGCAGGCTAGTGTTTTTCTTCCCGGTTTTGAGAGATGAGAATGGCGGTGAGGTTAAGTTTCCTGAGCACCCGTGTTTCAAGTTAGTCGCTGTCTCTGAACAGATCTTGAGCTCGCGGTATAGTCGGGTTTTGCTGACGATGGTGAAAGTGGAGCCTTACAGTGAAGAGATTGAAGAAGCTGCTCGTTTGATGCATTTGGAGTTTAGAGAGAACCATCTTAAGTGGTTAGAGGATGGTAACATTCATTCCTCTGTGTTTAAGCCTTCTGATGCTTCTCAGATACATGCTGATTCCAAAACCTTTAAAGATCCAAAACCCAAGTATAGAGGCAAGTATGTGTAAGCATAGGTTTTGTCTTCTTTTTGTTGTATTCTTTTGATATATGCGGAACAATTGCTTTGTCTTTCTTGTTGTGTTTGTATTTCCAATCTAAATCAACTTTTAAGGGGTTGTTGACGAAGAAATGTGTTAAGGATACTACATATCAAAAGAGTTGAGAAAGCAGAATTAACTACAAAAAATATGATAATCTAAGTTTTGGAAAAGTCTTAAAATGTAACAGAAGAGACACATTCTCTTTTGAGACACACACGCCTTCGCTGCGCAGAAGACCAAAAACAAAACAACGAGGCTCCAATTCCGAAGATGAACAACAAACAAAACAAAGATCAAAGATTAGAGTTTTTTCCAAGGAGATGATAAATTTTTATTAATATATATAAATTAACGCCTCTCTAAGTCTTCTTCAAAAACTGGGAACTGTGTACATTCCACATTTGGCTGTTCTTCCTTTCCTTACCATCCTTCCCTAGACGACGACCTGTCGAAAACCCAAGAAATCAGAAATCAATATGACATGGACTCCCACATTTCTACTTAACTTAAAGACATGAGCCTAAATGTAAACATCTTTGTACCAAAAGAGATTTAGATACTAATGGACCACTAACTAACCTGTTGTTGAAGAATCCACGCTCTTTGCTTCCTTGGAAGTTTCTTCGCTGATCATCTACAGGTCTAACCCAGGCATCGACTGCGCCACGTGATCTAGGTCTCTCCATGGATTCAAAACTCCTTGACTCATCGATTGATCCAGACCGGGAATGTGTTCTTTCTGAATATGAACCGGTTCTGCCTGCACCGGACCCGGGCCTCTCAACTGGTTTCTGCCTGAACCTGACTTTGTCGTCCAACTCACGGGTTAGTATTTCAAGATCCTTCTCTTTCCCACGTATAGTTTCCGGTAAATCTTGGTGGTTATTATTACTGCCAGGTTCTTGATCAGATTCCTTGGTCTCTGGCGCAATGGATTCTTTCTCGAGCTTTTTCCTTAGCTCTTCAATCTCTTCTTTCAACATCTTCTCTTCTTCTGTTTCAGGCCTGGAAAAGTTGATTTTCACAACACAGAGATCAATATCCGATTGTCATAAAGCTCATAAAAAAGCATCACAGAGTTCATAACATAAGAAAAATGCCAGCTCAGATAACACGCAAGAGAAACAAGAAGTTATCAATCATCAACACAAGAAGAGCTCCATTGAGAGAACATCACATCTGCGTGCCCGAGATATGAAACTCATAGAAGCTCAAAACATTTTACAGGAAAGAAAACCAATGAAGACTCTATAACTAAAGTACATAGTATCCTTTCAAGTGCCAAAACTACTTGGAGTTATCAGTTCAATACAATATAATCTACTACTAAATTCATGCAACTACATAGAGATTGACTTGTGGCATAATGTATCAAGCAGTTAAATATTACTTCAAAGTTCCAAACTTCCTCGTTGGTCAAGTAGAAAATCACCATGCAGCAAAATAAAACCATTCAGATAACTGCAGCAACATAGTATTGAAACAAATCCACAATCCTTAATGAAACTTAAAAAAATCCAGATGAGCAAGGACCTGTCAACTCTGCGATGCTCGAGTTCCATATCCATCTTACGCCAATCCTTCCCTTGTTCCTCCAACAACACTTCTCTCGGCTTCGCATCGCCAAAAGGATTCACCTTTGGTCTCGGTTTCACCGCATTATTCAATCCTGTACTCTCAGACCTGTTAGACTGAGCACTCGAAGGTCTGCTCGAATGTGCACTCGTTGGCCTACTCGTTTGAGAACTTCCTTTCTTAGCCTCAATCTCCGAGTCAAGCTTCTTCCAGTCTAAGCCTTTCTCCGCCAAAACATCCTCCCTCGGTCTAGCTGCTCCAAACGGGTTCGGCTTATTCGTTTTCCCAGCAGTTGGTGGAGTTTCGGTCGCTGCTGACTCAACCTTTCGTGGTTCCAAAACCAAACGACGACGTTCCTCCTGAACACCACCTCCTGCTACTACTCCTCTAGACCAACGGTCAGAGTCACGGTTTGAATCACCGAAATTCGACCCAAATGTAGGTGATCTGACCGGAGCTTGCCTTTTCCCTGCAGCCCAATTATCTGTTTCGTCAGCTTTAGAGAAGCCACCACCACCTCCACTGCTAAATCCGCCACCACCTCCGCCACCGCTGCTAAAACCGCCACCGCCACCGCCTCCGCCTCCAAACCGACCCTGTCGTCCTTGATCGAAAGATGGGAGAGGTTTTTTGGCTTTTCCCCAATCATCAACCTCATCAGCTCTCGAAGGTTGAGCGAAATCCGAAACCCTAGACGGAGGTCCCCTCCTGTCATCGTCAAATCCAGCGCCGTAGGATCGCCGACCATCACCTCCACCATTCCACGGCCCATCGGAATCATCTCGATCTCTCCCCATTCGACCAGGAGGTCCACTAGAACGGGCTCCGTAAGAAGAGAATCCGCGGCCTTGTTGCATTTCGTCCTCCGAGCGTTGCCTGGGACCAGTCGGCAGCTGAAGAATCTCTTGCTGCGTCAATCCAACGGAATTTCTACCCGCAGCCGCAGGTGCTGTGTAAGCACCCGATGCAAACTCCGATAGAGTCATCTTATTCTTCTTCTTCTTAGACTTGGTGTTGTTCACAGCATCCTTCAGGCTCGGAAAACTCTGCACATCCGCCGGAGCGGCCGTAGCCGTAGCCTCCGCCGCCTGCTCTTCATCGGCACGCTCCGCTTCGTCCGCCCACGCACCAATTCCAATCCCACCCCAAGGTTTCGACATCCAGAATCTCACAAATTCCCAGATCTAAAAACCGCAAGATGCTGATGTGAAACAGAGAGATCTATCTATATCGCGAGGCACAGAGAAATATGAAAAACTGAGAAAGTGAAAAGATCTAATGCTCCGACGAAAGCTTAATCCAGAAGATTATTCCTTTTGCGTGAATGTGAAAATTTCCTGGGGAAAATTCATAAAAAGATTGAGATTTATTCCTGTGAAGTTGTTTTTGCATGCTTCTCAACGAAGGAGAGATGGACGGAAAAACAAACGTCACGCGCTAGAGACGCGTGTTGATTGCACGCACCACTCAGTGACGAGAGCTTAAAGGAAGTTACGGCTAGAGCGTATGGTCACGCGACGTGTAAGCAAGCGACGGTTGACTTCAATGAAATGTACGGTCAGAAATGTATCATCTATTCAACCATCCTTTTTAATTATAATGACATAATTATTAATGGCTCAATTAGGTCGATAATTAATTAGACAAACGTTAATTACATTTTTTATTTTACAAAAAAGATAAATATTTATGCTATTTTTTCTTAAATTTGTCTGTTATTTAAAGTAAAAAACATGTTTTTAGAAAAATATCACTTACCTTTTGTATTTTTGGGAAACTTTTTCCTTACCTAATACCGTTGGCTCTGTTATTTTTATGATAAAGCATAGTATCCATAGCTCTGGTTTTGAAGCATAGGTTATACATAAACTCCATTTTTATAAGCTAAAGATGGAAACATAACTATGGTGAAAAGACAACGATTTCGTATGGAGAAGGTAAACGAAAGGAGAGTTATGCATTGGTACAATGGAGAACGAACAGAGCAGGACCATGAGATTCGACTTGGATCGACACTGAATCTTTTGTTGGTCCGAAATCTTTGCCGCTCCATAACTCGTGGCTCTTACACGAAGCTCCTACAAGATTCTTCTTGTACTGAAGAGCCTTGGCAATATCTGAAATCTTGGCTGATATCGTTGTCTTCACCGGATTTAAGTTGAAAAAAGCGACGTATACTTCTCCTCTTCTTCCCGTGGCGATCCAAGAACGAACACCACTGGAGCTAGCTTCAGCTTCAGAAGCTGAGTAACAATGTCAAACGGAAAATGTCGAAGAAAGAGACGATCATTTTTAAGTTGATCTGTAAGGAAACTACCTTTTACTGGGTTTAACACTGCGCAGAGACCGGAGTAACTGTTTTCTAGTGTTCCATTACTGTGGAGCTCCCACATCTGAAGATTATAGAGCATGTTATATGAAAATGAAGATATATGATCTTATGGTAACTTCATAGCGAGAGAGATCAAGTACCTGGTTTGCATCTGGTTTGCAAGGTGATAAAGAACCTCGACTAAAATCTTTCGAAGTGAGCTTTTGCTTGGAGGAAGCTCCTAAACAAGACTCTGCTTTATCATCTGTTTGCAAATGAAGCTTGCCTTGATAAAGCTGGTTGTGTTTTATCTCCTCACCGCTGCACACAAATGAAGGAGATGAATTGGTTTAAGAGCGGTTTATGAAATTGTAAAGCGAGTTGGAAGAAAAAAGAAACATACGTAGCAAGAAGAGCTTTTCTGTTGTATAAGCAAAAGGGCTTCTCTGGTTTTTGGCTAGAGTATTGGTTCCAACAGATTTGCCCACGGTTCTTGTCTACAAGAGACCAAGTGTTGGCTTTCGGTTCTTTGCAGCTAGTGAGACCAAAAGCATGTTTAGTCGAAATGTTGTTCCCCTTTGGATGATGAGGACGGCCTTTGCGCTTATTCCTAGATACTCTTGTTGCAGTGATGTAAGGAAACTGTAAGAAACAGAAAAAGGCAGAGTTTGAAGACAAAAATTTGTAAATTCCAAATAGTGATATGAGCTTTGACTGAATTTATGATTCTACAAACCTCCTTGTTATTAGAGCTAAAAGAGTTTATTTCCAGAAGTGTAGGATTTGTGATGAGATTATAAGTAGCGTCATCGAGCTTTCTCACATCACCTCCAAACATGAGAGGGGACTTTGCAATAGACCACAATGTCATCTGAACAATAAGCAAAAAAGAAAAACGTTGAAATGTGGTTTAGAGGATTACTAATAAACTATGAGCTCTGAAGCTAGAGATAAACCTGTGACTTCTGTTCTTCTATATTAAGATTACACGCTCGATGAGGTCCAAAGTTCGTACCTTTACCAAACATCAAGACAATACAACGTTAACTGGAATCATCTTCAGAATTGGGATCATAAGATGTGTTAAGTCAAACCTTGATCAGTAAGCCATCCAAGAGGTAACATATCTAGGTCAGGCCATGATTTTCCTTGTAACCCTTGTGCACCAATCATACTAGAAGCAGACAAATCCCTAAAAAGAATCACAAATTACATGACACCATGGTAAAAAAGCTTGACAAAAGGATTATCAGCTATGTACAGTAATACACACGAAGCTTGACCTCGAGATATCGAAATGTGAAACGACGTCTTTCCATGTGTCCCAGTCATCACCTGTGATTCTGTACATGTTAACCAATTGACTAACTTCTTTAGCCAATGCAGGTGTCACACTCGTCCCTGGAGATATTGAGTACAAAACAGGCCGATCAAGCTCCTTCAGAACCTGCGACAACAAAAATAATATTTCATTTCCATGTACCAATGACTTCAAACAGAAGATTGTAGAAACTACATACCTCTGACACAAGAGTTATCTCCTCTAGGTTGAAGTCAGTCCCAAATACGCAGTCATGCTTTACTAAAGACCAAGAAAACAAGACAAAGATTATGATATTAAACTGAGATAAAGAATGTTATGTATATGATGAAATCAATTCTCTTCTCTTACTGAAATCTACACCCCATTCAGCATATTGTCGATAAAGAGACCTCAAGAAGGCTTTTCCTGCACCAAGCTTTGTGTTCACACTCATGAACCCATGTGACATCCACACACAAGCCTTCTCTTTCATCCCAATATCTTTCGCTCGCCACTGTCTACCAGATTCTTCATAAGCACCTCCCTTTAACCAATAAAAAAAGATTCAATTTCTAACTTCTGGACAAAACTTTACTGGTTTAGGCCGGAAAGATATAAGAAATAAAATACCTTAACACTATCCATAACGAGAGTATTTGCGTTGTAAGCCTGTGTGCTTATCCCACCCATGACATGAATCCCAAACTTCAAACCCATTCTATGAACTTTCTCTGCAACTTCAGTGAAACCTTTGCCTCCTTTAGACGATGGCCATCTTGCTGGATCAGGATGCATCCTCCCCCATTCATCAATCACATCGTACCCAAGAGAGTCCACGAAAGCTCCTTCTACTTTCTTTCTATACCAAAGGTAATCCACCACAACATACTGTATCCAAATCCAATTCCAAATGAATAAAAAAACTCAATTTCAAATCGTAAAGGGGATCAATTTCATTAACCACAACAACAAGAAAAATGAAAGATCCATTTGTGAAAACATTTACCTGGTATCCATGAGGAAGAAGACGCTTTGAAATGATTTCTGCGCTCTGCAAGAACTCAGCTTCAGAGATAGTCCAGCAAAAGGAATCGTACGAATTCCATCCTCTTGGAGGAAAGCTCGCGTGTTCGTTGGATCTTACGTTAATCGATAAACTGAAATTTGGGTATCGGTCAGATAGTGAACACTCGAATTAAAATCAGAATCTAAATCGACCCAGCAAATAAAGCTTGAATTTTTCAAGACGGAGTCACAGTGGAGTGAAGCTAAAATAGATAGGTGGGAGTACCTATAAAAGGAAAGATTGAGGATGATGATGATGAAGACTATGAACCGGGTCGACCCGGTTTTCTCAATGGATAGTCCGACCATAGCGATGAGAGAGCCGATTACGATGTTTGTTTCCTCTTTAAGTTTTAGAGAAGCTGAGAGAGTAGAACACGCGATCGTCGTTAATGGCGGGTACTACTAGTAGCGTGACAGTGACAAGTTAAGAAGATATGGATTAGATTAGTAACCGTTGAACTATTTTTAAGAGAAATTAAAATGTGTAACACAAAACCTTTTTTCACAAAAGAACTTTTCGCTTTTGTCACACTGTTTTTTCATATCTCTAAAGTCTTGCATGTTCTTTTGGCAAACAGATAAGCAAGTGTACGAAATTCCCATTTCACACCTGATTTTGACAACTCAACTGCATCTCACAAATGCGAGTATAACAGAACATGTATCTCAGTGTGAGAGCGAGTGTAAGAGTTTTTGTTGTTGTTGGTGGTTTCAAGTTTAATCTCAGTGTCCACGCACAACATTCATAACTCTACAAGGATTAAACCTCAAAGTCTAGACTAAATCCTGAGGTTTATAATATTTTTTCTTCCTATGGAGTCAAAACAGAGAGACAGCTCAAAGTATCTTTGTAACCTTTTTTTTCTTCACTAGGAACTTTACATAATATCAAAATGATTACAAAGATAGTATGTGAAAGGCTCTGAAGGGTTAAACAATAAGGAAAAAAGGAAGAAAAATAAACTACCAAATCTCTATGGTTTGTTGCTCCTCAGACAAAATCAAGACAACTCATCTCCTTTTTTTCTTTCTTTCTAAGCCAATCAGCTCACAATGCAAAAACAAAAGCATCATCAAGCTTTACACATACATGGAGTGAGTGGATTTTCCCAAAGATCGTAGTTAGGGAAAGTTTCTTCAGGCAAACCGGTTCTTGTTTGATGGGTTACAACTACATCTTCCACAAAAGTTGCCCATCCCATGTAAGGATCCCCAAATGATTTCGACATTAAACCTTTGTCCGGTTTGATTGATTTCTGGCGATGGCCCATATATCTCCGAGCTCCAATGATCAGTTTTGCAAAGTTCCCACCGTGTGTCATCACAAACACATCTGACTTCAGACACACCAAGAAATCTAGAGCAGCAAGGCTTGTTACGTGCTTTCTAAAGCTTGTTAGTTCCTCTTTGCCTGCTAAATCCTCCTTTGTTACCTGGTTTTGAAAGCACGATTCTGATTTCTGAGAGACTATGCCTTGTTGATTCATTCTAGTATTTAACGAGATAGGTTCCAGAGTTTCTTACCAAATTTGGGAACATGTTTCTTAGTGGAGCCATACGGTTTTGGCCCCCATAGACCTGACCTGATGCTACGTAGATTTGTGTTTCTTTTGGATACCCCATTGCGCGTAGGATCACAGCAACTTCTCCTGGCTCGAGAGGGCATCGACCTTCTTTGCGCTTCTGCAATGCCAGCTGCCAGAGATGGGAGCCATTCTGCAAAAACATGTCAATCAAATTCATTAAGGCAAGCTTGTTTAAGCACCAGCTAGAAATAACTGCATGTTTTTTCAAGTCACCTTGAAACGCCGAGGCCATTCTTTTTGTCTGTATTCTGCCATTTTAACTTTCTCTTCCCTTGTCCCCACGAAATCACAGAACGATAGACCAACCATTCCTTTCTCGAATCTAAGATGAAGAGCCCTATACAAGAGATATGTATATAATTTTGAGTCAAAAGGATGCTTAAGGGCCCAAGCTGAAACAAAGTTTAAAATGTTTGATATCTCATACATGTATGGATTTGGATTTCCAGTGCGATTTCTCATTCTAGAAACAAGTGAATCAGCCATCTGCTCTATCTCTGGGAGAAATTTAAGAGCGTGATAATTTACTCGGCATCGTAATCTGTTGATTTCTTGAGGTACATTGTCGTACCTGAAAAAGTTCCAGCACAAGAAGGAAATATCATTCATCGTTTGTAAGAACTTTCTGAAAGTTTGAGCCCTATAATATTTGAATATATAGAGTACATACCCAAGTCGATCGACAAAAGGCTTCAAGGCCATTATCTTCTTCTCCTTTATCCGAGGCAAAACATTGTCTATATAGAATTGAGCTGCTGCATATTTGGGAATGTTTTTGACTGTTCTTCTGCAGAAAGACAAGTAAACAACCAAGGTCAAAATATTGATTGATTTTACTTCAGATATATACACAGGAAGCCCCCAGTGACGCCATAAACCCAAGAAGTTCAGTTTTTTAAATCTTCAAACAATTATATCATCAACAAATGAATAAAGAGTTGAGAAGCAAACCTTATACTAGAGAATAATTCTGCTTTGTCAGTGAACCAGTCAGGTATATCTCGAACGATCCGTACATCGTCTTTCAAGTAATCAATGAAATGATCTACATCAAAAATGTCTTCAAATTTTCTGCAAAAGAAAGCTAACATCCTCAGAAAACTATAAAGAAAGCAGAAGAGTACCTGACTTCTTTATCACAGTGCTCAGAAAAATCATAACTAGGATACATAGTCGCAGCAGTGACCAGAAACTTAGAAAAGCAATCCAATATCTACATAAGCTTACGTTTGGTCTTTCCAAATTTGGTCTTGCTTTAGTACTGGTAGAATCAGAGTTGCGTTCATAATCTTGGCAACAGCTACTGCATTACAGATCTGTGGGGGAAATGCCATAAGCATAACTCAATCTTCCAAAAATGAAAGAAAAGAAAACAGCAGCCATTTTTGCATAGGAGATAAAAAGTATGACAGATACATACAGCGATTCTCTGCTGATTCAAACCACCCTCAGCATGAATGAAAACATAGCCATTTGTTTGGTTCTCAGGAGGAAGATCTGAAAAAAAGATGAAAATTGCTTATAAGCTGACATCAAACTCACGCAGAAATACAGAACAAGAGCACATGACAATGTCAATGGCGATCCTCTAGCTCTTAATACCTGAGATCCCACCAACTCGCCGCTCAGCGCAAGGCTTCCAAGAAGTTGTAGCAGACAAAGGATTCTCCCATGGAGAAGGTGACTCTTTTACCTAGAAATGCAAACAAAAACACACAATTAGATTTAAGGGGATTCAAAGCTAACGCATTTGACAAAGTTTCAACACTTACATGAGGACAGTTAAGCACAATTCCATCTTTTTTACACAAATATGGTGCATTCTGCAAAAATTAAGATAGAGAGAAGAGATCTTAATTTGAGAAATGTGAATTCGTAAGTAAAAAATACAAACCCTTGATTCATAAGTAAGCAAATACTTTCCCAAATCGATTAAGGAGTTTCAAAATAGAGCACGAATCAATGCCAGAAGATCTTAGTTCTTAGATCGAAAGAGAGAGAGCTTACCAAGTGATTGATAATCCCGTAAACGGAGATCAAGCTCGCAACGGCGAGAATCAAAATCAAGAGTATCGATAATTTATTCTTCTGAGGAGAAGCCCTAGGATCGTCGCCGAGGAAAGGGAACAAAGAGTGAAGCCCAGATACTGACCAGATCGGACGGTCTCGATCTCTCGAGGGATGACGTGGGCGGCCATCCTCGTCGTCTCCTCCGCTGGGAGAGTGATCGTGTACGTGAGGCGACGACGAGTCCTCGTCTCCGCCACCAGCACGTAGCGGAGAGGAAGAAGATCGGCTCCCGACAGAGCTCGAGTGCCGCAACTCCGCCATTGCTCTCCTCGGGCTAAAAGTCGCCAGCTTAATTACCGATTCTCTCTTTCTTTCTCTATATCTCTCTCTCTTTCAATCTATCTCTGAGGATTACTTTCTTCAGCTTACGCTGCCATGTGAGGGAGCTTGGAGAGACTCAAAACAACACTCAACAAGACGGGATTAAAGAAGCTTTTTTGAAAGGCTTGAATGTTCATCTTCAAAAGTCAAAACTCTCCAGACGAAACAGAGTATTACGTTATATTTACAATTGCATCCCTAAATCTTCTTATAATTTACCTAACCACCCCTAAATCTTTCGATTTGGTCTCATTTCCAAACCTCCTTTTAAACCTAGACATTCTCCATCATCTGTCAAGTGGCTCTTTGATCTCTCCGGCGAGATTCCGACCAACAACGTGACCGGTAAGTCGAATTCCGATTCGATTGTTTCTCTCTCGATTCTGTGTACTCTCTAAGAGATGATTTTGGGACTCTGTTTTGCAGAAATCGAGTGAAGGGATAACATTTCTCGGGAAGATGAACACGATAGCGAAACGAGTTACGGGGTTAGTGACTCGGGCGAGTCAGTACCAGTTGCAGCAGGAGCGAGGGATTAGAGTGAAGGTGATCTCCGGGGATCTGGACAAGGCGCTGACGGTTTTGCAGAGGAAGATGCAATCGAGCGGAATGGAGCGGCTGATAAAAGCGACGCAGACTCACCACATTAAGAACTCGGAGAAGAAGGTTCTCGCTAGGAAGAATCTCGAACGAAGGATCAAATCCATTGACTTTGCTCGCAAACTCCAGTCGATCCTCATCAAGAAAGTCAGGTATGTTTCCGATTAATGTTCGCATTTAGTGGATTAATGAACTAGTTCGATGGATTGGGTATGATAAAAGCTTGAATTTTGATAGAGTTACATGAAAATTCACTCTAGGCCTAGCTTCTTCCTCCACTTTGTAGCTATAATAGGATTCAACAGATTTTGATGGTTTTTTCTCATTTTCTTCTTTGCAGAGGTTTATGAGAGCATGAGCCGAAGCAATGGTGCTGCTATAACCCATTCATCATCTTCTTTCCATTACATTTTGAGGGAATTCATGTTGATCAGTACTAGTTTGTGATATAACACAATTTTTTTCACTTTTGATGAATGGAATTGGTATAATCTTGGATTACCATTAGTTTGTTTACTCTATGAATAATCTAAACCCCATACGGAAAGGCTTGTCTTTTCGAAGTCAGATTCTTGAACAGAGACTGAAGTTACCATCTTGGATTCTGGCTCATAGATTCTAAAATGTCACCATTTCAGATATATTCATCAGAAAAGTCTTAAGTGCTCAAAGTAACCTGTAAGTTCTTAATCCTGTTTTTCTTTCTTTCTGAAATCAAGAATGTAGGCGTACCACGAATAAAAGAAATTGGAATTACAAAGTCTTTCTTTTTGGCTTTGCTTCATCTATAGAGCCTGATTTTTTTATCTAGTCCAAAGAATCTACAAAAAAGATTACTTGCTTCATTGTATTAGTTTCCTTCTTAGAGAGATTATTTCCAACAACAAGAATCATTGCTTGAACTTCTCACCAAGTTATCCTCTCTCTCATTTTGAAACTTAGAAACAGTTCTCACTCTTCTTATGTCACCATCTTAGACCCAATTTCCTTTTGATGCTTTGTTGCTTCTTCCTCCTAAATGTCTCACCATCACTATGAAACCAACCCTCATTTCGCAAGACTTCAACCACAGAACCAACATGTCAAAGGCGGTGGTGGTGCTTCTACCTCACAATCATCTCCCCATGACCAACCGCCCATCCCCCACCACAAAACCCCTAAATCTCACCACAAAGCTCCACCGGGAATCCTAACCAAGCCTCGTGGTCGCGACCGTCAAGGCCCTGTCCAAGAACATCCACATTCCGCAATACCTTTACCTCTAAGTCCAGAAGATAAACAACCACCACGAAAGACTTCAAACTCTGCAAAAATACCATTACTATCATCAAGCCCTGAAGATAAACAACCACCACGACGACCTCCAAACTCTTCAAAAAGACCATTGCTACTAAGCCCTGAAGATCAACATCATAACCATCAACAACAACAACAACGACCTCCACCACCACAACCACCGCGCGGTGCAGGCGGCGGCTATGCAACATCATTACCTCCAATACCCAAACCAACTCCATGGAGAACCGCTCCAACACCGTCACCGCATCGCCGCGGTCGACAACGGTCACCACCGCCTTCAAGAGATCAGACAAACGCGATGACATGGTCAGCTGCATTTTGCTGTGCCGTTTTCTGGATCATTGTCATTCTCGGCGGTCTCATCGTCCTAATCGTCTACCTCGTGTACCGTCCACGCTCTCCTCACATCGACATCTCAGCGGCTAACCTAAACGCTGCGTATCTCGACATGGGGTTTCTTCTAAACGGAGATATGACCATTCTAGCAAACTTCTCAAACCCTAGCAAGAAAAGCTCTGTGGAGTTTAACATTGTGACGTTCGAGCTTTACTATTACAACACACTCATAGCGACTCAATACGTTGAGCCGTTCAAGGTTCGTAAGAGAATGTCGATGTTTGCGAATGTTCATCTCGTGAGCAGTCAAGTCATGCTTCAGCCAACGCAGAGCCGGGAGCTGCAACGTCAGATTGAAAACGGGCCGGTTTTGTTGAACCTGAGAGGAACGTTTCACGCACGTTCGTTTATTGGGCCGTTGTTTAGGTACTCTTATTGGTTGCATACTCATTGCAGCTTTTCATTGAATAGTCCTCCTGCAGGAACTATGCGAGCTAGACGATGCAGTACCAAACGCTAGTGTTTTCAGCGGTTTGTGTCTCTTTTTCTTTTTGCCACATTTAGAAATAATTAATTTTATGTACTCATTGATATTACAAGATTTATTAATGTTACGATCATTTGATTTCTAAATGCCTCGTTAGTTTCTGTATAGTAGAAATGTTCCACACTTTAGAGGTTGTTTTACATTTAACTTTACCAATGTTACACGAAAAGAAAAGAATAATATTCAAATTTGATCTAAATCTTCTGTGACTTTTTAGTCACTTATTTTGATAAGCAATGGGGAAAATAATCAATAAGGTTCTTTGTCTTAGTAAAGCACCCGAAATGTTGCCAAAGAACACTGAATTAAATTATCCCTTCAAACAAACAGAGACTAGAGAAAAAGAGTCATAACTCATAACAAACAAAGCCCAATAGTGGCCAATGAAGCCCAACATAAATGAACAATGTCTTGGACTCTTGGAAGCTGGAGGCGGTTTGACCCGTAATGAATCAACCCGACCCGTTCGCCCAAATCTGGTCCAGAGCGGTTTGCCCGGAGCTCAAGAAACATCCCTCCATAATTTTGCTTTTCTTATTCTTCCTCATCGTCATTCGTTCCTTCAGCTGCTCTCACACTTCTTGAGCTTTGTTAATTTCGCATATCAAATTTCATTGCTTTTCGTTGCCAAGGTATGTCAAAGATCTCCAATTGAGATCTACCGTCTTTATTTTGGCTTTATAATGAAGTGTTAGGTTTATGGTTTTTTACACAGTAAGCTTAATCTCGAGTTAGATCCGATTTGAATTGTGAAAGGAAGCTCCTTTATTTATATCTGATTCCGGGTGTATCTCAAGCTAGTTAAATTTCACGAATTTGACGGATTTTCTGATGATTTTGCAAGGTTATTGACAATGAAGCTTGATACTAGTGGATTGGAGACAACAATGCCGATGATTGGGTTTGGATCAAACAGCGAGATGCTTGATGGGTTTTCTTCTGTACCGTCGTTCGATCTTCCCCGTACAACCGACGTGAGCTTTAGTTATCGAAATTGAATTTCTTTTTTGGATTCCAGTTTGCAAAGGGTGTTTTTGAATTGTGAATTTGCTTTTTTTTTTTGTTGTTTAGTTTGATGGGTTTCAGAAAGAAGCTGTGCAGATGGTGAAGCCTGCAAAGGGTACAACCACGCTCGCGTTTATCTTTAAAGGAGGTGTTATGGTCGCTGCTGATTCTCGAGCTAGCATGGGAGGATATATCTGTATGTTTTCTCTTGTTGGCTGCTTTGGCTTTTTTGTTGGATTGTTAAACGAATTTATAATCTTTGTTATGTGTTTTCAGCGTCGCAATCTGTGAAGAAGATTATTGAGATTAATCCTTATATGCTTGGTACAATGGCTGGTGGAGCTGCTGACTGCCAATTCTGGCATAGAAATCTTGGAATTAAGGTACTTCAGACTCTAGTTTTGTTAGCTTCGTGAATTAATGATTGGCTCTGTCATTTGCTGTGGCAATAGGTTTCTTATCACTTGTCTAATATAGCTTGTTTATTGATATCCAAATTGCCTTGTTGGAGACTTTGATTTTGTTAGAGCATGTGTCTCTTTGGATTATAGGCATGTATATTTCTGTTTGTTGTGGTGGCTTTAGCTCCTCTGTAATGTGAAGTAAACGTTTATTTATGTTGTGGAGTTGCTGTTGTACGCAAAGGCAATGTATACCAAATCTGCACTAAGCTGGAACTATGTGTGGTTGATTTGTTCTATTCGCAGTGCCGTCTACATGAACTGGCAAACAAAAGAAGAATCTCTGTTTCAGGAGCATCAAAGCTTCTTGCCAACATGCTCTATTCATACCGTGGAATGGGACTCTCTGTCGGCACAATGATTGCTGGATGGGATGAAACAGTAAGTTCCTTTCCCTGTCGATAATTTCACTCAACAAAGCTAAAATTGTAACAACTTTTGTTTGGATTAGGGCCCTGGATTGTACTATGTGGACAACGAAGGAGGACGGCTCAAAGGAGACAGATTCTCTGTCGGTTCCGGTTCACCATATGCTTATGGTGTTCTTGATAGCGGGTACGGTCTAGAAAACATCATTGTCTCAGCTTCTCTTTTAGTCCAATCCCAAACCAAAATCTGATTCTTGAGTCTTGACTTGTTCAGATACAAATTCGATATGTCGGTTGAAGAAGCCTCGGAATTAGCAAGGAGATCGATCTATCATGCTACATTCCGTGATGGAGCTAGTGGTGGAGTTGCTAGCGGTAAAGAACAATCCTTTCTTCTTTATGATATCAAGATTGTATAGTTTTTTTGATGTTTGTATTGAACTTTTTTCCCAAAATGTTTTGTAATCAGTGTACCACGTTGGGCCTAAAGGATGGACGAAGCTTTCCGGAGACGACGTTGGCGAGCTACATTACCATTATTACCCTGTGGCTCCAGCTACCGCCGAACATGAGATGGTGGAGGCCGCTGAGTAAATATTCTCCATAGCTTTTAAGAGATTTATTTACTTCACTCCTGCTTCGTTATTCCTATGAACAGAGTCATAGATTCATGTTTCCTTTTGTATTGCGATTGATGGAGACTTTTAAGGTCTGGCCACCAGTATCCGTGGCCATATTAGAACATTAGGGTATCTGGGGATTGCATGCGAATAAATGAAAATTGATTGATATTTCGGATCAGGTTGGATGATAGATATCGTGTATGTTTTGTTTTCTTTCCTTTTTTTGCCATGGTATTTGTTTTAGAGTTATTTACATCTAAAGGCACTTATGAATTTAAAACTTACAATAAAGGCACTTGTTGCTACCAGGTGACTTTGAGGGGTTGGAATTACTAAATGACCCTTACTTTAACTCACAGTAATCCACCGTTTCACCTTCTATGATTTTTATTGTCCAAATTTCACTTTCGAGCCGTAAAGGAGAACCGCCGAGTGACGAAAACCCTAACCCGTCGTCTCCGTCAATTGTCGACGCCGTATTTCCTCACCTTCTCCACAGAATCACTAATTTATCGAGTTCTGTGTGTCCATCGTTCGAATAGGCAGGCGTGTGTTGATCCGGTGAACTTAAAAGCGAGTCCGTAGGTGACGAAGGAATCCGCCGTCTTATTTTGAAGCGTAATGGAAGGTAACTAGTGTTTGTCAGGCACGTTAGCAAATTGAATGGGTCAACTTTGAATGACACTTTTTCCCGTAAAGTGGTTGGCTCCCTATACGCAAGGTTATAATGGTTACTATAACTTATTAAGAAAGACATGCCATCCACGACGTCGTGAACAGATAGACTATGTTGAACGTACTTGCAGACCGTTTGTAGTATTCGGATATCTCCCGTGTACCATATACATGAAATTCCTTATTCCTGCAATCCGTGGGTACTCCTCCCGATGGTTTTACATTTGTGTCCAGAGGCTTTAGTTGGAGGTGTATAGGTATAATGTATGTAAGTGTAATTACACCTTTAGCGAACAATTAGGCCAGTGGCGCTTAGCAATCCACGATCAACAATCCATGCGGATGGTTCAATACAGACTATACTTGGGGGTGTATAAGTGTAATGTACGTATGTGTAATTACAGTTTTAGTGTATATATTAGGCAAGTCGGTCTTGGTTATCCACGCTTAACCATCCACACGGTTTGTCAGGCACGTTAGCAAATTGAATGCAACGGTGGTGTTTGTGCAGTGAGTGCATGTACGGTTCCGTATGGGCTTGGCTATCCATGATCACCCGTCCACGCGGATAGTTGAATACAGACTTCACTTGGGGGGGTATAAGTGTAATGTACGTATGTGTAATTACAGTTTTAGTGTATATATTTGGCGAGTTATCCACGCTTAACCATTCACTCGGTTTGTCAGGCACGTTAGCAAACTGAATGCAACGGTGGTGTGTGTGCAGTGAGTGCATGTACGGGGACGTATGGTTGCCATGTTAAATGTTCTTCGAGACGACGGTGCGATTGTTATCAGACGACTAGGGTTACGATAAGGTTACGGGCTAATTCTTTAATTCACGACTCATATCGAGGTTACCCCAGAATCACAGCGCTTTCCGGCACTCCGCCGCCTTTTCCGAGTATCTTCCCAGAATCCTCTCGCTTTCCGGCAACTCCGCCGCCTTTTCGGGGTCCCTTCTGCGACAACGGCGGACTTTTGAAATTGTTCCGATAAAAGTTAACGACCTCCGACTACGGCAGACTTCTGATACTCACACATCTCCTCAATGTTCAGACAGTAAAAAAGGGATGAGATAGTAACAAAATAAATGAAGGGTAGAGATGGGATTGCACAACACACATAAACTCGGCAAAGTCACTTGGGAGCAAGAAGTGCCTTTGGCTGATATATCAAACTCATAAAGTGCATTTGTGTGTAATTTTCTCTTTGTTTTACTATGTAGATTCGAGATTCCGAGTATCCAAAATATGTTGCTTAATAGTTAAAATATGCATGCAGCTGAAATTCTCAAAATACAGTAGAAACTCTATAAATTAATAATGTTGGGACTTTGATATTTTATTAATTTATAGAGTTATTAATATATAGATTTTGACTACAAATATTTTCCAAAAAATAAAATTCAATATTAAATCAGAAATTTCCTTTATATGTATATTTTCTTAACTTTTTTTCTGATGTTTCTATATTTACTTTATTCTTCACATTTTATCATACTTGCCATATTATATAAAATTCCTTTTTTACTTTTAATTTTCATTTATGTTTGGTATGTGAGAGATTCATATTTTAGTAGTTAGATATTTTAGGTGTATATATATAAATAAAAATAATTATTAATTTATGATTTTATTGGGACCATATTTTACATAGGAGTTTAAACAAAGTTATTATCTTATTATCTTATTGAATTGTGTCATATTTTACACCAGCCCAACTTGGGACCAGAGAAATTTATTAATTTATCGTGTTTATTAATTTATCGAGTATTAATTTATAGGGTTTCTACTGTATTACAAATTTGTTACTAAATAGTACCCATGATATTTTGAAATATTTTACTAGTGAAGATATATCTCTGAAAAAGTAGAAATTTACATGTGGAAGTTTGGAATAGTTCATAGAACTTTTTTTTTTTTAATATTTAAGTGGGTTATTTGATGAACTAGGTAACTTGGTCAGTCATCTTTATATTATTAATTGAGAAGTACATTCTAATGTTTGGATACAAGAATTAGAGAAACATCTATTTGGATAGAAGAATAAATGGAAACAAAAGTTGTTTGGATATAAGAATAAGAGAAAAATCTATTTGGATAGAAGAATAAATGGAAAAAATTGTTTGGATACAAGAATAATAACTTAAAATAAACCGATGGTTTAGAAAACTTCCGTTTTCCATCTCTTAAAAATCTGCAAAAAAGAAAACTTAACATAATCTAACGATAATTCCAAATCAATAGAATATGCTTTTTGGATTTTCGGGTTTTTATAGACAAGTTCGGGTTTGGGTGAAAATCTGAGACATAATTTTATAGAGATATATATAGAGATATAGAAATTGTTCGGGTTTCTTTGAAAATTTCTGTTCGGGTTAGGTTCAATTTTTTTTTTCAGTTTAGGGTTTTCCGGATTTTTTAGATTTCTGGTTTTCGGGTTTAGATATATTAAAAAAATTGAGTATTTTAAAATTTTGATTAGGTATTGGGGTCGGGTTCCGGGTGAAAAAGTTTCCAGATTTTTTTTGTTCAGTCAGGGTTTTCGGGATTTTTTTGATTTCGGATTTTCATGTTTAGACCTATTAAAAAAGTTTGGGTTTTTAAATTTTTTGATTAGGGTTTTTTGTCGGGTTCGGATTTAGGGTTTAAATTTTCTACACAAAACAACAACGTCACACCGCACAAACGTGCGGGTACTCTACTAGTAAACTAGTTTAAATTGGAAGACAGAGAAGAAAATATATTATTCCGCACTGCATCAGGGCTGGGTCTTTAGGTTAAAATACAAAAATTTGGGTCTCTTTCATCACTGAGTACTAGCTAATTTCATATTAGAACAAACAATTACTAGCGTTTAAAGTATATTATCCAGAAAGAAATTCATACTTGTTGAAATTATAAAACTAGAGTTAAATAAGTGTACTTGATTAACTTTAATTGAAAAAAAAAACCATTTAATTCAATTTTGTTTGAGAATTTGTCAAACTCCCTTTGAAGAAAAAGATCATTAAAACATGAAACATCTAGAAACTTTGAGTTATATTAACCAAATGTTGTTGGTGTAGTTTGCACTTGAATAAGAGTTGCATAACACAAAACTTAACTAATAGACTATTCTAGCTATGCTTTAATTGAGAAAACATCATAATAAAAGTAAATTGCATAAAAAGGTAAGTGAAAGATATAAATGTGTTCGAATTCTTCTCTCAAACAAACATAAAAGCATAGTTCTCTCCCCAAAAGTTTAGAACATGTCTCTTTTGAAATCTCAAAAGAAAATAAGATATGATCAGTTTTAATAATGGCTCTCAGCCTCTCACAGTCTAAAACACGAAAGGGATAAATATGCAAAAAAGTGAAACGTTTGGGCCAACATGAAAATCTCCAAAAGTCTTTAAAACTTGGCTGATGTTTTTGTGAATATGTGGTGTCAACCGACTTACCGACACCAAACGTTTTGCTTGTATGTGACTTGATATTTTCATCATCTCCATCTTAACTCTAAAATGTTCTGATGTCTCCAATTGAAATCCAAAAAAAAAATAAACATGTAAAACTCGAAAGATACAAAAAAAACTCTAGACAAAACCTATATCATAGTTAAAAACCGTAGAACTTTAGATTTTGGAGACATATACTTGTCAGTAGTAGCTAACTTTAAAGTATAAATATATTTTGTTGCATATACTTCTCTTTTAGGAAATCTAATTTTTGAAACTGATTTTTTTTCTTTTTTTGATAACTCAGGTTTCCGATCCGCATGCAGTTTTGGACGTGAGTCGTTTGGCATTCTCTGAATAGACGCCACAGGTAAGTGACGACTAGCGCTGTATTCAAGGAAACCGGCATGGTCTTAGAGATCCGGAGGAATCATGTGAAAACCCCGGTGGGCAACGGGGATTGAACTGTGGACACCATTTTTTTTTTTTCGAAAAACCTGTAGACACCATTGTAAAACTGATTGAGATCTTGAAACTGATTTTGTTACTAAACTTAACTGTTTTGGTCGTTAACTCGGGCGTCATTAGTTATTTTCATTTTTAAAAAGACCAATGGCTTCGTGGAGTCTTCATTTTTTAAATGATGAAGCTTTGCAGAATATGCAGAGGGTAAAAAGACAAAATTTAAAAGACATGACAAAGGTGTAGACACGATTAAAAGATAGTTGATTGGTCAGTATATTTATTGAAGCTTTGCAGAATATGCAGAGGGTTAAGACAATACTCAGAAGACATTCTTAACATTCATACAATCATATTCATACCAAAAGAAATTTAGAAGACACGACAAAGGTGTCGACACGATTAAACGAGAAAAAGAATTGGTTTGCGTGGTTGAGATTCCAATGTACTAATGACTAATGCATAAGGAGTAGACTTTTTCCCACTCAACTTCCATTTAAAATTGGTTGTTAAAATAAAATAAATGTAACGGTCAGATAATAATTTATAGTATCTAATTATCTATATACGTGTTTTGATGTTTGTATTTCGCATATCTAAATTAGAAATACTAATGCGTATCTGTTACAAAAACAAACGCTAATTAAATTAGATACGTACACAAATGGAAATACGAAACAAACACGAGTGCTGACTAGTTTCCATAATTAAATTGTATTTCTCTAAACGATTTATATTGTGATTAATTTTATTTCAAAGTTGACATTAAAATTGCCGTCTTAGCTCAGTGGTAGAGCGCGTGACTTTTAATCCCGTGGCCGTGGGTTCGATCCCCACAGACGGCGATTTCTATTATTATTGTATTTTTTGATGCGAACTTAGATCTCGGTTTATCTGGATTATCGAACTACTTTTATAAAAACTATAAAAGCATGAACTTATACGTCACGTAACAAATGGCTAATATATTGTATAGAAACTCTATAAATTAATACTCGATAAATTAATAAAATCTTCCGGTCCTGAGTTGGGCCGGTGTAAAATATGACATAATTCGATAAGATAATAAGATAATAATGTTTTTGAAACTCCTATGTAAAATATGGTCCCAATAATATCATAAATTAATAATCATCATATAAAAAATTATATATATATATATATCATTAAAATATTTAAATACTAAAATATGATTTCTCACACACCCAACATATATGGAAATGAAAAGGAAAACTGAATTTAAAAAAATATGGCAAGTATGAAAAAATTTAAACAATAAAATAAATATAGAAATATTAAATACTTTAAGAAAATATATTATAACTGAAAGTTCTTATTTAATTTGTATGAAAATTTAAAAGATTATAAGTATTAAATTTTCATTTTTTGAAATTTTTTTTTTAGTCAAAACTTATATATATTAATAACTCTATAAATTAATAAAATATCAAAGTCCCAACATTATTAATTTATAGAGTTTCTATAGTTGGCTAATGGCACGATTCTTCTTCATTTGTCATTTTTTTCTTTTTTGTTAGTCTCTTTTTCTATAAGTAGAAAAATGTTCTGCAAATAGTTAGCAATATTAGTCATAGTCGTCGTCAATTAGACTGGGTCATTCATGTGTGCATTTTCTTCGAAACTTCATTAACCAAATTACTTTCCAAAAGTAAAATCTATAAAAATGGAAATTAAAAGGAGAGTTGAAAACAGAGGAATAGAACAAAAATGTGTGTGTATATAAATAAACGCATGAGCTTTCTTCATCATCACTCCGAAAACTTGACACACACGTTATACAAGAAAAAAATATGGCTACGACTACGATTTGGTTTCTATCACTTCTCTTTCTCCCCAGTTTTCTTCTCGCCCTCTTCAAACACAAGAACCGGCGGCGGCAACATCAACGGAAACCACCATCTCCTCCTGGCTTTCCGATCATCGGAAATTTGCACCAGCTTGGCGAATTACCACATCAGTCTCTATGCAGACTCTCCAAAAAGTATGGTCCAGTTATGTTTTTGAAGCTTGGTACAGTCCCAACTGTCGTTGTTTCTTCCTCTGAAACAGCAAAACAAGCTCTGAAAGTATATGACCTCCATTGTTGTAGCCGTCCTCCATTGGCAGGTAGCGTAACTCTCACTCAACAAATCTTAAGTTGTTTTTCTTTCTTTTTTCCCTTTATTCATAGGATTTAACTAAATCAAATGATTCCTCAGGGACGAGAGACCTCTCTTACAATTATCTGGACATCGCTTTCTCTCCTTTTGATGATTACTGGAAAGAGTTGAGGAAGATGTGTGTGCAAGAACTCTTCAGTGCTAAACGAGTTCACTTAATTCAACCCATCAAGGACGAAGAAGTCAAGAGACTGATCGATTCAGTCTCGGAATCAGCTTCTCACAAAACGCCGGTTAACTTGAGTGAGAAGTTTCTTGATTTAACTGTAAGCGTGATATGCAAGGCAGCTTTTGGTTTGAGTTTCCATGGAACTGTTCTCAACACTGACAGATTCGACAAGTTAATCCGTGAGGCTTTCTTGTTCTTGGGGAGCTTCTCTGCCTCAGATTTCTTTCCAAATGGTGGTAGGGTCATCGACAGGCTCACGGGTTTACAAGGGCGGAGAGAGAGAAGCGTGAGAGATCTCGATGCGTTCTATGAGCAAATGTTTGATCTGCATAAACAAGGAAACAAAGAAGGAGTTGAAGATTTCGTGGACTTGCTCTTGAGGTTGGAGAAAGAAGAAACTGTTCTTGGATATGGCAAGCTCACAAGAAACCATATCAAAGCAATCTTGATGGTAACTATATAAATAAAGATTTGCAATCCAATATATTGTAAGATAATAGTTAAAAATTCTATAATAATTTCTTATCTTATCACAGAACGTTCTTCTTGGAGCCATCAATACTTCTGCAATAACAATGACATGGGCAATGGCAGAGCTTATGAGAAACCCTAGAGCAATGAAGAAAGTTCAATCTGAAATCAGAAACCAAATCGGTAGAAAGTCAACGATCAGCTTGGATGATATGGAACAGCTCCAATACCTGAAAATGGTGGTCAAAGAAACATGGAGACTACATCCTCCAGCACCTCTTCTTGTTCCAAGAGAAGTGATGTCTGAATTTGAGATCAATGGCTACAAGATTCAACCCAAGACAATGCTTTACGTGAATGCATGGGCTATCGGGCGTGATCCTGATACATGGAAAGACCCTGAGGTGTTTCTCCCAGAGAGGTTTATGGATAATGACATTGATGCAAAAGGACAGAACTTTGAGCTGTTGCCATTTGGAAGTGGCAGAAGACTCTGTCCTGGAATGTACATGGGGACAACGATGGTGGAGTTTGGTCTAGCTAACATGTTGTCTCAATTTGACTGGAAATTACCAGAAGGCATGAACGTCGAAGATATCGACATGCAAGAATCTCCTGGACTCACTGTGGGCAAAAAAGTCGATCTTTCACTTGTTCCTGTGAAGTATTGATGTTGGATCATTGATCACTTGAGCCAAGTTCTTCACAAGGTTATAAGATAAAATGTAGTGTCGATTGTACCGAAATAAAACGTGTTCCTTCGTTTCTCATCGTATTAATCCATAAATATTGAGTCGTCGACTTACTGGATAGAAATCTATATTATAATTACTGATTTTATTAATTTTTCGAGAAATGATGTTAATTTGGGGTATATCTTTGGGTTTTTCGTTACATTGAGTTGTTAAAAAGAATGCAATAATAGCAACTACGTACATGGTGGCATGAATAGGGTTATTAGTTATTACATGACCTCCTTAAACAACCTTAACGCCCAATTAATTTTGAGACAATGATTTAGCGTTGTTTTCATATTATATTAAATGGAGTTGTTTCAAAAAGAAAGCACGAACCGAAACGAGTTTATTTTTGAGAAATGAATCTAATTGGCATTTCACCAAATTAAGACTCTGTTTAAAAGGAGCAAAAAGAAACAATATACATTCGAAAAATATCCATATATAACAAGATATTAACCAATCAAATTTATACAAAAGAAACAACCCAACCTTAGCCGATAATTGATAACAAAAACAATTTCTTGTTATTAGATTCCTTCTAACAGTTCATGGGAACTTAGCTCTATATAAGCAGATAAAATGGCCAACAATACTCATTGTGTCTTGGAAAAAAGTATTTACAAATAACACACTTTGCTCTTTGCCAATTACCCTAACAAAATAAAAGATGGTCATTGCTTCTGCTTTAAGGCTTTGTGTTGTCTCTTTTGTTCGTCGCCGTTGCAAGTCGTCCAACTGTCACACCAAAGGTTTTCAACGTCCGACGCTATGGTGCTAAATCTGACGGAAAAACTGATAACGCCAATGTATGTACATACAATTTTCTTATTTAGATTTTAATTTTATTTTTTATAATATAGTTTTTATTATATATTTGTTTAATAACTAAATTTCTCGAGTCTCGCTCATAATGCATATACGATGTTATAGGTGTTCACAAATGTATGGAAAAGCGCATGCGCAAGAGGTGGAATAGTAAAATCTACGTACCAAAAGGAACATTCTATCTCGGTGGTGTAGAGTTTGTGGGGCCATGCAAAAATCAGATTGAATTCGTCATCGATGGAACTTTATTGGCTCCTTCAAACCCTAGAGATATTAAGCAGGACACTGGATCAACTTCAGTACATCAACAATCTATATATCTCCGGTACCGGTACACTCGATGGTCAAGGGAAAAGTCTTGGCCACTCAATGACTGCCACAAAAACACCAATTGTCCTAAACTAGCTATGGTACCATCATTTCTTAATCTTTTATATATTGCTTTAGTATGATTATTATTTGCATTTAAATATTACAAAATTGACCATGGGTAGTTCAATTTTTATTTATTCAAATTCTGTATCTTACTTATATGTAGTCTAGCTAATCTTGAATTTTTTAATAGAACATGGGATTTGCATTCGTGAACAATTCAAGAATCGATGGGATAACATCACTCAACAGCAAAATGGGACACTTAACTTCTTCTCCGTCCATCACTTCAACATTACTGGCGTCACCGTAACAGCTCCCGGCGATAGCCCAAACACCGACGGTATCAAGTTCGGTTTCTGTAGCAACATTCGCATCTCTAACACAAACATTGGTACTGGAGACGACTGTATCGCCATTCTTTCTGGAACCTCAAACATGGATATCTCTAACGTCAAGTGTGGTCCTGGACATGGGATTAGTGTCGGAAGCTTAGGGAAGAACAAAGCGAGAAAGACGTTAACGGCATAACAGTACGTGACACGGTCTTTAACGGCACAAGCGATGGTATTCGGATCAAGACTTGGGAATCTTCTGCTGCAAAGATCGTCGCTTCTAACTTTGTGTTCGAGAATATTCAGATGATTAATGTTGGAAAACCAATCAACATCGATCAGAAGTATTGTCCTTACCCACCTTGTGAAAAGACGGTTAGCTTTCTACACAAGAAACAAAGTCTATTTTTTTTTTCATCACACGAAACAATAACTAAAGAAAAGAAAATTGTGTGTTTGTTTTCTTTCAGGGAGCGTCTCACGTTCAGATAAAGGACATTAAGTATAAAAACATATATGGGACGTCGAAGAACAAAGTGGCAGTGAATCTACAATGTAGCAAGAGCTTTCGTTGCAAGAATGTTGAGCTAATTGACATTAACCTTAAGCATAACGGAGTCGAGGGTGGTCCTTCCACTGCCGTGTGCGAGAATGTTGATGGTTCTGCTCGTGGTAAGATGGTTCCTCAGCATTGTCTGGCTTGATTGGACGGTCGGCTGATGACCATATCTTGTATTTTATATTTTTATTTTAGTACACAATATGTAATAGTTGACTTTCAGTTACGAGATTGAATGAGCAGGCATCGCCAAGTTATATGTTTCATCTGTGTTCATTTGACAATTTAATGTTTATGTCGTAGATTCTTAAGAAGATAAGAGATGAAGATTAACTATTCAATTACCTAAGGATGGCTTTGTATATGTTTTAGGCCAATTAGGAATTATCATCTGCAAAATGTTTAATCCTCGCCTACTATACGTAATAGCTTAATAGTCTCTCTGTCTTGGCTTCTTTCTTCTTAACTTGTGATCATATGCTTTTTCTTCTCCATGCTCCTGCAACTTTGTGAAGAAAACAAAGTCTTAAATTTTGTGAGAGTGAGAGTGAGAGTGTGTTAGTGAGAGTGTGTGAGATATTTCCGGACCAAGGACCGGGCCTAATTTGAATAATATTTTTATTACGAAATATGCAGTATCACAACCCATATCCTTAAAAACTCTATTCGATTGTGTTAGTTTATGCTTTGTTTTTTTGGGGGTCAAACTCGTTTTTACTTGGAAGGTCACTGAAATACAAGTTTAGAATTTTGATTGTTAGTTTAATTATATATATATATATATATTATGTGTGGTTTTGGCTCAAGCCGCTTAACTATAATCACTAACTATATATATATATATAGCACAGATTTATTTGAAAAAAGAAACCATAGTGAAAAGAAAATTTACAGTTTGATGATACTAATCCGACTTAGAACGATACATGTATAATGCACTTTTATCTAAGTATAGATGATCCTGGCCATTATCCACTAAAACCGTAACTGTCTCTCTCGAGTGCTTCCTCTCTATGGTTTCCAAATCAGAACACACTCCCTTCTCATTCTCTGATACTTGGTATAACTCAACCCAACCGACCTGGTTTGATATCAATCTTGGTTCATCTCATTCTGATACATTCCAACTATAACTCATTAGTACTTTACTTTTGGTCTTTCTAAACACTTGGACTTTGGCCTTGTAATATTTAATTCTCATGCATTTAGATAGAAAAAGTTATATAAAAAAGTGGGATAACTCATATCCCAAAATCCAAAAAAGTACTGACTCCATATCCAACCCTACTATGGAAAAAGTATATTAAGATATTCAAAATTGAATTATTTTCTGTAGTTGGCTCAGCTGTCGGTGTCCCTCGTGATTAACGTCTTTCATGGCTTTGTCGTGTATTTTTCGTTTATTTGTGTTCGTATTTCTTTTAGTTTTATGGTTACTACTTACTATATGAATGAAGGTTTGCAATTAGACTCTTTTGTGCGATCTCTTCGAAACTTGAAGTAAATATGTCTCCTATTTGGTTTCTATCACTTCTATTGCTCACTTGTCTTCTTCTCGCCGCCTTCAAACGAAAGAAGCAGCAACGAGGACCACCATCTCCACCTGGTTTTCCGATCATCGGAAACTTACATCAGCTCGGAGAATTACCACATCAATCTCTATGGAGACTCTCCAAAACGTATGGTCCAGTGATGTTCTTGAAGCTTGGAAGAGTCCCAACGGTCATAGTTTCTTCCGCTGACACAGCAAAACAAGCTCTGAAAACACATGACATCCATTGTTGTAGCCGTCCAAGCTTAGTAGGTAACGTTACTCTCACTCAACACATCTTAGATTTTTGTTCTGTTATTTTTTATTTTTTTATTTTTTATTTATTTCACTACTCAAAACATTTAAGGACTCTATAAATTGTTTTCAATTTCACAGGGCCAAGAGAGCTCTCTTACAATTATCTGGACATTGCTTTTGCTCCATTTGATGATTACTGGAAAGAACTAAAGAAGATGTGTGTGCAAGAGCTCTTTAGTGCTAAACGAGTCCACTCGATTCAACCAATCAAGGACGAGGAAGTCAAGAAACTGATTGATTCAGTAGCCGCATCAGCTTCTCAGCAGACACCGGTTAACTTGAGCGAAAAGTTTCTTTCTTTAACTGTAGGCGTGATATGCAAGGCAGCATTTGGTGTGAGTTTCGACGCAACGGTGCTCAACAATGACAGATTTGACAAGTTAATCCGGGAATCATTTTTGTTCTTGGGGAGCTTCTCTGCCTCAGATTTCTTTCCTAATGGCGGCCAGATCATCGACCGGCTCACGGGTTTACAAGGACGGAGAGAAAGAAGCGTTAAAGATCTTGATACGTTCTATGAGCAAATGTTTGATCTGCATGAACAGGGAAACAAAGAAGGAGTTGAAGATTTTGTGGACTTGCTCTTGAGGTTGGAGAAAGAAGAAACTGTTCTTGGATATGGCAAGCTCACAAGGAACCATATCAAAGCAATCTTGATGGTAACTATACATATACAAAGATTTGCTGAATCATTAATACCTGAGGATTTATTATTATTATTTTTTTCTAATGATCATTTGACAGAATGTTCTTATTGGGGCCATTGGTACTTCTGCGATAACAATGACATGGACAATGACAGAACTTATGAGGAACCCGCGAGCGATGAAGAAAGTGCAATCCGAAATCAGAAACCAAATTGGGAACAAATCAGTCATTACCTTGGATGACACAGAAAAGCTCCATTACCTGAAAATGGTGATCAAAGAAACATGGAGGCTACATCCTCCAGCACCTCTTCTGGTTCCAAGAGAAGTAATGTCTGAATTTGAGATCAATGGTTACAAGATTCAACCCAAGACACGGCTTTATGTGAATGTTTGGGCTATCGGGCGTGATCCGGATACCTGGAAAGATCCGGATGTGTTTCTCCCTGAGAGGTTTATTGATAATAACATTGATGCAAAAGGGCAGAGTTTTGAGTTGTTACCGTTTGGGGGCGGCAGGAGACTTTGTCCAGCAATTTACATGGGGACAACAATGGTGGAGTTTGGTCTTGCCAATATGTTGTATCATTTTGACTGGAAATTACCAGAAGGCATGGGGGTTGAAGATATCGACATGGAAGAATCTCCTGGACTCAATGTGAGCAAGAAAAATGAGCTTCTACTTATTCCTGTGAAGTACTTAAACTAAGTCTTTCATGTGATTACAAAATAAGTTGTAGCATCGTTTGTACTAAATTAAACTACATCTGGTCATGTTCCTTTGTTTCTTGTTGTGTTATATGAAATAGAAACTGAGAACAAGAAAAAAAGATGTAGAGAATCACAAAGTTCAATGATTTGTAAACCTGAAGTCCAGTTTTCCCTTATATTGGTTTAAATGATCTCTACATACTCGATAAGTAAAATCGTCAAGACTGATTTTTGACTCGACATTGACCAAACTTTAGATAATTGTGTCTCCAGAATATATAGATAATTGTTAACTTTAATAAATATTTTTATAATTGGGTCTATATCATTATTCATTACTTTAGTGAGTAGACAAACCAACGAAGCTAGTGGCGTTTTAAATATGAAGCACCACCTTTCAAGTGCGTGTGCAGAAATTAAGAAATTAATCAGAAAATAAGTAATTCGTACTTGGAAAAACCATAAAAGAAAATCACATGATTGACTTTAATTGAAAAAAAAAAAATCCATTTGATTCAATTATACAAGTTTTGTTTGGTGCCTTTATTTTTGTCAATTTGTTTTTTCGATTGAAAAGATCATTAAAATATATCTGGAAGATGCCGAAGAAACGCCCAAAACCTGAAAGATTCTTGAAGGAAGAACTAAAATATCAAAGAAGAAATGACTAAGTGTACAAGGTTCCAACAGGCGGGAACAAATGATTGAGATGTAGCAAGTCAATGAAATGTATGTAATAGATGAATGAAAATATGATTTTTTATTTCTTTTTGAATACCGCGAAGTTTCTGAAACTTGTACATCTCCATGGACCACTAGGTTAGTGATAATACCAAAATATTGCGTAAATTATCCCCAAAGAGGTAAAACCTTGGTTGCAAACGAACCAACTCATTGCAATAACTACTAGGCCACCACACCTTTGGTGAAGATATGATATTTTTTTTTCAAAGTTAGTCGGTTAAAGTTAAACAAAATAAAATTCGAGTCATTATAAATTCGGAAAACCAATGGTTAGAAAATTTATATATTCATCTTATTACGTCAATTTAGATATGTTGAATCAGATGCCAAAAAAAAAAAAAAAAAAAAAAAGATATGTTGAATCAATTTTTTTTATATTTTATCGACGTTTGACGTAATTTCTGGAGGTCTTCAAGATAATATTTTTATGGTATGGATTTATCGGTCCCAAAATTTATGTAACCATTATAGTAGTTTTACATAGATTTACGAAGGCAAAAGAAAAATCAATTTGGTTGGTTTGTGTTGTGTTGCAATTTCCCTGTATTTACAGTTTTAAAATGTAGTAAAATAATTATTAAAACATTACTATATAAAAGAGGACTTGTGGTATAGTAGTTGGATTGGTTGCATGTGTGATTAGAGGGCTAATTAGTTCAGGGGACATGCCTTCTCAGCCATTAGTAATGTGTTCTTGTGCATGAAGTTGTTTTGACAACTAAGATACGTATTTGTCAACACCATGGTTTTGAATTACAAAACCACTTTGTCCTTTTTTCCTCTCCAACTTCTTCTCTCACTTCATACATACGCTCAATTCTTTCTAGAATTAGCTTAATCTTCATCTCCTCCTCCATCAGCCACTGCCACCTTTCCTCTTTCGACTTCTACAACGTTTTCAACTTCATGCTTTCATTCCCTCTTTCGACTTCTAAAACAAAGAAATGATCATATATATGAGAAATGTGTATATGTAAAAACACAAGCTTCTTTCATCCTTCAAGACTACTTGAGACATACGCTACACAGCACATATGGCTCCTATTTGGTTTCTGTCAATTCTCTTCCTCAGCTGTCTTCTTCTCGTCACTTACAAACGCCAGAAGCAGCAACGACGACCACCATCTCCTCCAGGTTTTCCGATCATCGGAAACTTACATCAGCTCGGAGAATTACCACATCAGTCTCTATGGAGACTCTCCAAAAATTATGGCCCTGTCATGTTTCTGAAGCTTGGAAAAATTCCAACGGTCATAATTTCTTCTGCTGATACAGCTAAGCAAGCTCTGAAAATCCATGACATTCATTGTTGTAGCCGCCCAAGCTTAGTAGGTACTCTCAAAGACCACATACTAAAGTTTTGTTTTTATAATTTCTCAATTGATAGGATTTACTAATACTTGTACCCTGATTAATTGTTGATAATTTCCCAGGGCCAAGAGAGCTTTCTTACAACTATCTGGACATTGCTTTCGCTCCCTTTGATGATTACTGGAAAGAACTAAAGAAGATGTGTGTGCAAGAGCTCTTTAGTGCTAAACGAGTCCACTCGATTCAACCAATCAGAGACGAAGAAGTCAAGAAACTGATTGATTCAGTCTCGGAGTCAGCTTCTCAGAAAGCACCGGTTAACTTGAGCGAGAAGTTTATTGCTTTAACTGTAAGCGTGATATGCAAGGCAGCGTTTGGTGTGAGTTTCCACGCAACTGTGCTCAACAATGACAGATTCGATAAGCTAATGCGCGAGTCATTTTTGTTCTTGGGGAGCTTCTCTGCCTCTGACTTTTTTCCTAATGGCGGTTGGATCATCGACTGGCTCACGGGTTTACAAGGGCGCAGAGAGAAAAGTGTGAGAGATCTTGATACGTTCTATGAACAAATGTTTGATTTGCATAAACAGGGAAACAAAGGAGGAGTTGAAGATTTTGTGGGCTTGCTCTTGAGGTTGGAGAAAGAAGAAACTGTTCTTGGATATGGCAAGCTCACAAGAAACCATATTAAAGCAGTCTTGATGGTAACGTTACATATATAAAGATTTACAGTCCAATCGTAATATATACAGAAACATTAATATAGCTCAAGGTTTTAAATTTTTCACAATGATCTTATAACAGAATGTTCTTATTGGGGCCATTGGTACTTCTGCAATAACAGTGACTTGGGCAATGACAGAACTTATGAGAAACCCACAAGCGATGAAGAAAGTTCAATCTGAAATCAGAAACCAAATGAGGAGAAAATCAGTGATCAGCTTGGATGACACGGAACAGCTACGTTACCTGAAAATGGTGATCAAAGAAACATGGAGGCTACATCCTCCAGCACCTCTTCTGGTTCCAAGAGAAGTTATGTCTGAATTTGAGATCAATGGCTACAAGATTCAACCCAAGACACGACTTTATGTGAATGCTTGGGCTATCGGGCGTGATCCGGATACCTGGAAAGATCCAGAGATGTTTCTCCCTGAAAGATTTGTCGATAATAACATTGATGCCAAAGGACAGAGTTTTGAGTTGTTACCGTTTGGAAGCGGCCGAAGAATCTGTCCTGGAATTTACATGGGGACAACAATGGTGGAGTTTCTTCTTGCGAATATGTTGTATCACTTTGACTGGAAATTGCCACAAGGCATGGTAGTCGAAGATATTGACATGGAAGAATCTCCTGGACTCAATGTGAGCAAGAAAAATGAACTTCTACTTGTTCCTGTGAAGTATTTAGCTCATTGATCTCTCATGAAATTACAAAATAAGTTATAGCATCGACTGAAATAAATCAAACTAAATACTCTTGCGTTAATATGCTTTTATTTATTTGCATAGCTATTTGCCTCACAGTTTTTTTTAAAATACTGTTGCTTCTTCTTATATGATCCTATGTCCCAAAAAATTTGTTTCAAATTATAAGCAGTTTTAAGATTTCAATGCAACTTTTGCTTTATTGGAGGTTTTGTGTCCAATTATCTTTTGCAGTTCTTTTCATGATTGGTTAAATTATATTTTATATCTTAAAAACAGGTTTCTTAATTTTTGTGTTTTACCTTAAATTGCTTATATAGTAGGACAGAAGGAGTATATTTTAGGTGATGACAAATGGAGGCTAAAAGTGGTTAAAAGAAACCTAGTAATATTAGTAGCTACTAGGTTTTTTTTAGGTTTTAACGTTCCTTTTAGTAACATAAAATGGTGATACAGTTTTTAAATGTGTTATAATTTTAGATAATAATGTCTATAATAATTGAATAATTTAATATTAAGTTGAATATTTGGTGTTAATATTAACTTATACATACTTCTCTAAATTAATATTAAGTTGAAGTTTTGGTAAGATCAGTTCTGGAAATGATTATGTGAACTATTAAAATCAGTTTTTTTAAATCTAGCGTGAACACCTTCATATAAGTATGTAGCTTCAACTTTTATATAAATATAGATTTAACCAATCCAAACCTTTTTCTAGGCCTAATATTGATAATCGCTAATTCTTAATTTAACAAATTAAGCATGTGTATAAGCCAAAAAGAAAAGAGAAAAGAAAAGAGAAATTTTGGAAATATTTTTTGATGAGTTTTTAATTTGAAAAATACTCTTATTTTTTTTTTTTAGTTTTGAAAAATACTTTTTATATGTGAAATGATTTTGTTTATGATTTTGTTTGATTATGATTTGATTTAACAAATACTCTCATTATCCTGATTTTATTATAATTTTGTTTCATACTTTTCTAAATTAATATTAAGTTGAAGTTTTGGTAAGATCAGTTCTGGAAATGATTATGTGAACTATTAAGATCAGTTTTTTAAATCTAGTGTGAACACCTCATATAAGTATGTAGCTTCAACTTTTATATAAATATAGATTTAACCAATCTAAACCTTTTTCTAGGCCTAATATTGATAATCGCTAATTCTTAATTTAACAAATTAAGCATGTGTATAAGCCAAAAAGAAAAGAGAAATTTTGGAAATATTTTTTGATGAGTTTTTAATTTGAAAAATACTCTTAATTATTTTTTTAGTTTTGAAAAATACTTTTTATATGTGAAATGATTTTGTTAATGATTTTGTTTGATTATGATTTGATTTAACAAATACTCTCATTATCCTGATTTGATTATGATTTTGTTTCATTTTAAAATATTAAACAATCCTAATTATCTGTTTAGATTTTATTAAAAATTCTTTAAAAATATAAAGTTGTTTATATAAATTTTAAATGAGGGTGAGATTAAAATTGTTTATAAAAAGTTTCAAAAGTATTTAAATGTATTTGAAGGTAAACATTACAAATGTAAGATACACTTTTAAAAATTTAATAGTTGAAACTTAAGTTGTTTATATAAAGTTCAAAAAATATTATAATTTGTTTAAAGAAAACATTAAAATGGAATATAGATTTATCCATTTTAAATTTTAAAAATTTATATTTATCTGAAAAAAACTTATTAATTCTATTATTTTTGAATTTCGTTTTAAATTTGTAATTATAATTATTTATTAATGTTTTGTTTAGTCAAAACAGTCTTTTTATATTCAATAAGTGTATTTTTCAAAACAGAAACAAATTATGGTATTTTTCAAAGAATCCCAAAAGAAAAAGAAAAGAAAGAAAGCAATTCCTTGCACAAAAAAATATAAAATAAGAAGAAAGCAATTAAACAAGTTAGAGCATGGAAGCAAACAAGGTTGGCAGGAAGCCAGGAAGTAATGAAACAAGAAAATCAAAATAACAAAGAGGAATCAAGCAAAACACGTTAAACAGTGGAATAAGCAAAGAATAAAAGAACCAAGTTAAGCATGTTGGCAAGCAATTAGAGAAACAAGCAAACAATGCAAGCAATTAAATAAGCAAAGAGAAGAAATTAAACAATATCTTAACATTCATACACAAAAATAATAATAAACAATTAAATTGGCAATGAGAGAAACAAGCAAGCAAATTAAGCAATTAAATAATTAAGAGAAAAAAATTAAGCAATTAAATTGGCAATGAGAGATCAAGCAAGCAAATTAAGCAATTAACTAAGCAATGAGAGAAACAAGCAAGCAAAGTAAGCAATTAGATAATTAAGAGAAAATTAAGCAATTAAATTAGCAATGAAAGAAACAAGCAAGCAATTAAATTAGCAATGAGAGAAACAAACAACTACAGTAGTCAATTAAACAAGCAATGAGAGAAACAAGCAAGCAATTAAATAAGCAAAAGAAGAAATTAAGCAAGTAAACAGGTTAACCGATTAAAGGAAAGAAGAAAGCAAATATGCACGTGTACATGAGTACATGTACGCATGACTGTATGGATGCAGAAATTTGGAGACTTAACTTTCTAAGCCATCAGATATTCGTCCATCAGATATGCTCAAAGTCTCTAACTTTCTAATGTTCTTCACCTCTGTCTCAGCAGCAACCTTGAGATCACTACTAGGTTGAGTTGCTGAACCGGATTCCTTTACAAAAATAAGCACTAACTGTTAAGATATGGGTACTTTTCGATGTTAGAGAAGATAAGCACTTTGTTTATTTCTCTTACCTGCTTCTGGGACCGTTTCTGAGTAGCTTTCTTGTCCATAATAGTCTTCTGTAGAACCTCTTAGAAGAGAAGAATCATCCAGTATGCATGTCTTGCTGCTATGCTCCTTGAAAATCTTTATAATCTTCAAACCCTGCCCCAACTTAACCTAACATGATCCCCCAAAGAAAGATTGAAGCTAACATAACCTGTCATGGATGCACAGCTGGTGCAAACTCTGCAGAGAATAGATTGAGTCTTTCAGTTATAGAGGTTTTAAACTTACACACTCATTCAAATCAGAACAATATTCAGCTTATAACACTGACTTCCATAACAGAAAATTTAGATTAATAAATGGTAGTACACTTGTGATCCTACTGCTGATTGTGAGAGGGCTGTTGAATAAGGATGTGTTGCATTACTCAGTCCCTGTGGATAAACAAGGAGAAATTACCAAATGGTTAATCAGGGCAAAAGGTAAGGAGAATAAAAGGCTGAATACGAGCTGCTCATTAGGAAAAAAAGATATAAACACACGTACTCATGTCATGCCAACACTCTCGGAATTGCTGTGTATTCACTCCCATAAACTGAAAATATTATACAAAAGGTTCTGTATTTTATAGAGATATATTACAAGAATATTTCTAGACAGTACCTCCATAATACGCATTTGGAAGTTAGAAAACAGAAATGGTGGAAGGCTTTCCAATCCATAGCTCCATACTGGTAAACAGCCGTCTGCAAAGATGATGACAATGGCATGATGAGAACTAATAATTCTTTGTCTAGCGTATATATATTATTAGAAACAAGTCAAGAAAGTCATATCTTACCTGATTGGGTATAGTAACTATGACATGACCTCAAACTGGTTAATGTAGTTAGTTGAAACCACATAATACCAAGAGAATCCATGAGGCTCATGGTTCAGAAGCTGGTGCAAGGTCTCAAGCCCTGAACAATATAAACATTTAGATAGAAACGAGATCAATTTCTATATAACTCGTGGTACAATATAAACATGCCAAACTAACTGTCACTGCCAATAAAACTTAACAACAACCAGAATGATGCAAACAGCACGGAGAGAGATCACGCAATGTAATCTAATGGATCTAAATGTTTATAGATGCATATATAACATATAACAAAATCTAGTTGCGAGATGAGAGAACTCTAACCTTTGTGTTTCAAGCATTTGATAAGTTTACCACTTGGATAGTGATAACAAGTAAAGCGTGAAGAGTCTCGGTGGTTAGTAATTCCAGAAAAATCTGGTCTCTTCGCAACTTTTTCTTGAGATAAACTCCAAAACAGCTTCTGAGCTAACATGGAAATCCCCTTTCCCCATTACTTCAAACGCAAGCGGATCCGTTAAAACCACAGGAGAATCATCCAAATTCGTTCGGTTATACACAAACTCCAAATTCATCGCTAGTCTCCTCTCCATAGTACGCATCAACCACACATCCAAAAGTCACAAGATCCGGAACAACGCTCAAACATCTCATATGTTAAAAGAGAGCCATCCTAGAAAACGCAAGAGCCCTGATGTTAAACGTGGTAATGTCAGGAGAGAAACCTGCACCGAGCATGCCAACGAACTCTCTCTGCAAGTTTTTCATCTTAAACTCAGCTGCATATGACAGTAACGCAGCATTCCATAACACGTTTCCTAGGTCTCTTCTTCTACCAAGACCGACCTCTGAACAAAACTCACGCAGCCGATCAAACTTCCTTTGTTTCAAGTACGCTAACAACACAGCTCTTGTTTCTTCTTCCTCGATCAAGAGACTCCAGACTTCTTAAACCTAACATAAGCCTGCTCGGTTTCTTCTAAAGTACCAAAAACGCTGTAGTATCTGAGAACTGCATTAGCAGTGGCAGAGTCTAAGGAGATTCCCTCTGAATCAAATAATACTGTGCAAGAGAATCCATGAGGCTCGTGGTTCAGAAGCTGGTGCAAGGTCTCAAGCCCGGTGCAAGGTCTCAAGCCCGGAACAAGTAAAAACATTTAGATACAAAGGGGATCAATTTCTGTATAACTCAAGGTACAATAGAGTTAGCTACTGAAAAAAAGAAAGTAAAGAGAGAAGAATGATCACAAACCATTGTTCCACATACACAAGGGTTGGTCCATGTGGTAGCGACGTTAATGATGACGAGGATTTGACACAGTTAGTTAGCAAATAAGCAAGAATGTTAAGAATAGAAAGTTGAGTAGTTAAAGAAGAAAGACACAATGTAAGAAATTAAGCAAGGAAGCATGAAACTAATAAGGAAATCAACAACAAGATACAGAAGCAAGTAAGTAAGCTTATTAAATCAACAACAAGTAAGGAAGCAACCAAGGAAGCTAGGAACGAATGAAATCAAGAAAGGAAGCAATCAAGCAAGCAAGGAATGAAATGGAGAAAATAAGTAAGCAAAGAATCAGACAAGGAATTAGAGAAACAGAGAAGAAAGCAATTAAACAATCAATGAAACGGAGAAGTAAGCATCTAAACAATCAAAGAAACAGAGAAGTAAGCAATTAAACAATCACAGAGAAGCAAGCAATTAAACAATCATTGGAAACAAAGAAGTAAGCAAGTAAAAAACGAATCAAAGAGACAGAGAAGTAAGATATTAAACAATCAAAGAAACAGAGAAGTAAGCAAATAAAAAAAGAATCAAAGAAACAGAGAAGTAAGCAAGAAAACAATGAATCAAAGAGGCATAGAAGTAAGTAAGTAAACAACGAATGTGTACAAGTAAGCAAGTATGCAAGCATACATATTTGCATACGCAATGATGTATGTATGAATGAATATGCATTTGGTAAAGTGATTCGAACAACCAAAACAAAACTCTGAGTTTCTAAGATGCGAGTATATTGCTGCTGAAGAAGAAAAGTAAGACAAGATCAAACTCCAAGAGCAAAGTTCAAAGATGAAGCAGAAGAATAACGTTGAAGAGAGCATTCTCCAATCAACCTTGGACAATCAATCCAAAAGAAAGATATAGAGAATCGCAAACTGCTTCCTTCCCATCTCTGAGAAGAGAAAGCACTAATAATCTATGTAGACAGATCAAGCAAAATTTCCGAAACCCTATAGCGCAAAAGAGAAGAGATAGTTACCGATTTCGAACAAAAACAATTGATGAGAAAGGCAATTGTAATATTGATCGGGAAACGGTGATTACCTCTAATTAGGGTTTCGGAAATTGATGCGGAGAATCCATTTTGGTCGCTGAATCTGATTAGAGCAAAACCTAAAATCTAATTCCCTAAGAAAAACACCCAAATCGAGAAGAAACAATTACGATCGGAAACAACAGCGACGAAGAAGAAAGCGATCTACACAGAGAAATTTCGAATTCGATCGAAACCCAAAAGGATATGAGCGTATCCTTTAAACAATTTGACAGAAACATCAAAAATCAAACAAGAAATTAAAAGCGTACTGCTATTTACGGAAGTAGAGAAGAGATTGGGCAGGATGTTGAGGCGGAGAATTCTGGAGAATCCGTTTTGATCGCTGAATCTGATTAGAGTAAAACCTAAAATCTAATTCCGTAAGAAAAACGCCCAGATCGAGAAGAAAAACAATCACGATCCAAAATGACGAAAAACAACAGCGACGAAGAAGAAACCGGAATACAGAGAGAGAGATTTCGAATTCGATCGAAACCCGAAAGGATAAGAGCGTATCCTTTAAACAATTTCACAGAAACATCGAAAATCAAATAAGGATTAAAAAAAAGCGTAGCTGTTATTTACGGGAAGAAAAGAAGGACTAGGCAATAGAGACGACGAAGATCGCCCAGAAAAATACACAGCACAAAGCAGAGAAAGAAAGAAAGAATAAAAAAATCCATGGAATCAATAATATGAACAAATTCGCAACAGCTATGAAAAATCAAATTCAAGTTCCATTTTCTATTCCCGACCGTTTGAATGAAAAAGGAAGAAAAAATACGTCAAAATTCAAAATTCAAAGAATAAAAAATGGCCCGCCCACACACATCGAACCGTTTTTAGAAAGCCAACATATTTTGGGCCTTATCCTTTTAACTCTAGCCCGAAATACAATATCTAATTTCAGCCCAAAACCTCACTTACAGACTCAAAATGGTAGAATCGATTAAATTCACTGCGATGTCGAGTGTCAATGTAGAGTATCAAATTTACTTTGCCACGAAAAGATTAGCATAATAATAATGTGAGTATCGTGAGATCACGAGCAAAGGCATTAGGAGCGTCAGTTTGTCCATCTAAACCCGATTTTAAACCGAAAACAAAGCGTGTTTCTAGGCTAAGTAGCAATCTCTTACGCTTTGGTTACTTTTTCTTGATATGTATGTATTTTCAAAACTTAGCATTAGATGGCAATTTATTTCATACAATATTAATGAATATTACAAAAATGTACAATATTATATTAATTAGTTCTAAAATAAAAAACCACACTATTATCATTTAGTTTTAGGTTGGGTACAATTCTTTCAACAAAAATTGTGTTGGGTACGAATAAAAAATTTTAATCACTAATTTAATATTTATAGGAATTATTCAACACTATTTCCTCTAATTTTTGGGGAAATTTCAAAACTACACATTTTTAGTTGCCAATTTTCAAAAATACAACTCTATCTCTATGGTGTCCATTTTCAAAACTACAATTTTTTCATTAAGTAAAAGAACTCTAAACCCTAAAATTTAACCTTGAACCCTTAAATCTAAACCCTATACCCCCAAAATCTAAAGTCTAGTTTAGGATTAGTGAACCCAAATATATGTATTAAAATTAGGAAAAAAATGTACTTTTGAAAATTGCCACAATATAAGTGTAGTTTTGAAAATTTATACATCAAGAGGTGTATTTCTTAAAATTTCTCCTAATTTTTCACAAAGGTTACTAAGAATCAAATAGAAAAATAGGACAATAACCATTTATACGTTAAAAAAAACATTAACTTTGAGAGTAAATAAAATAACTCAATATATTTGCACTTTGTTAATATAAATTTATTTTATTAAATACCAAGTTTAAAGATCATACTTACAAATATCATATTCCACAAGAATTTCTCCCAGGACCACCATAAATAAAATAGTAACCGAGAGTACTAACCCTATAAAAAGGTACTTTACCGATTCTTAATCCATAACATTTGGTACTATCTAGCAACTGCTCTATAGGAAAAGCATTGATATTCCATCGATGATAATTAAAATCTAAAACTTCAATATTTGTAAAAGCACCGGAATCTGTGATATATCTAGTCGGGAATTTATCATTACCTAATGGTGGGCTTGAACCAGATTGCGAAGACTGAGCCACAGCTCCCACTCCAGTCATATTTGCACCATTATCTAATAGGTTAAATAACTCTTTTGGCCAATAGCCGATATCTACGATAAGTCCTTCTGACATTATATGTTGTGCAACCCACCAATTTCCTGTATTTTTATCCTTTGTATAAAAGGGAAAACATAAAAAAAATTTGTTTAATATGAGAAACATATATATATATATATAATTGATTAATTTTAAAATTCTAAATCATTCAATAATAAGGACTGAGAAAAAAGACATGAGCATACTTGATGGATGAACAAATGAATCCAACCGGCAATACCTGGCTTTAGATCATTGGGTCGAACTATGGGAACATCATGTGAAACTTGTACAAACCCTGAACATGCCATATTGTAACATCCTTTTCTATTTTTACCCTATCAAATCATTTTTATTATTACATGTTTGATCAAGAGACTTCATCATATATAATCATAAGAAATAATTGTTCGCATGCAGACATACCTTCCAAAATCCATAGTTCCAAACACGTCCATCGCCAAACAGACTTGGATTTATCTATTAAAAAACTTGCAATATTTTAAGACTATACTACCCAAAATATTAAATATGTTAACGGATTAAGAGTAGTTATTTTTGACAAAATGTAATACCTACCATTACTCCTGTCGAGATAAAATTGATCTCCTTATTCAGTCCACTGCCTATATATATTTGGTTATACAAGGCTTGATCTTTTCCGATATTTATAACATATCCATTAAACGAAGATTCTACACCATGAAATGGACCATTATGTGATTTTACCCCAGCAATCTACCAAGAAGCAATTATATTAATGATTTCATACTTGAAATATACATATAATCTAAAATTAATGATTAGATCTAACCAACCCTGGCTTTATAGTTTTGAGAGCCTTAGGCAATATATAAAATATGAGCCTTTAATATATAATACAAACACAAATTTAACATTAAATCAATTAGTAAAAAAATGAAATATGTTTAAATACAAAATGCGCCTATGGCATCCACGATGGTCGCCATGCCTCAGAGCCGGCACTGGATCTAACTAAATTTTGTTAAATTTTGTTACGAGATCTAACATATCAACTTGCAAAAATAAAATAATAATATGACATAACAAACATTAAGAGATTTGAGATAAATACTTACATGATTTCCAGGACTCTCGGTTGATAGCGGATGAAAGTATTGCTCAGCAAAATGTTGTGAATTTGTGGTTTCTGGGCATTTTTAATAATATCAAGTGCTATTTCTGTTTTGGCATTTCTAATTTCCGGAGTTTTATCTCCAATTAGGAAGGGGCCGGAGAAACTTTCTAGTTATGAATCCGGTATAGAACCGATCGGGGATGCTTGGTATGAGTAATCAGATGATTCATGAACTTTCTGTTCAAAAAAAATCCACGGAGTGGACAAATTCTTCACTCAGTGAAAAAAAAAATTTGATTTATAGAATAAAGACAATCAGAAATCAAACAGACGAAATTGCAAAAGAAAAAGAAAACCTAACTAATAGTTGTAATAAACCGTGTTATGATTTTCAAATAATTGAGTCAAAAAAAAGTTGGCAAACATTAAAAAGAAAAAATACCCGATTAATTCGTAAATCTTTTTTTTTTTAAATTTTGCATTGAACAACTGTCTCTAGTTGTTTTTTTAGGTATCATTAATATTCCAAGAATTACTACACAACTTGATAAATTCTTTTTTACTTCTCAGTATAGGAACGGTTCCATTTGGGCAACCTATTTTTGGATTATTATTGCGAGTGTGATTCTTGAATTCAATTCTCAAAACTGTTGGTTTAATCTTTTTAAAGAATAAAGTATAGTCAAAATTTATTTGATTCAGAACAACATTTTATAAAAGTAAAATTGTAAGACACAAATTTCTAAGTCAATGCACCTGGATTTTGTGGGTTTTGAGCAAGGGATGATCAAGTCCTGGTTGCTTATAAATATCTATGCAATCATATGTTACATTTCCACCTATCTGTCAAGAATAATAAACAATATTATATATTTTAACAATAATTAATAAATAACAATGTGAACTCAGTCTATGATATATTCTGTTAAAAAAAGATAGTTTAAGATAACATAAGGGAGACAAGTGTTTCAAAATTTGTTTGCAAACTGACTTTGAAGGATCTGAGGGGGACTTTACTTTGATCCGAACGAACTATGGCTGCTGAGAACAAAAAAGTTAGAAGGTTCATAACAAAGGACATCGTTCTAATGGTTGTTGACATTTTATTAGTTTTGTTTCCCCATTAATGAGAGCAACTTCTTGTATTTATATACATTTTACAAATTATGGAAAGATCACTAATACATTGAAAGTCTGAAACGTAAATAGAAATTAATGGAATGATAGTATTTTGACCAGAAACCCAAAAAAAAGAAGATACATTAAATTTCATGTGGAATCAAATTGTTGGAAATTAACGAACCAAGTTGACTTTTCCAAAAGGTGATCAATTATGAGTCCAGAATGTGCATACTCCAGCCACCATCTTGATCCATGGAGTTTTGTTTGAGTGAAGTAGACTAAAATGATTCATTTAAATTCCGATGGGCTTTAAGGCAGAAGCGGTCCTGACCCAAAGCATCTCTTGCGTTTTGTTGTTGTTATTCTCTCGGTAACGTTGAGAATATTATCAGTTTGTAATCATGGAAAATGGGCGGATGATGAATTGATGATAATGAATTTAGGGCCCCATGAATTTACGGTAATAATTCCAAAGTTGATCTCAGTCTTCACTTATACACAGTATTCCTACAAGAACATTCCTGTCATAAGTATGTCACATTTTACCAACTCCTGCTTCTTCTTTTTTTGGTTCTCATCACTTTGAAAGGATTTTTTTCAGCTCATTAACTTGTTCTTGTATTGTTTTTTTTCTTTATTTCGCAGAACTCGGTGAATACTTTGTATAAGTGCATGTTAAAAGGTGCCGCTGACTATCTTGTTAAGCCGGAAGAAATTAGCAGAGCAAACAAAGATATACGAAGAAAGAAATACATATGTCATACCCGAGGCACATTTTGCTGGTAAATCTCGAATCCCCCAAATTCTTTTTACCTGAAAATGCACAAGAAAAAAGAATAAGAAGATATCTTTAGTTCTTTACATAGTGATTCACATTCATCTTCTTAATTGTCGATATAAGCAAATAAAATCAATGCAGATCTCATTGTGTTTTTGTCTTTTCAAATTATGTGTAAACAACTAAATCCTTCAGGCACACAAAAAAAGACAAAATTTATCACCATTTAACCAAGAAGTTGGCATAACAACGAATTTTGAAGGAAGGACAAAAAGAAAAAGGGAATAGAAAAGAATCAAAGATGATTACTTGTACAATAATTTAAAGGACCAACAACAAGAAGCTTTTGGTCAGCGTTTTAAAACACATTAAAATAGGTGTCCAATCTGAGTTGTTGGTCGTGCAAAAAATAAATGATTAATACAACTATTGTATATGATTGGTTTCAATCACGGATTATATGTCATTATTATTCTCATTTTATATATTTGTTGAATAGATTATAGACCGAGACACCTTATCTATGGACCGCGCCTCTGAAAACCCACCGGTCACTCCGTTGATAGCCAGCCTATAGACAAAAGTATCAGATCTTCTGTATCTCTTGTCTTCGTCGTCATCCATCTTTTTCAGTTTTTGAAATGGTCTTATCTTCGTCATCAACAATATTCTTCGTCTATAAAAATAATTATATTGTTTTTGCATGGAATAAAATAAAATTATCTTCTATTCTCAAAACTGAAAAATAAAAGAGTAGGTGTGTTGTGAGCTTTCCTACCTACGAGTCTCCCAATAACGTTATTTCAACACGAAATTTGGTGTTAATGGCTAACATTTGGCTTCACATTTTCTAATCAATCAGCCATCACATTAGATTATTAATGGCTAACATTTGGAATTGGCTTCTCTCACTTCTCTTCCTCATCGGTATTCTTGTCGCCGCCTTCAAGCACAAGAACCGACGGCAACATCGACGGAAGCCACCGTCTCCTCCTGGCTTTCCGATCATCGGAAACTTACACCAGATCGGAGAGTTACCACATCAGTCTCTATGGAGACTCTCAAAAAAGTATGGTCCTGTGATGCTTCTCAAGCTTGGAAGAGTCCCAACACTCATAGTCTCTTCCTCTGAAACCGCAAGACAGGCTCTCAAAATCCATGACCTCCGTTGTTGTAGCCGTCCAGGCTTGGCTGGTATTAAAGTTTTGACTTTTTTTTTTTTTTTTTGAATCTTAAATCTTGATTACACAAAACCCATGAATCTTGAATCTTGACATTTGAATCTTGGATCTTGAATCTTGACTTTTGATCTTGAATCTTGAATCTTGACCATTCCTTAGGGTCTAAAGAACTCTCTTACAACTACCTGGACATAGCTTTCTCTCCTTTTGATGATTACTGGAAAGAAATAAGGAAGCTCTCTGTTCAAGAACTCTTCAGTACTAAACAAGTTCACGCGATTCAACCCATCAAGGACGAAGAGGTCAAGAAACTGATCGATTCAATCTCCGAGTCAGCTTATCTTAAAACTCCGGTCAACTTGAACAAGACGACTCTTGCTTTAACCGTAAGCGTGGTGTGCAGAACAGCCTTTGGTGTGAGTTTCGAAGGAACTGTCCTCAACAGCGACAGATTCAATAAGTTAGTCCGTGAGGCACTCGAGATGCTGGGAAGCTTCTCTGCCTCTGATTTCATTCCGTACGTCGGATGGATCATAGACCGGTTCTCCGGTTTACAAGCACGGAGAGAGAGAAGCGCACGTGATCTTGATGCCTTCTATGAACAAATGTTTGATCTGCATAAAGAGAGAAAGAAAGATGGGAGTGAAGATTTCGTTGACTTGCTGTTGAAGTTAGAGAAAGAAGAAACTGTTCTTGGAAACCACAAGCTCACAAGAAACCATATCAAAGCAATCTTAATGGTAAGTAAGTAACTACAAAGATTGTGATCATAATAATTTGTCAACTGACATGTTTTCTTGTCACAGAATGTTCTTCTTGCAGGAATCGATACTACTGCAATAACCATGACATGGGCAATGACAGAGCTCGCAAGAAACCCACGAGTGATGAAGAAAGTGCAATCCGAAATCAGAAACCTAATTGGGAACAGAGAAATGATCACCTTGGATGACACGGAACAGCTCCATTACCTGAAAATGGTGATCAAAGAAACATGGAGGCTACATCCTACAACACCTATTCTACTCCCAAGAGAAGTAATGTCGGAATTCGAGATCAACGGCTACACGATTCCAGTGAAGACACGGCTTCACGTGAATGTATGGGCTATCGGCCGTGATCCGGAAACCTGGAAAGACCCGGAAGTGTTTCTCCCGGAGAGGTTTATGGATAGTGACATTGATGCAAAAGGACAGAACTTTGAGCTGTTACCGTTTGGCGGTGGAAGGAGAATCTGTCCTGGAATGTACATGGGGACAACAATGGTGGAGTTTGGTCTTGCGAATATGTTGTATCACTTTGACTGGGAGTTGTCAGAAGGCATGGCAGTCGAAGATATCGACGTGGAAGAAGCTCCTGGTCTCACTGTTAACAAGAAAAACGAGCTTTTACTTGTGCCTGTGAAGTATTGAGCTCATTGGTCCCTTTAAGTTTATTTCATCATGAGATTGCAAAACATCGATTGCTATTTGAGTATTTGTTAATAAGTAAAACGAAATCTGATTTTCCTCTGTTTTTTTTAAGTTTGTCTGTGAGAACATATCCATTTGTGCAGTTTCCTCTTTGGTCGTGAAGATGCCTCTGGATTTTACCATGAGACCTAGCCCATAGAGGCCCAAAGATTGATTATACAGAAATAAGATATGCCTCGAGCCTGATAATATGAGTGAGATAAGTTTCAACTTATCAATGGATTTTGTATAGTAGACCTGTGTTAGTGGCTTTCTAACTTCAAGATGATTGTTCAAATCCGTGAGCAATTACGAGTTTATACGTGAGTGTTCAAGAAATAGATTGGAACAATTTGAGCATCCTTCAAAGAGTTTATACATGAACATCTTTTTTAGGGGAGTACGGTTTTTGGGTTAATTTAAAACATGGATACAAAGTTTGATAAAACTTAGGCCTTACAAATCAGTAATCGAAGAAACAATATGAACATGCTCCAAAGAGGAAAAATAAACATGCTTCACGGAGTATGTTATCTTCATCTTTGTAAACTCACCCTAAAATATGTTAGTGAGTTAACTTACCATCACTAACATGGTGAATTACAAAAAATTATGTGTTGCGGTTGGACCATTGCAAATTTAATTTTTATTATATTTATACATAAGATATGCCAAATTGAATTGATCTAGGACATATTATAAGTCACATGTGTCACACACTGGTCACAATAATTGCCTAATGTGGAGGATATATCACGGACAATTTATCAGAAAAATAATTTGAAAATTCTGTAGCAGACATGTGGGTCTCATTTGAAATCACAATAAAAGGCAACGCCGCAAAGGTAAGAGATAGCGATACGAAAGCAAAATATATTTTTCAATGTCACTAGTTGTATCGTTTTGAGTTTAATAACTACTAAAGTAGTTTACCAATAATTGGCAATAAAATACATAATTTAGAGAATGTGACACTAATTAAATCATTTAATTTCGTGTTTGTTACGTTATTTTTACAAAAAAAAAAAAAAAAAAAAACCGGATCCAAACTAACAACTAAAATGAAACAAAACCATAATTATATCAAACTGAACCAAAACTAAAACCAAAAAAAAAAAAAACTGAACCAAAACCAAGTCAACTATAAACAGTTTTCTTTGGTTTTCAGGTTGAAGAAATAAAAAATGAGAAAACTGAACAGAAAACTAAATAGTAAAACCGAATTAGAAAGGCTTGCATAAATCTTGAGAATATCGTGTGAACTGACGACTCTTTTCCACAATCGCGACTGTATGTAGATACGCGCGTGAGGCCAAAATTATTGAGTGGTTAAACATTGTCTTTATTATGATAGGAAATTGTGGCATTGTCATTTTGTCAAAATGATTTTGATTCCTAGTGAAAATGCTTTAACACCTAAAACAGGCTATGACATTGAATGATCCACATGTGTCAAATAATTATCTTCCACACAAAAGTTATCATATGTATTCACAAACTTTCATATATATCATTGAGAAACAAAAACACAGGCTAAACAATTAAGGGAAAAGGAACAAACAAAAAAATGGCACTCTCTCTCTATCTCCTCTACTTTTTAGTTCTTGCCATAGTCTCCATAATTTTCCTTAACCTGTTCAAAAAGTCAAACTCCAAACTTCCTCCGGGCCCTCCAAAGCTTCCGATCATCGGAAACTTGCATCAGCTCGGAGAATTGCCGCATCAGTCTCTATGGAGACTCTCCAGAAAGTATGGTCCTGTGATATTTATGAAGCTTGGTACAGTCCCAACGATCGTAGTTTCTACTCCTGAAACAGCAAGACAAGTGCTAAGAGTCTTTGATCTCAATTGTTGTAGCCGTCCGTCACTGGCAGGTACGTTTAGTTGTTTATATTGATTATATCTAAAGTCATGTCGTTTTAATGTTTCTTGTTATGAGTTCTGATCAGTAGCAATAATTTTTTTATTTATGGACAAAAGTATTAGTTGTACTTGCTTGTAAAGACGGTAAAAATTATTGTATGCGACAAATGAGAGTTTTTTGAAATGCTAGCAAGTAATACGAGCATTTCAAAAGTTTTAAAACATAATTTGAAATGGTCTTTTGGTTGGTTACTAATACGAGCTTGCATACAACTTTCTATTAAAGTTTACATTATTTTCTATAATACTTTTTAACAGAATAAATAATTGTATCTTACTAGGTGGACCAACATGGTGAGAATGAATCTTACTTTGCGATTTATATAATTTTGATTCAGCATATAACTAATTGTATCTTCAGGCTCAAAGAAGCTCTCTTACAACTACCGTGACATCGCCTTTTCTCCATTTAATGATTACTGGAAAGAAGTAAGGAAGATTGGTGTTCAGGAACTCTTCAACATTAAACGAGTTCAATCGATGGAACCTATCATGTATGAGGAGATGAGCAAAATAATAGACTCATTCTCCGAATCAGCCTCTACAAAAACTCCGGTCAACTTGAGTGAGAAGTTTCTTTCTTTAACTGCAGGCGTGATGTGCAAGGCATCATTTGGTGTGAGTTTCCAGGACACTGTGCTTAACAGCGAGAGATTCAATGAGTTAATCCCTGAGGCACTCAAGATTTTAGGGAGCTTCTCTGCCTCAGATTTTTATCCTTATGTAGGCTGGATCATGGATCGATTCACTGGCTTACACAAACTGAGAGAGAGAAGCGCAAGAGATCTTGATGCCTTCTGTGAACAGATGATTAATATGCATTTAAAGAAAGACAAAGAAGAAAATGAAGATTTTGTGGACCTTCTCTTGAAGTTGGAGAAGGACCAAGTTGTTCTTGGACATGAAAAATTCACAAGAGACAATATCAAAGCAATCTTGATTGTAAGTTTAATAATGCAAAAAAATAAAAATAAACATTTCGAAATGCTTGATCTGATTCTTACATGCTTAATGTTCTTGTCTTAGAACATTCTTCTGGCGGGAATCGATACTGCTGCAATAACAATGACATGGGCAATGACGGAGCTCTCCAGGAACTCTCGACTAATGAAGAAAGTTCAATCCGAAATCCGAGAAAAATTTGGAGACAAAGAAATAATCAGCTTAGAAGAAACAGATGAGCTCGAGTACTTGAATATGGTGGTCAAAGAAACATGGAGGCTACATCCTCCATCACCTCTTCTGATTCCAAGAGAAGTAAAGACTGAGTTTGAGATCAATGGCTACACGATTCCAGTCAATACACGGCTACAAGTGAATGCTTGGGCTATCGGGCGTGATCCCGATGCCTGGAAAGACCCGGACGTGTTTCTCCCAGAGAGGTTCGTTGATAGTGACATTAATGCAAAAGGACAGTACTTTGAGCTGTTACCGTTTGGGGGTGGCCGGAGAATATGTCCAGCAATTTACATGGGGACTAAAATGGTTGATTTTGGTCTGGCGAATCTTCTGAATCGGTTTGACTGGAAGTTACCAGAAGGAATGAAAGCTGAGGATATGAAGATGGAAGAAGCTCCAGGACTCACTATTAACAAGAAACATGATCTTCTACTTATTCCTGTTAAGCTTTAAGGTCTTTGATCTTCTAAAATATGTTCGCCATTAAATTATGAAATAAGGTGTAGCATTTTATAAGAAAGAGTATGTTACCATTTACGAGCGTGGCAATGATCTAGGCATCTAGCGGTACGCCAGGAAAAAAGGTTTGTGTATGCATGCGTTCATGCAATCCTTGTTCCAAAGGTGCTATTTAGTTACGGGTAAGATGTATAATTTTTTGTTCAGAATATTTTTACATTAATCTTAATTAAAATGTCTCTTTTTCTTGAAAAAAGTATTTCTTTCGCTATTTTTAATAGCAATTTTCACGATTCCATTCGCTATTTTGTAGTAGCATGGCATATTCTAGGATTATCATCGCTATTTATCTAATTTATTCGGAATCGGTTCAATAAGTAATTCTTTGGCCGACACTTTTATTTCCCACATGCTTTGTACTTGTTTCATTAATGTCAATTTTTGGACTTTCTACGTTCCATCCAGACAATCTTTATATTATTAATTGAGAAGTACATTCTAATGTTTGGATACAAGAATTAGAGAAACATCTATTTGGATAGAAGAATAAATGGAAACAAAAGTTGTTTGGATATAAGAATAAGAGAAAAATCTATTTGGATAGAAGAATAAATGGAAAAAATTGTTTGGATACAAGAATAATAACTTAAAATAAACCGATGGTTTAGAAAACTTCCGTTTTCCATCTCTTAAAAATCTGCAAAAAAAAAACTTAACATAATCTAACGATAATTCCAAATCAATAGAATATGCTTTTTGGATTTTCGGGTTTTTATAGACAAGTTCGGGTTTGGGTGAAAATCTGAGACATAATTTTATAGAGATATAGAAATTGTTCGGGTTTCTTTGAAAATTTCTGTTCGGGTTAGGTTCAATTTTTTTTTTCAGTTTAGGGTTTTCCGGATTTTTTAGATTTCTGGTTTTCGGGTTTAGATATATTAAAAAAATTGAGTATTTTAAAATTTTGATTAGGTATTGGGGTCGGGTTCCGGGTGAAAAAGTTTCCAGATTTTTTTTGTTCAGTCAGGGTTTTCGGGATTTTTTTGATTTCGGATTTTCATGTTTAGACCTATTAAAAAAGTTTGGGTTTTTAAATTTTTTGATTAGGGTTTTTTGTCGGGTTCGGATTTAGGGTTTAAATTTTCTACACAAAACAACAACGTCACACCGCACAAACGTGCGGGTACCTACTAGTAATTATTAAACACCGTGTCTGAGAGAATAAAATGTGTCGTAGCTACTCTTATTATAATTTTTTATTACTATTTTTGGAATCTGGTAAAGTACATGAACAAGTTTTATTTAGATAAACTGATGTTACACCTTACATCATAATCTTATGGCGAATATATTATAGTAGATCAAAGACTCTTAATGTTTAACAGGAACAAGTAAGGTCATGCTTCTTGTTAATAGTGAGTCCTGGAGCTTCTTCCATCTTCATACCCTCAGCTTTCATTCCTTCTGGTAGCTCCCAGTCAAACCGATTCAGAAGATTCGCCAGACCAAACTCAACCATTTTAGTCCCCAGGTACATTGCAGGACACATTCTCCGGCCACCACCAAACGGTAACAGCTCAAAGTACTGTCCTTTTGGATTAATGTCACTATCAACGAACCTCTCTGGGAGAAACACTTCCGGGTCTTTCCATGCATCAGGATCACGCCCGATAGCCCAAACATTCACTTGTAGCCGAGTATTGACTGGAATGGTGTAGCCATTGATCTCAAATTCAGTCATTACTTCTCTTGGAAGCAGAAGAGGTGTTGTAGGATGTAGCCTCCATGTTTCTTTGATCACCATTTTCATGTACTCAAGCTCATCTGTTTCTTTTAAGCTGGTTATTTCTTTGTCACCAAATTTTTCTCGGATTTCGGATTGAACTTTCTTCATCAGTCTAGGGTTCCTGGAGAGTTCTGTCATTGCCCATGTCATTGTTATTGCAGCAGTATCGATTCCCGCCAGAAGAATGTCCTAAGACAAAAACATTAAGTGTATGTAAGAATCATATCAAGCATTTCCAAAATGTTTTTTTTTTTTTAATAAAAGAAATAAGCTAAACTTACAATCAAGACTGCCTTGACGTTGTTTCTTGTGAATTTTTCATGTCCAAGAACAACTTGGTCCTTCTCCAACTTCAAGAGAAGGTCCACAAAATCTTCATTCTCTTCTTTGTCTTTCTTTAGATGGAGATCAATCATCTGTTCACAGAAGGCATCGAGAGCTCGTGCACTTCTCTCTCTCAGTTTGTGTAAACCAGTGAATCGATCCACGATCCAGCCAACATAAGGATAAAAATCCGAGGCTGAGAAGCTCCCTAAAATCTCGAGTGCCTCAGGGATTAACTCATTAAATCTCTCGTTGTTAAGCACCGTGTCCTGGAAACTCACGCCGAATGATGCCTTGCACACGACGCTAACAGTTAAAGAAAGAAGCGTCTCACTCAAGTTTACTGGAGTTTTCGTAGAGGCTGATTCGGAGAATGAGTCTATTAATTTCCTCATCTCCTCATACTTGACTGGTTGAATAGAGTGAACTCGTTTGATGTTGAAGATTTCTTGAACAGCAAGCTTCCTTACTTCTTTCCAGTAATCATCAAAAGGAGAAAAGGCGATGTTCCGATAGTTGTAAGAGAGCTTCTTTGAGCCTGAATAAACCATTAGTTATGCTGAATCAAATTTCTATATCTAAGTGTAAGATTTCATTCTCACCATGTTGGTCCACTTGGTAGTTAAAGTTTTTAGGTTTTACTTACAAACGGAATCTAAACAACCTCATTAAAAAAAACAATTACACTAATTAAAATCAGTTAGTTTTTAACTTTTTATATTCAACCAAAACCAAATAAAATCACATTACTTAGATTTAACTTCATTTCCTTAAGCTACGTTAATAAAAAATTTTGGGTGTAAATGTTATGGCTAAGTTAAGTTAATATTTAAAACCAACCGTGGGAAATAATGAAAGAGCTAACAAAATTATTAATTGCTGTTAGAAAAAACAAATTACAGAAAATTATGTAAACTTTAATAGATATTTGTATGCAGTAAGTTCGTATTACAAATAGAAAGACTATTTTAATTTAAAATAATAAATAAAAAATAATAAAAAATAATAACTAGAAAGGCGATCGGAAATGTTTATGGGCACTGTCCATATTTGTAACTTCTTTAAGTATACGTGTAACAGCGAATATAATATTGACATGAACACCTCTATAGAAGAGGTCTTAAAAATGAGCATTCAAAAAGTTTGAAATAGATAGTATAATTAATACTTTTTGAATAGATAGTATAATTAATAACATTATATGTATATTTATATATTGCTAGAATTAAAAAAAAAAAACTCTCATTGCATACAATAACATTATATATTTCACAATACAAGTACATATATTTCAAAATTATGGCTACTGATGAGAACTCATAAATGAACATTACATGACTCTAGATATAACCCAAATTCAAATCACATGCTGCAAATTATACAAACAATATAAACAACTATATAAACGTACCTTCCAGTGATGGACGGCTACAACAGTTGAGATCAAAGACTCTTAGAGCTTGTCTTGCTGTTTCAGGAGAAGAAACCACGATCGTTGGGACTGTACCAAGCTTCATAAATATTACTGGGCCATATTTTTTGGAGAGTTTCCATAGAGACTGATGTGGCAATTCTCCGAGCTGATGCAAGTTTCCGATGATCGGGAGCTTTGGAGGGCCCGGAGGAAGTTTGGAGCTTGAGTGTTTGAACAGGCTAAGGAAAATTATGGACAGGGCAAGAACTAAAAAGTATAGGAGATAGAGAGAGAGAGTGCCATTTTTTTCGTTCCTTTTATTTGTTTGGTCTGTGTTTTCTGTTTCTGAAAGAGTTTCACTGAAAACGTGTTATATAGCCGATTATTACTATCACTATGAAAGTTTGTTATATGGATGATAATTTTGTGTGGAAGATAATTATTTGACGTAAGGGTCATTTAACGTTGACATAGCCTGTTAGATATACTCATATGTTTCACTATTATATTTGATGTTTTGAGGTTTTATTTATATTAAAAATCATTTAATGTTTTTTATTTATGATTTTCTTTCTCACATTAAACGATTTTTCTAATAGTATTAGGGGTGACCCGCGCAGGTTGTATTAGTTTTATTGTTTTTCCACAAATTTAATATTTTTTCAAAAATATTATACACATATTGTTTAAATATAATTAAAGTTAGGCAAAAAAATTGTACCGTCTTGTTCCATCTCGTCCCATTTTGTTTATTTTCATCATGTACATTCTTTTTCATCTTGTCCCGTTCTTTTCTGTTATGTTCGTTCTGTCCGCCCCATCCAATCCCATCATATCCTATTATGTTATTTTCCATTTTATCTTGTCTCTGTCTTGTCTCTAAATATTATTAAGGTTAAGCAAAATTCATGTCTCGTCCCTTTCCATCCCATTATGTCCATTTTCATTTGGTCCCGTCCAATCCTGGCATATTCTATTTATTTTCATATTTTCCCGGTTAACCTTTATGTCTTGTCCTCTCTCATCATGTTTTTTTTGTTTTCTCTGTTCCACCCCTAAATATAATTAAAAGTAGGCAAAATTTATGTCTTGTCCTATCTCTTTCTTTTCTATTCCCTTAGATCTCGTCTCGTTATTTAATATAATAAAAGTAACCAAAATTCCTCTATTCTCTAGTTCTATTTTTTTTCGTCTTGTCATATTCGATCTCGTTTCATTTCATTCCAAAATACTAAAAAAGTTGTCCTTTCTATAATATTTTTCTATTATTATTATTATTACTAAATAAGAGTATTTGTAGATCTATACATAATATTTTTTTTTAAATGACTTTTCATATTTTTATTAAATTACTATAGTAATAAATGATAATTATTATAAAAATTAAATTGAAAAAATATATATAATAAATAAATTGATATGCTGAATTTAAAGACATCTTCTTTTGCTGAGGTGGTAATATTAAAATAG